GGTATGAGCCTTATTTGTATTCTTGTTTGTAAACAGACAGGAATTTCAGCCCCGCTAATCTTATATAAAATTTTCGGCTCTGAAGAGTAAATGAATTTTTCCCATCCATGTTAAATTTACATAGAGCTGGCAAGCTTTTTTAAAAGGTACTGATTGAATTGTAATTAAGTAATTGAAATCATCATTTGATTTTAATGAATTATGTATCATAATGAAGCCAAAAGTTTGGACATTCAGGCCATTCAGTTTTTTCAATCGTTTTCACATTAATACCCGTGAGATCATTGTTTTTTAATTTTGAAACCCTACTTATCAACAACTCTTTATTTATGAGGTTTATACAATCAAATTTAGTTTTAATTCAATCTTTAATGATGGATAATAGTTCGTTTAACTTATATTAATAATATAAAAAAATTAAACTCAGGCCTATTTATTAAACGCTAAAGGTGAGCGGTGTAAATTTTTCGTCAGAAATTTTTGAAACTAAACTAAATTTTCACCTTTCTTTTCGATCTGATCTGATTCATTCGATATCATTCATTTTAGAATCATGTTTTTGATTCAATTCGATTCCCTTTAAGAAAAACCATGTTTTAGTATGTTATTCATCTCAGCGTTGGTGCAGCCATCACAAGAAAGGGTTTTAAGCCGGGCCTTGGCCATTGTTTTGCAGATTAAGACGGTGTCTTCTCGTTTTCACAATGAGGGTCATAAAGATAATCTTTTGAGCTAACTTAAGCTCGCCAATTCAAACAGCTTCAGGCATCTTTGAAGGTTTTTCTAAGAAAATTCTGAATCCAATTTTTTTCTTGGAAATGATCAATCTTTTCTATTAATTAAACCAATGTAGAAGACAATAAAAGAGAAAGATAGTCAAATGGTCAGTGTAGTTTCTCTTTGATCAAGTTGTGTGTAAGTTAAACATGGAGTTCATCAAAATTTTGGACATTGGATTAGCACAGAAAAATGAATATAAAAGGTGAAATTCGGGTTGGTTGGGTTCATTAGTTCCTGAGATGTCAAAGCTTAAACAAAGTGAAGTTTCTAAAGTTTGTGCGAACATCGTGTCAAAGTTTAGCGATCATTGTGATCGCAAGGAAATAGTTAAAAAGTTTGTATTGGCAGGAATACCAACATCAACTGCATATCGCCAATATGCTAAATTATTGTTAGGTAAAGTTCAACGCAAGCCAGGATCGGGATTAAGCCGTAATAAGCTGACGAAATCGAACGAAAGGAAAATCATTCGAATGGTTGAAAATAAAGTTTTCTGTGGCTATCGAGCAGTCGGACGTGCAATTGGTGTCGATGGCAAGACTGCAAAAGCATATATGGATAAAATTGGAATAAAAGTGCGAAAAAGAAAGAAGGCACCGAAAGTGTCAGCCGACCAGAGACGATAAGTTTACTTTGAAATTTTAATTATATTCGCCGCATTACCTTTCTCACAATTAAATTTTGATTTTTTTCCATTTCATTTCCATGCGTTATTCAGCTTTTTACACTATTTACTGGTATATGATCTTCATTGATCAGCTAATAAATTGTTGCTGAATAGTCAATTAAAATAAAACTCTGTTCAAATGACCACCTTATTCCCGCTATTTTCAGCGATTATTTTTCGATGTCAATTCTTTCGAATTCATTCTCGAAACTCGATCTTGATAGGTTTTGAAACTTGATTTTCAGTATATTTTGACAACATTTTTCCGATATCATTTCTGGACAGCTTGGTTAAGATGAACCAAACCCCGATTTTTACAAACCTTTTTCAATGCACCAATTAACTGTCTGATTGAAAAATGACAAAGGATCCATCAAATATATTGTATCGCATTTTTTGATACAAGAAATATGCACTTATAATATTACAACGATAATAACGTTAAGCAATTTTAGTACACGGTTTTGATACTTGAATTACACCTGTTATCCTTTATAACTTTATTGTTAAGGATTAAGTACAAAATAGTTGACTTTCGAGTTGAAATTTGGTGCACTTGCGATGAAATGATAAACTTGGATAATCTGCAGTTTCTGATGAAATCGAGTTTTGATTGTTTTACATAGGATTTCATCTGACTGGACAACTCTAAGAAAGGGTCGAAGGAATAGGCGTAAGGAAGATATGGAAATTCTTGAGCAATTCGACTATGACAGGACCTAGAATTTTTGATGAAGATCAAGCCAAATTAAGTATTTCACAACTTTGATGTCTTTTAAATGGCCCTTTGATGGACCTTTTAATGACCATTTTTAGCGATAATTGTATTTCATTGTGTCATGTATCTTTACGTACTTAGAGTGCTACGTACTAAGATTTCGCTTACGATCTGATGGTCATGATTTCATAGGTTAGGTTTTATTATTGACTTGGATATTTTGCAGTTTATCGATTTAAGTTTTTTAATTGTGCACTTATTATATTTTCAATCAAATGCAGCTGAAATCAACAAAACAATTAACTATTAATACAAGAATAATAACACCCATGATTGACAGTGTTTTTCGATGTGTCTATTGATATTCATTTCTGATCTGAAGTTGTTATATCTTATTGTCATACTTTGAACGTCAGAATCATTTTTATCAGTTGTCACATTTTTTTGCATATAAATAGGACTGATTAAGTATTGAAGTTTCATCAGTATCAATTGTGAGTTAAATCAGATCGTTTATCAACTATCAACTAACATTACAATTAAAATGTTGTTTTCTTTCGTTGTTTTCATTTTATTTGTTCAATCTTCAGTCCATGCTTTTAGTGACCAATGTACTAATTGCCTTAAGTTACTGCCTTGATAGTGATGGTTCAACAGCTTGTACCGGTCCTAAAAAAGTCATCACTACACTTACACCTTTACATAACGATAAAGATGAATCGCTCAGTATATTTATGGCAGCATATAATGCGAATGGACGAAATCCCGTTCATTTATCTCTCGACTTCAATGTTAAAGGTAAACCTTATAGCTTTTACTGTTCATCAAATGACAGTAAACACAAATTACCAAAAGGACCTTGGCCTAGCCATAGTTTCAGTTGTAGCTGGGAACTATCATTGACTGGAAATAAGCAAATTGCTCCAATCACTAATGATTCAATTAACATTGATTTGGTTACAATTGATGACAATGTTCCAGTTAGTCTTGGTTTTAATGATGTCAAAAGGACTGTGGCTCCAAACTTAAAAGGGTCACTTATTCATCAATTGGCTTTCCTCGAATGTCCTGAAGTAAATAGAATGACTTTCTATGATAGTGAAAAGAAAAACAGAATCATGGTGAGGAAAAATATGTACACAAGAGAAATGGAAACATTCGTTTATGGTTTGGTTCCCGATGAAAAGTCAACTAATCGTTCAGTTGAATTTGTCAATGCTGATGGAGTCTCATTGACTGTTTCATGCGACAAGAGTTTTGGTACTTTGACTGGGTTCGTACAACAAGGCGATAAGAAGGAATCAATTGACAATTTATTTAATTTCAAGTCACTTGATGGTTACCGATGTGGCTCTAAATTACCTTTAAAGGTACAAACTAATAGCATCAAGTTTGATTTTAACTCAAAACCAGTCAATTTCAGCTTTGGTTCAACTTCAGGCTCGTCTGTTAATAAACCAAATATCTTGTTTGACACTGACAACAGTAACTGGCGCTAATCTTTCCAAAATAGATTGAATTGAATATGGCTTATAATCCTGAAATAAATTATATTAAATAAAGCAATGAGCATTAATTAAAATCAATTGTTTCTTTTACTTTCAAAATAATATTTGATAATTTAATTGTAACCAGTTTGATGTGATTTCTTTTAGATTTTAAACTCTCTGTTAATATGCATTCTGTACCTTAGACCTATGAACCAGTGTCATAATTGTGCTTAAATGACATCAATGAAAGGTCGAATGAATGATTTTCTTGCAAATGTCTGCAAAAAGCTCGAGGGGAATCCATATGAAAACATAAAAAATGTATTACAATTAATCCACATTGAAAATGAACAAATCCAAAAACACAAATGACAAAAATTTGCCCTTTTTAATGTGAATTGATTGTATTTCATTAATATAATAATACGCATAATGATGAAATTTTGAGCTAATTGCTTGAGTTGGTAAACGCTCTCGCTATTTGCTCTGTGCTGTACGTTTGAGTTGACTGGATAAGATGACTTTTGTACCTAAATCAATGCGCACTAAAGTTTTCCATCTCTTTGGGTGAAGAGGATTATCAATATCTGAACTTTTGCCACTGGTCTGGTCCAATCTAAGTTGAGCATCTCAAATCACTTGAAGATAATGAGGAGCTTTCATAATTAGCATTTAGTTTTTAGTTTTAAGTGGTTTTTATTGACCAAATGTAATGTGAAGCTCTTCCAGCTTAATCTAGCAACTCAGGGGTTTGAACAATGTAGAGACACTCACTTTGTCAGCCATATTGAATCGGTCAGAAATTAATTTTTAATAAGCACAATAAAGTTTAGTTTGATCAGCTTCGATTGTAGCTGGAGCAAGTAAAGCCGGGTAAAACAGTATGAGACAAATAACTTATTTAAACTAGTGCCATTAACCAAAGCAAAATTTCATGCAGCATTCGGTGCGTTTCTACTATTGAGCGGCAAAATGTTATTGCTCAGAATGTGACATCTGTTGGATTTACACAATACTTGAATAAGGCTCTAGTAAAAAATTAACATTAAAATGAAAACCAGTTAAAATAATCAAAATGATCAGTTGTCAGTTAAAAATCAAGTAAAAATAAACAGTATTGTGTAAATTGTAACCCAATGATTGGCTGACTCGGCTCAATGTAGTTTATCTTTTTCTACAAGAGTCACTGTTAAACATCTATTTGTTAATTTTTTTGTTTGTCTTTAATTTTGCAATTTTTCAAATGATTACTTGGCGATTGGTTGTTACATAGATTTTAAAAGATAAACTATTATTCAACAGTCAAATGTTAGTATAAATAAACCAAGATGAAATTGGATTAAGTGTATCATTTTCATCGCCTGCAATCTTTTGTTTAAATCATTTTCATTTTTAGTCTTTCACTGTTTACCCTTTGTTTTGTTTCTAACGTGATCTCATTTTTCTTCAGTTTCTTCAAAATGTCTCCTCAAAGAGAATCTTTTCTTTCAATTTTATTCTTTTTAATAATCATTGATGGATCAATGGCAAGTCTCGGTATTTTTAATGGACTACCTGGGTTTCCTTTCTCATCATCCTCCGCTAACGCTGATCAAGATGCTTCGGCAAGTGAACAATGGCCCAGCTTTGTAAGGATTGTTGATGTTGCTGATTTACCTTCTTTATTGTTTGCTCATCCAAATGCCACTAACCGCCATTCATCTGGCTCTATCTGGTCCAATATCTTCAATATATTTACTGATGGCTCCGAGGGTACTATCAACGATGAGATGGAACGTGAAAACGGCGCTTGGTTTGCTATTCCCGGTTGGAACAAAGCCATGTTTAATGGTACTGGCTTAGGTCATTCTATTTTACCCGGCTTACTGGTCCCAGCTAAAATTGAACCTGGCCAAATCAATGATGTTGCAAATTCACCTCTCAGTCCTCTGTTTAACAATTTCTCAAACATATTTCCACTCGGATTTTTGTTCAACCATGGTCAAACACTCAACCTCAATCCTTTCAATCTCCCATTCTTTCCTGAGTCAAATGCTGTAAACCCATTGGAAGGTTTCAAAGCTGGATCTTTAGCGCCTGAAAAAGCTCAAGTAAGTGAGATTTTTTTCTGAAATAATTATTGTTACTAATGTTATGCTATCAAAATCTTTTAGCCTGCCGTTGAATCAGCTGAAATCAAACCCTTACCAGAAAATAGTGAGACTGTAACGGAAACTCCAAAAACAAAGGAAGCCCGACGAATAAATAAGATCCGTTCAATTCTTCGAAGAGCTCTAAATATCGAAAATGATGAAAATTCTAATGTTAAAGAGGGCGAAAAAGTTGTTAATCTCATTGAACCTGTACAAGAAACTGGAATGCAAATGGAGCCAATTCCTTCAACTGAATCTTATCCTGAATCTAATTCTGTAGAGCATGGGCATGAAGACACTCGATCATTTGGACTTCTAAGCTCACTTGCTACTCTATTGGCTGGTACTTCATTAAAGACTTTAACACACGACCCTCAATCCCTAGGAACCTTACACGAACCAACATTTAATAACGGTCAACAAGGTCAAAATCAACTTTTTGGCTCTAACTAGTTTTGTAAAGAAAAAAATGTAAAACGTTTTTAGATTACGCTTTTTTTTATTAATTGGCTCTTAAAGTGGCCAATCAAATCACTTATCATTGTTTTAATCTGACAAATTTATCAATTGTTGAATAAAAATTAGCAAATAAAAAATGAATTGTTGATCATTGTAGATGTCACCACTGCTTTTCTATATAAACTGCTGCTTGATCAAAAATTAGTTTACTTATTGAGCTTTTTTTAACCTATTCAACTCTACTTTCTCTCTTCAATTTTAACCTTTGTTTGCTTTTTAATTTTAATTGTGTTAATATGGCTGGTCGCGGTCGAGGAGGTCGAGGGGCCAAGTTAATGGCAAGGCTTCAACGTTTGAAATTGGAACAACAGTCTGCTTCTGATACTCCTGATCCTGCCGAACCTATTCCCGAGCCTCCATCCGAAGCTCAAGCTCCATCATCCGAGAGTACATCTCAAACAGATTCCGCTTCAGAAACAGCATCTGATTCTGGATCTGCAACTTCAGGACCATCATCACCCAGACCAACTTCACCGGGTCCATCACAGAATTTGGGTGGCAGAGGTAAACTTCGACGATATTTAGTCCAAAAAACGCCACCAGAATCACCAAGATCACAATCTCCCGATTCATCTAGTGAAGCAACAAACGATTCGTCTGCAACAGATCAAACATCTACTGGAACTGGTGGTTCATCATCTGCCTCAACTGCCTCATCTACACCACAATCCCCGGTCCGTGCTACACTAGAACCATTATCAGCTATCGCTAATAAGGTTGTTGGAAAAGATGGTGAATCTATCAAAGTCGCTGTTAACTTTATGAAAATTAAAGTTGTACCCAAGAAAAGAATCCATTTATATGCCGTCTTTTTCGAACCCAATATCGATGCAATCTATTTACGAAGAAAGATTTTAAATTCAGATGAAGTTGTGGAAAAAATTGGTACAGTTATGAATTTTACCGGTACCAATCTTTTCTTGCCTCTCAAACTAGATGAAGACCCTTTGATTATTAACACAACACATCCATCATCTCCTGGAATAACTGTTGAAGTAAAAATTCAACATGTTAAAATTCCTCCAGCTGAGGAATTGATCAGTTTTTACAACAGTTTGTTCAACAAGGTTCTTCGAGCTATGAAATTGGTCGAGCTGAACATGCACCATTACAATCCAACGGGCAAAATTGATGTTCCAGCTCATAAATTGGAGGTTTGGCCTGGTTACATATGTGCTATTCAAGAGTACGATGGAGGCCTTATGCTCAATTGTGATACTTCACATCGAGTTCTTCGTAAAACTACTGCTCGTGACATGCTCCATGAAATTTGGCAAACCGATAGTGAACATTTCATCGACCGAACCAACAAACTATTGCTTGGCGCCATTGTTTTGACTCGGTATAACAATAAAGCATACCGAATAGATGATATTGATTTTAAAAGAAACCCATTATCCAAATTTACTTTGAAAGAAGGTCAGGAAATTACCTTCGTTGAATATTTTAGACAACACTGGGGTGTTGAAATTAAAGATCATAAGCAGCCTTTGCTCATTCATCGGCCTAAGCAAAGAAGAGGCGACACGGTAAGTAACCTCAAACTGTTAAAAGGTCAAAAGCTATTCACTATCTTTGGGGACTTTTCACTTTGCTTATTTTATCTCCACCTTAATCTTGATTGCTATTGACAAATGTATAGCTCCATCCAATTGTGGGTCCTTTGATATCTTTCTTTTAGCGTTTTAATTTTCCTTTTTAAGTGTGAGCAAGATATATCTGATGAAATAATTTTAATCTCAAGAACGTTGTTACAATCAATGAGATCAAGTTGACATTGAATTGCTCCAATCAATTGTTTGTTATAGCTTTATAGAATCTTTAATCTCTTCTTTAAATTTACCAATTATGCCATGTTTATTTTGAGATAGCTATCAACACTTGATATCTCAATTGAAAGGAAAATTTAATCACTTGAGTGGTAGAGTAAGCATGGTCATTCTCGGTAGCGGGTCAAGTCTGTGTAAAGGTAGTAGACTTGCCTTGACTCATAAAATTATCAATGATTAATATTGTCATCACTAAAATTAATCATTTTCTTTTATTTCTTTTTACTCATAGGAAGAAGCACCTCTCATCTGCTTGATTCCCGAGCTAGCTTACCTAACTGGATTGACAGATGATATCCGATCGGATCATAGAGCTATGAAAGATTTGGCCTCACACACAAAAATATCACCAGAAGCCAAACATAGACGGTTGGTTGAATTTATTAGAACAGCTTATGAAAATGAAAACGCAAAACAAGTTCTAGATGATTGGGGTGTTGAAATAGAAAGAAGTCCTCACGTCACAACAGCTCGTAAATTTGCATCTGAAAAGCTTACCTTTGGAGGTGGAAATGAAATTAATGTTGGTGACAAAGCAGACTGGGGTATGAAACTACGAGATGCTTCCATTTTAGATTCAAAGCCAGTTAAACGATGGTATTTTATTTACAATGGTCGAGATCGGCCCAGAGCTGAAGAATTTGTTAAAACTCTTCAAACCATTTCACGAAAATTGGGCTTTTCATTTGATAATCCAAGAAAATGTGAGCTCAGGGATGACAATACAAACACTTACCGGCAAACACTCCGAGATGTCGATAAAAGTGCTGAATTGATTGTTATTATGACACCTGGATCTTCACAACGAGAAGATCGTTATGCCGCAATTAAACAAGCATGTTGTGTTGATCTTGGAATACCTTCCCAAGTTGTCAGAAATAATACTTTAACTCCAAATAAATTTCGCTCTGTAGTTCAAAACATAGCCATGCAAATTGCTTGTAAACAAGGTGGTCAACTATGGTCAATTAACATTCCTATGCCTAATGCCATGATAGTTGGACTTGATTCGTACCACGATCCATCAAATAAGGCTAGATCAGCTGTTGGAGTTGTTTCATCAATAAACAGACTTGCAACTCGATGGTATTCTCGCTGCTTTTTCCAAAGTCGACGTGAAGAAATTGTTAATACTCTTGGACTTGCCATTACTGCTGCCCTCAAGAAGTACAACGAAGTTAATAACACAATTCCAGGCAAGATTTTTATCTATCGTGATGGTGTTGGAGATGGTGACCTTCCTATGGTTCGAGAATATGAGATTCCTCAACTTGAAGAGGCTATTACCAATTATATTAAAAATAAACCAGAGCTCAAGAGACCTCAACTCAGTTTTATTGTGGTTCAAAAACGGGTCAATGTTAAAATGATGCAAATAGCTGGACGAAATCTGGTCAATCCTCCTCCTGGATCGGTCATTGATCATACTGTTACTCGAAAACAGTTTTATGACTTTTATCTAGTTTCCCAGCATGTTCACCAAGGAACAGTCACCCCGACTCATTACATTTCCCTGCTTGATGAATGTGGACTAGGACCTGATAAACTACAGAAATTGTCGTACAAAATGACTCATCTTTATTACAATTTTCCTGCAACCATTAGAGTGCCTGCCCCGTGTCAAGTAAGTTTATAGAATCCGTAGTTAATGTAGAAATATTTTTGAATCATTGCATTATTGTTTGAATTTACTAACTTTTTTTTTATTTTTCATTTTTCTTTTAGTACGCTCATAAACTGGCTTTTCTTATGGGACAATATGTTAAGAATCAACCCAATGATGCATTACTTGACAAACTTTATTACCTTTAAAGCGCTTTGAGATGTTTCTTTAGTCATTCAATTAATATGACAAGTTCAAGACAATACTTTCGATGTATCCAGATAAACTAATGGATCTTAAATACAAATAAACTTTGCAAAACGAAATTTTATTTTTTTGAAAATTTTATTTTTTATTTACTGAAATGAATAATATTGAACGGCATTCATGATTGCTCATGATTTTAACATTGTCAAGTTTTTATTACACATTAACATCCGATAGCTAGAAGATGGACCTTTTTTGATTGAATAATAGTTAGCTAATTGAGTTGAATTCAAAGTTTCGAGAAATATCAATGTCTAATCAAGATACAAATGACTCTTGAATAACTTTTGTTTGACTTCTTGATAATTAGGGCAATCCTCAATGAACTTGTAACTCTTTTTTTGGCATAAAATACATTGATGTCACAGTTTTCCAGAGCCTCATATCCTAAGGAATAATGTGAATAGATATAGAGTGAAATATTAGTAAAGAGAGGAAGAGTAAAATTCAAGGTTCTGAATATATAAATTGTATATTGAATTGTAGCCAAGGTTTTATAATTGTGTTCAAATCAAATCAAAGCAAAATTTACTTCTACTCTATTAGTTTATTATGTTACCACTAGAGGACACAGTCAACTTCCTGGAAAGATATTCTGGTTGTCTTCCTCTCATTTAAAATCATTAGTTTGAGTTTTGTTGTGCAGACAATTATTTAACTAATTTACCCTTTTTGCTTATAATCTACTTCTCCGAGTGATTTAGGTCCTCTCAATAAAAATTAGTCAAAATGCCTATCGATATGGTATCGTTTGCTAAAGATTTTATGGCCGGTGGTATTTCTGCAGCCATATCCAAAACCGCTGTAGCTCCAATTGAGAGAATCAAGCTTCTATTACAAGTTCAACATGCTTCTAAACAAATTGCCGAAGCTCAACGATACAAGGGTGAGTAATTAACAATTGATATATCCACAAGTATAAAAATTCTGACCCTTTCTTTACTCTAAAAATATACTAGCTTACATTCTTGGTTTAAATCATTCTGCCTATGTGGCTATGAGTCTGTTACTCAATAGTAGGGGCTACTTTATGTGTGTCTCTTTTGTCTACTATCATTTTAATCTTCACCCTTTTATTCATTATTAATATAATTTAAAAGTTAACTTCAGAGTAAGATATAATTTCATATTTCGCCTCAATATATTTAGTATCCTGACATTAAATGTCATATTAGAGATGAACAGCTTGAGGTTAAATCAAAGGTGACTTTGACCTTGAATTAAGAGATGATGACTTATATCTAGAAAAGGCTTGGTATCTAGAGAAATATCTTTAATAGATTCATATTTGTCGGTTTCTTAAATAGTCTTTTCACATCTTCAAATGTCCATCTACAGAAATGAAAATGTTTTTAATGTCAACTAATTTTTTATACGATTTCAATTTTACATGCTAGGTATTGTGGATGCTGCTGTTCGAATTCCAAGAGAACAAGGTTTCCTTAGTTTCTGGAGAGGAAATTTGGCTAATGTTATCCGATATTTCCCAACTCAAGCTCTTAACTTTGCTTTCAAGGACAAATATAAGCAAGTTTTCCTCGGAGGAGTAGACAAGAATAAGCAATTCTGGAGATATTTCGCCGGTAATTTAGCTTCTGGTGGAGCTGCTGGTGCAACATCTTTATGTTTCGTATATCCACTTGATTTTGCTCGTACTCGATTGGCTGCCGATGTCGGTAAAGCCGGTGGTACTAGACAATACAACGGTTTAGTAGATTGTATTGGTAAAACCTTAAAATCTGATGGTTATTTGGGTCTTTACAGAGGTTTCGTTGTATCTGTCCAAGGTATCATTATCTACCGGTAAGTTTATTTCAATTGTTATATTTTAGTTTTTTTTTGGTTAAATATATTTCAACATCTTCATTAATATAATTTATTTCTTATTTCTGTGTAAAATTTTAGAGCTGCTTACTTCGGTTTCTTTGACACTGCCAAGGGTATGTTACCAGATCCCAAGAAGACACCAATTGTCATCTCATGGCTTATTGCCCAAGCTGTAACAACTGTATCTGGAGTTATTTCATATCCATTTGATACCGTACGTCGACGAATGATGATGCAAAGTGGTTTACCTCCTGCAGAACGAATGTACAAGAGCACAGCACATTGTTGGGGAAAGATTGCTAAAACTGAAGGTTCAAAGGCTTTCTTCAAGGGAGCTTTGTCTAATGTATTAAGAGGAACTGGTGGAGCTTTCGTATTAGTGTTATATGATGAAATCAAGGCTTTACTTTAAGTACATATTAAATTAGGGATATTTTGATTTGGTGGACAAGACCATCTTCGTAAAACGAAAAAGCTCGTAATCATTATCTCCATTTAAGAAACAAACCATAAAAAAATCGTAAAATTCTAAAGCGACTTTTATTGCAATTCCAATGTTTATTATTGAATTCGAGTGAAAGTTCATTCTATTATTTACCACTTCTCTAACTTCTTGTTTTTCCAATAGCCGCTGTTAATACATCATTCAGCATACCGCCCATCAGCACCTCACTCGATGAATCTTAATTTAAAATCGTAAATAAATTCAACATTGGTTTACAGTTGTTTGTTATCTTCATTTATCTGCGTGTACAAACCAGGGGAAGTGATATCTATTCGAGTATTGATAATCTCTGTTGAAAGTGGATTAATCAAAATTTTTCAGCTTTTGTTACAACTTCCACTTTCTAATTATACTTCTTGGCAGCTGATTTTGTTTCATTGGTATGCCAATTTACTCCCATAAGATCCAACCTTGTAACAATTTATTAAGGTTATTCGCTTTTTACCTATTTATTCCTATCATTCATAGAAGTGAGTACAATTTGCCACAATACTTTCAGTGATGCCCTTGCCAGTTAATTATGTGCCTCTTTGCTACAAATCTCATCTGATTATATTTTCATTTTTTCGTATCATAATGACTCAACCTTTTTCTTGATTGTTATAGCTTTGATAACCTTAAATTTCCATCAGTTGCTCAATAAGCCTCAACAGTGTGTTTTATATCGAAAATGTCAAATTACTTAATGAGTACAATTTCAAGCAACCTTTTTAGTTCATCCTCTTAAGATCTATTCGATAAATCAACTAGAATAGGTTAAATAATTATCAAATTAACCTTTGCAATGCTTAAAGTTGATACTTTACTCTTCAGAGTTTGAAGTCACACCAATTAGATAATTCTTCACTATCAAGTGCTTATCAATATTAGCTCATCTTGATTTTTTATTGGCCAATTAAATAATTAACCCGATTAATTCAACCTTGAATTAACTTATCATTTGGCTGGTTTCGAGTAGTGTTCAGAGGTAAATGTAACAATGAATATGTATGCATTAATCTAAAGTAACAATCTTATTATAAACTAGGCGTTTCTTTTTATTGATTTAATATCAATTTTTTTACTTTTCTTTGGCCTCCTCCAATACTCTTTCCATCTATTTGGTCATATTACCCATTACCCAAAGCCACTTTACCGCTTTTCGAATAAGGTCAATATGAGCTTTCCGATTAAAAGAATGAGGTTCTGAAATTGGTGAATGTGTAAATTGGCTGGTAGAAAAGAGGGTGGAAAAAGTTGGTCCCTTTTTGTCAAAATCAATGTAAAAATCACTTTTTTAAATAAAAAGGGCTATAAATCAACTCAAGCTGATTGAAATCCATCTCTTTATACAACAAATTCAATCATCTGACACAATTGAAAAGCAAAAGTATCAAAATCCAGTCAATGTACAGAGTATTATCAGCCCTCACTTTCAAGAGGATTGATTGGTTGACTTTCAACAGATGTAAAATTAAAAATCGAACTGTTGTTTTATGCTCACAAAAACAAACAACTAAATCAATATTAAAAAAGTAATCTATACAATTTGACTTTTGCGCTTTTTTTCAAGTTTAAAATTAACGCCTTGTTAGTCACAAGTCTCTCTAAATACTGTTGACTGTTTTTGTTATGCTCTAACGTCTTTAAGATGAATTCATCTGATGAACATTCCAAGAAGCAAGAAGAACCTCAAACACATGAAGAACCTGAACCAATATCGACCGAAGAAAGACAACCTTTTGTTAATAGTCTACTAAACCTGATCGATCAAAACAAAATTGATGGAATCATTGATACCCAAAGACACATGTAAGTAAACATTTGTTTTGACCTATCTTTACATCTTTTGAAGACTTTTGACAAGAGAGAAATTGTATTTGACATCTATTATTTTGTTAGCCTCTACTAAATTTTATTTTAATTAATTATTTACTTTGTCTCTTCACCAGGATGGCAAGATTTGAAAAAACTAATGAAATGCTGGTCAATTGTAATGCCCTTTCACTTTCTCGATATGAAATTGCTATGAAGGAAGTTAAAAGAATGAGCCAAAATTTGGGAGAAATGAAAAAGGATTTAGATTACATTTTCAAACGAGTTAAATTTATTAGAACGAAATACAATCAGCAACACCCGGAAGCTTTTAAATGTAAGTAGACAATTAATAATATCATTGAAAAGGGAAATGCATATTTAGTGATGATAGTCATACCATCGAAAGTAAGTAATACTAATATGCATCTGTTTCAATTTAAATTTTAGCGCTGATGAACAAAGGTAATCAATTGGATGAAGAAGAGGATGAGGAATCTTGATGGAACTGACCAAACTAAAATACATCAAAATAATATCGGGTTTGAACCAGAGAAAAAAATTAAAGAGATGAAAAAAAGCTGGACGCAGTTGCGGATGGTTTTTAGTTATGAATGTGCATGTTGTGTTTGTAAAGAGTTAATCGAATAAGTCTTTAAGAGAATGATTCATAATTTGGCTTATCGTCACAATTTTTGAACAATCTTTCGAGTGATGGCTAGGTTAATGCCACTTGTCCTTTATCTCTATTAAAATCTTTAAAACAAGATGGAAACAAAGCGACAAGCAAATTTTGCTATAACTTTTATCAGATCTTGGTGTCTTTGGGTTTCCATGTTTATGTTGTTGCTGGTTCTTCTATTGCCTTGGAATTTTTGGAAGTTTCATTGGAGTAAAATAACAGTGGGCTCATGCCGAGAAAACATCCGATCAAGATACCAATAACCCGTCCGATTTGAACGCTTAAACGAGTTCGTAACATATCAGTCTGAGCTGGCGTCAATTTTGGATAAGTAACACCGATCTTATTGGCTAGTGTCTCAACATACCAAGCTGTCCCTATTCCAGCCACATCTGATATAGCATTTCCAAGGGCAGCAGCAGCCATGGTGGAAATACCTGAAGGAACAGAAAAAACAATAGATTTTAAGTACTCTCGAGAATCTTAATTGCCATAAAATGAATTGACTATTGTACAGAAAGTTTTGTCTATATCCATTTATTGAGTTTTTTAAAGAAATTTTGTAAAAGAAATTGAAATATAGCAAAATTTTCCAAGATATTGTATTTAATTTCAGAAAACCAGCCACTTCTGATATACATGATATACATGTAGCATTTCTAAGGGCTAATTCACAAAATAGAAAAAATAGAGTCCTGGAAGCAAGACATTAATAATATAATACTGAAATCGGGTCTAATTCAACTTCAGTAAATAAACAATGAAATTATAAAGTTTTCTATACATTCGAAATCAACAATTTATTAATTTTTCTCCGTTGCCAAACATATTCATTATACCGTTTATAAGTAAAAGTAAAAAGCGATTTGTTTACACTGAAAAATGACAACAATTTAAAATTAAAATGGTAATCAGGATAAAATTACTGAAAATAAAAAAAGATATTAACAGGTTATAGTCTTTTAAAGATAATAACCTGTGGGGAAAAAGTTTGGGAATTTTTGGTTTTTTTCTTATAACTCGTAAGATAATGATTGAATTTTTCTGAAAATTCAACATGCTATAGTTGGATAGTGCAGCCGTATCACCTGCGAAAACCAGAATGAAAAAAACAAAGGTCACTTCGCAATCACCGGTCAAACTCGGAGGAGAAAAAAAATTTATTTTTGTTTAATGTTAAACTCTCATAGACAGAAAATGACTAAGTCACTTTTTTTTGACGCTAAGACTCTTTTCAAAAATGAATATCTATTTAACGGATGATCCGCATTTCTCAGATTATACTTTAATTGAAGGTCTTGAAGAGTTACATCGATTGATGTATTTTTTCAGATACTTCAAAGTTTGTTCATTGAGTTATTCACGAAACCAATTTTATCAAAGAAAAATTTTTTCCTCCGAGTTTGACCGGTGATTGCGAAGTGACCTTTGTTTTTTTCATTCTGGTTTTCGCAGGTGATACGGCTGCACTATCCAACTATAGCATGTTGAATTTTCAGAAAAATTCAATCATTATCTTACGAGTTATAAGAAAAAAACCAAAAATTCCCAAACTTTTTCCCCACAGGTTAGAAACTTGATGTTTTGATGGACAAAAGTTGGCTGAACGATTGTTTATAACAAATTATGATATCTTTGTTTAAATGTGAGCCTTTGGAGTTGCCAATAAATAGCTGGTTAAAAAGGATAACAATGATGATATTCAGGCTAAAGTTCATCGAGTAGGTTCTTTGTTATTTTGTCAGTTCCATTGTAGTTATAGCTGCCAATGTCAAGATCTAAAATTTTTACCATGATCGGGTAAAGGTCAATGTTGAAGAAAGATGATTGGTTAAGATTGAAACTATTCTTGAAAGCTGGTCCAGTGGCAATGAAAAGCGCTTCCATCTCGGGTTGTGTATTATTATTACCATGATTACCCCATTTTTCATCTTGATGAGACCAAGTTGTGAAAGCAATTTCATATCCAGGATCGGCCTCCAATAAGATTGGCATAATACGACGATTGTACCTAAAGATAAATGACCAATAAAACAAGAGAGATAATACAGTTATTAGTATAATTATGATTTAGAGAAGTAAAAACCCAATTCTCTACACCAATACTACTGTAATCATAAAAGCTCAACAGCAGAATATTTTCCGTTATTGATAAAACTTCTAAATGTAACTTTTCCATATTATATTATTAGGGTGATGTACATTTTGATCTTAAAGTTTTCGGAATAATCCAACTATTTTTCGTAGATGTTTTCATTATCAGTGCAACAATAAAGATAAAGTTAATTGTTCAGCTAAAAAATTGAAAACGATAAGCTCTAACTGAATTGACAAGTGCAACATTTTTCAAACACAAAGCTAAATAAAAATGAAGACATGGAAACTTCTGCATAAAATAAAAGCTAAATATTATAATGGAAAAGGTTAAGATAATTATTGTATTCACCTGTAATGATATTCCTCAGGAATTTCATCCTTTTTGTAAACTCTAAAATGATTTGTTTCTGCCAGCGATACAAACATTTGATAAACTTCCTCTTCCTTTCCCTCGTTAGGCAGAATACCAATTGCTTGAGATCCTCCAAATTGTCTGAAGCTAGTTAAATCAGGAACTATTGCCGTTAAATTTATGCCAGTTTTTGCATCAAACTCTTGCATTCCATGGTCACTAACCAAAATAATATTGGTTGATTCAGTTAAATTGTGTTGGGACAAGTTTTCCAGCAAATAAGCAACAGTCCTGTCTGCCATCATAACCTGCTCAAGGGTTTCTTTACCGAAAGGTCCATGATTGTGAGCTGTTTCATCAGGATTCTCAATGTACAACATAACAAGATTGGCAGGATTTTCAGTGTCTGTAAACCATTTCATCAGAAGATCAATTCGTTGTTGCATATTAATTGTACGGTTAAAATCAATTGAGTAGTAGGCTTTATCTCCACCAAAGGTAAATCCTGTTCCTGGCCACATTATGCCACCACTCTTTCGGCCATCGACTTGTTGGTTAGCAATCTAAATGGTTGAAATAGAAAAGGATTTAGTATTGAATTTGAATGAAATATTTCTCTAATGTTTACCCATATTGGAAGGGAATAACCATTATCCCACCACATTTGAGTGCTATGGGACATGTCAAAGACTGCTTTAAATTCAGGATCGTACATATTATTTGCAACGATTCCATGAGCTTCCTCATAAAGTCCGGTAGCGATTGAGAAATGATTGGGAAAAGTTTTACTGACAAACACAGGAAACATTTTACCAGTTGCTCCAGTCTGCTTGAGTGACCACAGAGTTGGTGTCAGTGTGGGTGACACGTAATCAGCTCGAAAACCATCAAATGAGATGACAATTAATCTGGGTTGGTCATTTTGGTCGTCACCAGAAGATTGGGTTATGATGATGGATGCAACAATGACAAGTATGGTTGCACAAACGATGGTTCCCACAATAATCAAAATCTTTTTGTTATTCATTTTGATACTTGCAATGATCAGGGTAGAATGGTAAATTCATTTAACTTTTCAAGGTATTTGGAAACTTTTATAGTCAACTTGGTAAGTTATGACTACCTAACCGGCGGTGTGGCGATAGATTACAGTGATAGCAACCAACAACTTTTATTATACCAAAGGATGAACCATGCTAAGGAAAATGAAAAAAGATATAAAATAAATTGAAATAGATAATCAGAGAGTAAATGAACAAACACAATTACAGGGTAAAAATGTGTCTACCATTGTCTTCAACCTCCCTCCTTCTGAACATTACGCTTCCTCTTCGTCTCCTTCTTCTACTTTTCATCTTTTCTCTGTCTCTTTAGCTTCTTTAATCGACATATCCAGTCAACTAATATATTATTCAACCAACCACACAATGCACCTTTCAAATTTTCACAGTTGACTCAAAAAGTGATCTATTTTCCTATTGAAACAAGGAGTGAGAGCTTTTAAAATGTAAATAAACAGTTAACTTACCTCTAAACTTGATTTGTTTTTAACACCATCTAAGCAAACAAAATGTTGTTTACTTTGCCACTTTGAAAGGTTTGCAATAAAAAATTGATGACAATCTGATGAAAAGAAAGATATAGATTCACATGAGTCATGATTTAAACCATAGTCCTGATAATGTTATTGAAAATGCACGGTCACCATAAAAGCTGAATTTCACCACCAAAACGACTGATTATCCAGATTGATTGTTATTTTACATCTCAACTAATCGTGTTGACGGAACAGAAACAGTTTTTAATTTCTAAATTGCTATGCATTGAAGTAAATGAAGAGAAACTGTTCTCCAGCAAAAGCTGATTTGGGTATCTAATGGTATCTATTGGTAAAACAAGTGGAGGAAAAGATTTCCAGTGGAAGCTCCTTCTTGACAGTAATTTGATCTTAATCGGGTTCGACCATTTTTTGTCTTCCAATATTGTGTAGAGTACGTTTTAGACTATCAATTGATTGATTAGAGATTCTTGATGATTGATTTATTTCAACCTTGGCCCTCATTTTACACAGGATTAACTGGGTCTGTTTAACTATTAGGTTGATCAGAGCAAACCGAGGGAAATTTAATTGCGAATATTTTCTTGTAGAGTTTTCGTAGCTCCCTGAAATTTCAGAAAATTATGGACAGATGACACAAAAATCATTTTGCATAATCTCAGCCCAATATTGATATTAATTAAAAATTTATTAACAATTTAATGCAAAAAATCAAGAATCGTAAATTTCCCTTCTTTGATCGACTCTCTAAATTCAACCTGAAATGATATGATCATGAAATCCAGTCAAATTATTCCTTTTGTCTTCCTTCTATGGATGGCATACTCATCGCTTCGCTAAAACTAATTAATTTCATGTAATTATCAAAAAACACCGAAAAATTGAAAAAAAGTGCCGAGCAAATCAAAGGGGGGACCCTTTGATTTTTTACAATTTTTGTCACTTTGACGAAAGGAGCTTTTTGATTTAAATTGTTCTAATTTCTTAATTAAAGAATTTATTTTCATAAAATTAACTGTGAAATGATTCTAACTAAATTGACTTTCATTTCGAGCACATTTGATGAAAAAGAGTTAAATCAATTTGTAACAATTAATATTTAAAGTTCCCTCAGTTTGCTCTGATCAACCTAATATATCACAGTTATCACAATGTTCATCAATTAATCATTCCAGTTGAACATGAGCTTGATTAATAAGTCAATTTTACTTTTTATTGTGAACCTCGGGTGAACAAAACCAAACAATAAATACTAAGGTTTTACTTTTACGGAGAAAGGCGTCACAAAATGAAACCTTTCTGTGACCGTAAGTGTTAGAGAGCGCAAACTTATGTTCCGTCCATAAAAATTGTTGGTACACATAATAAATTGAATGCTTTTTTCAATTTACTGATAGTTCTCTTGATGGTGATTTTAGGTGACCCGATTCTCGCAATATTGAGGTTCAAAGTTTCTAGACTAATGACCAAAATTAAGAGAACTGGAGATAAATTGAAGAAAATATTCGTTCGTTGATGTGTACCAACAATTTTTAACAACAAATAATAAGTTTCAGCTCTCTAACCTTACGGCCACAGATTACGTCAGGTTTAACTAAAAATCGAACTGATCTGTTGTACAGAAACAGAAAATTTTATCTCACAAAATAAGTGCCTTTTTTGGTTGACCAGCAAGACAATAATTTAATTGTAACAAATTGAAACTATCCCGATAACAATTAAATTAACATCGAAAAACTTGTCACGCTAAGTACATTAAAATTGCCGGCAAAAAGTTGCCAGTTGCCATGACAAGATGCCGGTTGCCATCCATAACAATCCATTTTGCTCTTGTTTTCTAATTTTGATTTTTTGTTTGGTCTTTGAAATGTCGTAAAAATATTTGAATCAAATGATATGAATAAATTGTCTATTCAAGAAGACAAATCTCAGGAAGATCTTCAACAAGAGGAACGTGAAAAAATGCAGTAAGTACAAGTTTATAATTTTCTTTAACCCATCTTAAATCGGTTTACATTCAATACTTCTCCAGTAAATCATCAGTCATTTAATTTCCTTTTGTCTGTTTTTTCAGAGTTTTGGTATAAAATTTTAGTGAAGAACAACTAAATCGATATGAAATGTCCCGCAGAGCATTTCCCCAAAAGCAATCCATCTGATGAACATTCCAAGAAGCAAGAAGAACCTCAAACACATGAAGAACCTGAACCAATATCGACCGAAGAAAGACAACCTTTTGTTAATAGTCTACTAAACCTGATCGATCAAAACAAAATTGATGGAATCATTGATACCCAAAGACACATGTAAGTAAACATTTGTTTTGACCTATCTTTACATCTTTTGAAGACTTTTGACAAGAGAGAAATTGTATTTGACATCTATTATTTTGTTAGCCTCTACTAAATTTTATTTTAATTAATTATTTACTTTGTCTCTTCACCAGGATGGCAAGATTTGAAAAAACTAATGAAATGCTGGTCAATTGTAATGCCCTTTCACTTTCTCGATATGAAATTGCTATGAAGGAAGTTAAAAGAATGAGCCAAAATTTGGGAGAAATGAAAAAGGATTTAGATTACATTTTCAAACGAGTTAAATTTATTAGAACGAAATACAATCAGCAACACCCGGAAGCTTTTAAATGTAAGTAGACAATTAATAATATCATTGGAAAAGGGAAATGCATATTTAGTGATGATAGTCATAACATCGATAGTAAGTTCATGAATTAAATCTGGAATAATTAACTCTTTGGGTGTTTAACCCTCATATTAATCATTTCCTTGTTTCTTGGTCCATGGACATCTCGCTTAAATCAAGATTAAAACTATAAAATTACCAATTAGATTTTTTACATTCACTATTGTCAGATGAATTTTTTTATATGATAGTTAGCTGCATATCCATTACTCATTTTCCCATTGAGTTTCGCTCTTTTAATATCTGTAAAATTGACAAATGTAACATTGATAATGATAATAATTTAAATATAAATTTGATAATTTGAACAATACTAATATGCATCTGTTTCAATTGAAATTTTAGCGCTGATGAACAAAGGTAATCAATTGGATGAAGAAGAGGACGAGGAATCTTGATGGAACTGACCAAACTAAAATACATCAAAATAATATCGGGTTTGAACCAGAGAAAAAAATTAAAGAGATGAAAAAAAGCTGGACGCAGTTGCGGATGGTTTTTAGTTATGAATGTGCATGTTGTGTTTGTAAAGAGTTAATCGAATAAGTCTTTAAGAGAATGATTCATAATTTGGCTTATCGTCACAATTTTTGAACAATCTTTCGAGTGATGGCTAGGTTAATGCCACTTGTCCTTTATCTCTATTAAAATCTTTAAAACAAGATGGAAACAAAGCGACAAGCAAATTTTGCTATAACTTTTATCAGATCTTGGTGTCTTTGGGTTTCCATGTTTATGTTGTTGCTGGTTCTTCTATTGCCTTGGAATTTTTGGAAGTTTCATTGGAGTAAAATAACAGTGGGCTCATGCCGAGAAAACATCCGATCAAGATACCAATAACCCGTCCGATTTGAACGCTTAAACGAGTTCGTAACATATCAGTCTGAGCTGGCGTCAATTTTGGATAAGTAACACCGATCTTATTGGCTAGTGTCTCAACATACCAAGCTGACCCTATTCCAGCCACATCTGATATAGCATTTCCAAGGGCAGCAGCAGCCATGGTGGAAATACCTGAAGGAACAGAAAAAACAATAGATTTTAAGTACTCTCGAGAATCTTAATTGCCATAAAATGAATTGACTATTGTACAGAAATTGACGAAATGGACAGAGTTTTATCGTTATCCATTTATTTAGTATTACAAAGAAATTTTGTAAAAGAAATCGAAATGAAATTGTATAGCAAAATTTTCCATGATATTGTATTTAATTTAAAAAAAACTCACCAAAAGCGACTCCAAGTGTTGTATCAATATATTCACCCGCAAGAATCATAATAAAATTATCAAGAAAACCAAATCCAATGAAAGGAAGTGATTGATGAAAGGCAATTTGACGCATTTGTTTAGAGTTTGGTGGAATCACGTTAACAGACTGAGATCCTTTATCTGGTAAAATTAGTTCTCGTCTTTTAGATAACTCTTGCATCAACATATCTTGCTCTTTGGTGCCAAGTAGATCAACAAATGTTTTGACCCCATCGGGCTCTGTTAAAAAGGACCCTGACTTATAATAAGCAGTTTGTTTAAAGGTTAACTTATACCCAACATTTGAGAGTAATTTTTTAGCTAAAAAATTTTGGTTTCCCAGCTGACCAAGATTCCGAATCACTTGGATAGTTTTCATCTAGAGTTTGTGATGATGAATTAAGTTAATAATGGGATTTTTTCACTGGCTTGGTTAGTCACTAATTTAATTTGATTCGTCAACTAAGAAACAATTGATGACATTGAATTGATTGCGATGGATATTTAATTGGGAGGGTTAATTTGATTAAGGACGGATTTCTGTTTAGTCTTCAGTAGCAATGATGGTAGCAAAACTATTAATAGATGCTTGGTTTTGGATACTGAGTGATCATAATCCAACATATCACAGTTAAGGTTTGATTTATAAACATTTATTGATTGAATAAGTAATAAATAAAGATCGATAAACACAATTAAAAGATGATTTGGAGCAGTAAATGTTGACTAAAGCAGCAGTGAAAAGGTAGGAAGCATTGAAAGGTCGAAACAAAACAAAACAAAACAGTGTAATGCTTTTTGTAGCTGAGTATAGAAAAAAGAAAGACAAGATGAAACATAAATAAGGGAAAGTCGTAAGTTGTTGATGATAAAGATGAAGAAGAGGAGAAGATGATGAATGCCTTTGGGTTTATGCACAATTCAATAATCTCTTTCTTCTCTTTCACTATTTCCTTTCTCTAAGCCTTTTCCTCCCAATAATGTAGCTTTCATGAAATCCTTTGGCTGCTTAACTGAATTTCAATTGATGTTGCATTCATCTTCCACTAGCAAAAGGCAGGCGAACTCCAAGAGAGCAATAGAAATGACAATGATTTTGACTCAGATTATCTGAGTAAGTAAACAAACAAACAAGAATAATTCTGGTCACGGAAGTAATTTAATTATCCTACAAGCTTCACCAAAATACAACTTTGATCTTTGTCATATTTTAACCTTTCTAGATTTGTCAATTTTTAAAACGCCAAGCTAACCTTTAAATATAATATTAATGAAACAAGAAAATATTAAGCATCACCAGCTTATGTTTTTAAAAAAGTTAATTGTAAATGTGTTAACAGCTTTGATAGTGTTTTAATTAAAATGTATTTTTATATTATCTGTGAAATGGTAATGAGATGGTTAATTTCATGGATTATTAATGTCTTGTCAGCAATCCAGTCACAATTTTCTGCTCAAAATTTCGAATGTGAAATTGATTTAAATGTAATTGATTTGTGTTTCTTATTACATGATAAAGGTTAAATCAGTAAAAAATTAATTTCCGGTGGCTATTGAATGAAAATAAGGTCAATCTTGCAACCAAATCAGGCAAACAAAAATGATTAACATCAGTATATTTCACACATTAACATTAACAATTCAACTCTAAAAATGGTGTTAAAAGTAGCAAATGAACTCATACGAAGTGTTCCGATTAACTATATTGAGCAGAAAAATCATCATTTAATCGTTTAATACAATTATCGTTCGCTCGGTCAAATTGAACAATCTGATTGTAACAGCAAAATGTTAAACTTTTTCTAGTACAGTTTTAGGTTAGTAGATGTCACTAGTATCTGTGTTCAGTAAGGGATGAATTTTTCTTATGTTGTTTATCGAAGGGAATTAAAAGTTGATTAATGATTAATGTGAGGCCAAAGATAATAAACAAAATAAACATGATTCTGTGTTAACATTGTTTTCCCTATTTGATATTTTATCTTATCTTTCCCTCCCTACCTAGTTACCTGGTTGTCAGGTGAAGAATAAAGAATCTGAGATGCTTTGATTGGATGGATTGGCTTATTTTGATTACCTCGATATAGACCATTGTCATTGATTTAACCGCAAACCAACCTTTGGTTCATCGAGATAACTGGTTGACTTGAAAAATTTCTGGTAAGTCGGCTTTTGGGTGATCAACCCTCTGATTGTTGTTTAACGTAATCAATCACGAGCAGGATAGTATTCAATAACATACAGTAATACAATAGCAAAAGGAAAGATGTTGCCGATTATCTGGAGAATTGATTTCTAATTACTATTAAATGAATACTTTAAACTTGACCTTGTTATCGATTATGTTTTGTTGCTATTTTATTGCTGCTTTCATTATCAATAGTTACCTGTCTCATCGTCAATTGAATGATTCAACAAAAATAGAGTAAATAACAAATCTCTTCTCTCTTTTTATCTGTAGGTTGCATTTAAAAAGCATCAAGTATGTCAACCGATATCACTTTTCCTAAGAAAGTTTGCTTTTGTTTGTTAACTGGATTTAATGACAATGGACCAATTGATCTTTCAAAGAAACCAACCAGTTTCCTTGGTTGATTGGCTTAATTGGTACAGGTCACTTATTATTGAAATCTGGTTTGGTTTGATTTTTTATTATTATCAAAAATCATTTTCTAATCTTTTCCATTCTCATCTTCAGGTCTTCTTCATCTTCTCAAAGTCAGTTTTGTATCAAATAATGATAACCACAACAACAATGGAGTCAACAAAGAAAGAAATCACGGAGCGCCTGTTAACCAGGTCAATTAATCTTTCAACAAAACAATTAAACATCATCTGAACTGCAAATTTGTTTTTTATTGGCCATCAATTGACTGTTGGAATTATAATAATCCCAATAACTGAAACATGGTTTAATTCAGGGAAAAAAAGTCAATAGCAAATAAGGATGACCGAAGGAGTACCAATTTTCATCATACAATCAATTTTAATGTAACATCTCATCAATGGGTATGATTATGATGATGAAAGTGTTTCAAATGGATCCTACTTGTAAAGGGTCAATCACGATTCCAGATTAAATTTGATTTCCAATGATTAAGCAATGGGTTATTTTATTTAAGGTAAGTTTTATTTATTTCCAGCCAAAGTCAATAGTCACTGAATTTATTTTTATTTTTTCAACTTCAACTCTGCAGGTATTTGGTTAAAAGAAGCTAACGAGTTAAATTAGCAAAATAAAAGACTGGAAAAGGCAATGGGAATGCTGACGATCAAATGGGAAAAGGAAGACGAAGAAGCGTAAAGAAGCAACATTAAGATGAACAAATGGAATAGAGATAGAAGAGAGAATCTTGAGGAGCAAAATGAAGATTCAAGTTAATTAGTTTCTTTCCATTTAAAGGTTACTCCACGGTTGGAAAGTAATTTATTTTTACCAATGTAGAGTCAAATTTTTGGCTAATTAATTCAATGATATTGAAACAAGTGTCCCTTTAGCAGTAGCCTAACTCATTTCCAATGGTCTCTTGTCATATTGTATCATCACTCTATCACCCTATGAATCAATTTAAAAGTGAAAAAATGTGACACTCCAATTAGGTCTACAGCGAAACGAGAAGCAGATGAAATACTTGAGAGCAACTTTTCACATTACCACTTGAAATATTCATAATTTATCGTCTATTTTAAGACTCAGTTCAACTTGTTCCATTGATATTTTTATCATGACTGCAAACATTGCTTTACGCCTTCGTCATCTCATTTTCCCTTCTCATTTCTTGTCAATTTACCTTACAATCAAGTAGTTAAGAGAATTACAATTACTGTCAGTCTGAAGATGAAAGGGAAAACACTGAAAACCTTGATGGTTCTGTTTAATTTTCAACGTCATTTCAATTTCTTGCTTCTTACAAGTCGTTTACCCCTTTAAACTGGTAAACATTGAATTAATCTTTGATTTCCAGCAGGCCATGGCGATAACAATGTTGCAGTAAGCATTATTGTTGACTGATTCTTCAGTTAAACAACTGATAAAATCAAATGGTTATTTTGTAATTACATATCACACATATGCACATTAAGTATCCTATTACATGAAAGGCAGAGAAGGCAGAAATAAACAAACATTGAAATGAAAAAGGTTCAAAAGTTTAAAGCAAAACATCAGTTTAGATTGAATGCCAAGTAAAATAGCAATTAACTTTGACAAAATAAAATTGACGTAGATTGGCTTGAAAAATAGCAAAGTTATCATTTAAGAATGTTCATTTTGACGAAAAATTGTCAACTTTTAAAGCTCAAAAATAAGGCCAAAATAAATCTTTCCAAGGTAATCTCAGCAACAAGTGATTCGTATAAACTGTTGCCACTTTGCATTGAGTGTTTCCTTGAGACATCAAAACGTCTTAATTATGAAAGATTAACGTATTAGTAGCTTAAATGTTAATAATAGATTGATTTTGATGTAATCAGGCTTGGCAAAGTGGTAAAACAAAACAAACCATTGAAACATCAAATCAATTGTTTATTTTACCTAAAAAATTTTACTCCAATCAGCAATTATTAATCATGAGATTGAAATGAAAGACAAACGTTAAAATGATTTGTAATATGAAAAAAGGAACCCAAATTATCTGGAATTGGCCAGTACATCAAGTCAATAATGGTAATCAAACTGGCATGTAAAATAATGGAAAAAAGTCGATTTTGATCTTTGATGCTGTTTCGAGGGTCAACACATGATGTTGATAAACTGTTATAGTTTTTATAGCTTTGATTATTTGATAAAAAATGAGAACCTTTAGTGGCTTTAATAAAAGAATGATAAAAAAAGAATCCCAAAATAATGGTAATTTCAATTCTAATGATTGGGCTACCAAAAAATCGCAATCAATAGTCGTCAACATACAAATGTAGTTGTCAATATGATGTGAGGCCGTGATTATATCTATCATTATTGTTGTTTGATGTCGATGATAATGATTATGATTAGTGTAACAGTAACAATAATAAATTAAAGTATTCTCGTTGACTATTAACATAACCAAAAAAATGAAACATCCTGTTGATCTTTCCCTTGTCAATTGGCTTTGGCTATATTGTACAGAAAAAGCAATAATAAAAGTAAAAATGAGTAAGATTTCCCTTGTTTGTCAACTGAAAGTAAAATGGATTGAATGAGGTTGATAATAAGGAATAGATTTGTGTTTGATTAGCGTAGAAATGATTTTGATTAGGTTTAATCAGTAAAAAAAAGCGAGATGAGACATTGCTTTGTGTAATATTTCGGTCAATGTGAATATTTAAAGGTAGGCCCACTGTGAAAAGGATAACCTCCCACCCAGGGCCAGATTTAGATCCGTATTGTCCCATAGAGAAATAAATTCGTATTGTTAAGTTGAGGGTCCAAAAGAATTAAGCTTAAACAGAATTGTGACAATTGAAGGGGAAACAAAACAACGGCACAAACACACGTCCTTTGGAAACATAGAAACATTGTGTTCCTTTGGTTATGGTTGATTGGTTCAGACCAAGTCCTGGTACATATTCAAAGTCCATTAAACTGTGTACATTAATTGTGTACAGTTGTTCATTTTTACTAGTTAACCATAATGTCATAAAGTGAAAATATAATTAAATTAAAAATCATAAAATGAAAATAATCAAAATTGATGATTATCAAGTCTCTACAAGTTTTAAGTAAACAAAAATGACTAATAAATTGCTACTTTAAGGTAACTTTATTATTATGAAGATGGCAGCATAAAAGGAATCAATTATGTAGCCTTTATCACCTTAGAAACAAAATTCAAATTGACAGTTATGTTAATAAATATTGATGAGCAAACATAAAAGTAACCAACCCTTGACATAAACATTTTATCTTTATTTTTCGGTTTCATTGTTATTAATATTTGAATTGTTTACTGATGATGATAACTCTTAACTTTGGAGGAAATGGTCCATAACAAGAAGCAAAAGAAAAGGCGATAACCAATGGTCATTGATGTAAATGAAAAGCGTTTTGTTGAATTCAAATGGTTAACCAGTTTTTACTTTTCTGTTACTCCTGTTTCAACCGTATTGTTATTTTCAATTGTAATCATCAAGGAAATTTTATTCATCAAGACTAACTTAATTATAACTGTTAACTGGTCAATAATAATGCTGATTAGCCCAAAGATGCTGGTAGACTTTCCCTAGCTATTACTTGGTCGACAACACGCGATTCAGTTTAACAATTAAGTTTCCTGGGAAAACTAACATTTGTTCCGTATTCGTGTCAATTATCATTTAAACATTTCAATTTTAATTTAAATTAAATCATCATAGACAAACAATCAACCCGATTCTATTGGATATACCGATGGTTAATGAACCATGGATGAAAATTTAAAAATGATAAACACTCAATAAACAGATAATTATTCCAATGACGCTGAAAGCAAATAAGTCAACACAGGACATTGGTGAAGTCGGATTAAACTGGATATTGATCAAATAAAATTAAAAACAATAACCAGTTAACCAGCCAGTTAATTTTAACTATGAATTGTTACAATAGTCGTTTGTACAATTGGTTAAACGCCTTAATAATTTTGAAGTAAATGTCAGATAATTACGAGCTAAACAATCAAGCCTAAAAAGTTTCAGTTGCAGTTAGCGTCAATCAACGGAATCCATAATTTGTCTTTGTGTCTGGTCATTGGTGATTATTATGATAAGCGGAAACAATCAATAAATTACCAAGGATAAAGAACTTTCCAAACTTCAGGAAGAGAAATTCTGATTCTCTTGAATAAGATGACGATTATTATAATACATAATGAGAAAGCCTTCAAGGACATTGCACGGTGGTTGATTCCGTTGTTAAATTGTGTTTAAACAACCATTATAAGCTGAGAACTACAATAATCACTGACAGAATTAATAAAGATATTGAAGAGACTCACTTGATAATTTCAAGAGACGAAGCTTATCAACAATCAATTTGAATGTCTTATGAAGTATTAATAAGAAGATTTTTGTTGATCAATTAAATAGCCCGAATCATGATGAAGAAAGGGAAAAAGAGATCAGAAAGTTCAAGAAAATGTAAAAATTGATGAATTGTAAAAGAAATGTCAGAAACATCAACTATTATTATGAATATTACTGTTATTAATATTAGAGTTTCAGATGTTATTACTCTATTATTTAAATTGTTATTAATATTGTTAAAGGTTAAAGAACCTTTGGGTTAACTTGTTGAGTGAATATATGAATTATCTGAATTTTAAAAAGGGAACAAGATGGTTGAAAATGGTTACTACTACAGATACTAATGAAAGGCTTGTGAATCATGAGACTTACTACAAAAAAATCATTGATAACAATTTAATCCATGGATTGATAAATCAAGACACGAATCAAAAAATGTGAATCAATTATGTTTATCATTATAACACTCAATCAAAAATGTAAGCCTTCAATAGCTACTGTATACTTTTGATTTAACTTTCATTTTGTGAGGCTAATCATGCAGATGATTATCATCATTATTTAGATATCATCTTGGTTAAAATAAAGATGATTGTTCACAAGAATGGAGAGGATGGAGAAGAAAAGTAAGGATGAAAATGACTAGCGTAACCAAATATCTTAGGATTAGATGATACTTTTTGTACGGAAGTCCGTAACATTGATTTAGCTGATTATCAAGCTTCACTGGATTCAAGAGGTTACCTTTTAAACAATGTAAAATTGAAAGGTACAAATGAATGGAACAAGGTTTGTAAAATTTTCAAGATTATCCGGTTGCATGGTCAAAGGCAAGATAAGAGGTATAAGTTGGGGAAAATGTGGAAAAATAATGAACAGAAAAATTAATCAGTAAAGTTGAAACGTCTTGTTTTTTTTTGGGTTTTGGTTATCTTCATATCTTTTAATTTAAGCTTCAAAAGTAAGCAATCGTCATGATTTTTCAAACCAATGGAGAAGGCAGTTAAACATGGACAAAGTTTTATGAATCTTTTTCAAAATTTTCTGCAAATTACTTGGTTTCTCATTTACTTATTTGGCTCATTCCATCTTTTTATCCTCATCCTTTATTCCTGGTAATAATTTCCTTCAATTTGCAAGGTAATATCTTTGAACCGTGACCATGCCAAGAAATGTCGTCATTTTTCAAATTTCACTTTCAATCTGAGTAATGACTGTAAGATCAGGCAGGTAAATCATATGAGTCTGGAAATTGGTGATTGATCATTTGGTGTTGATGGATAAATCTTGAAGCGTTTTCATTATTCCTTGCAATCCATTTTGATGTCTTGAAATCGACAAGAGTAGTTGAAAAGAATCACTGGGAAACGAAAAAAAAGTGAAAGAAAAGTTCAAGAGTATATGTATTGGGGGAGAGAAAGAGTAAGATGTTGTGCAAAATAGTAATGACATTAAATCATGGTTGAGTGAGGAGAGAGTTAAAGATGATTTCAGTGGCTGAATAATGAAGCTCGTCAAGTTTTACGTTGAGATATCACATAAAAAAAGAGGATCAAGAAATCCATCCGAAATTATCAAATAGGCCAATCCAAAATACATGTATCTCTACTGGTTGGGTTTTACAATTATGGCAGAAAAGATATAAATATTGATGATAGAGTTGTTTGTTACTTATGTTAACAAGACAAAAAAAGAGAGATGAACAAAAATCTGAAATATTTGACTTTGTTTTTGTTTGGTGGTAAAAAAATGTGTGATTTCACAGATGATTTTATCGCCAAATTTTACATACATTCTTGTATTAAGTCCTCGACAAAAAAGATTTGGTTGCTGTTGTCCCCAGCTATAGGTACATATAAGGTGAAAAATGGGATTCGTTGACTTGTTTTTTTTTGTTGATGGAAAGTGAAAGTTGATGATGGTGATGGTGATGGAGATGGTGATGATGATAATGGAGATGATGATAGATGGAGATTATGACTATTTGAAAAGAGAGTTGTATTGATGATCTCAGTCACCTTCCATACACAAACAATTGTCGGGTGATTAAATAGTCAGTTATTAGATGTATGAAAAAAAGACCATTTCAATGGCGTCGAGGTGTGTCAATATCTTCACCATTGACTTTGGGAAGCCAGGATGTTAATTTCATCTTCATCTTTATGCTATTTGTTAATGATACTTTGTTTGTTGTGTATTGATGTGTTTTTGTAATTTTCATTGTGTGAGTAGATTTAAATATATATATATACTTTGATATATAGACTATTATGAGATTCAATTTGCATCAGGAATGCTGTCAGAAATATAAAATATATATAGATTTATGCAAATAATGGTTTATATATAAATTTGCGAGAGGCAGGGGAAAGAAAGTCTTTGGTTCTGAACTTTGATGATGGTTGATGACTTTTTGATGATACAATTTTGCTGAGTTGCAAATGAAACTAGTTTCACAGTAGAAAAGAAACACACTTTTTATAGTTGAGTGTTGATTAAACACAAACGCGCCTCTTTATACAGCACTATCTTTGGGCTTTCTGATTACTTGATGGTTGTTGACTCGGTCATGAATATCTCTGAAAGAAATAAGAAAGAAAGAATAGGTTAGAAAATAAAGATTACAATCAATTGATTCCAAAATGGCAAGCATAACAAATAAGGCAAAAAATAAGAAAAGCCAATGCAAAAATAAGCAAAAAAAACGAGTAAAAAAATAAGATATTTCTGCTTGAAATTTAAAGCGCAAAAAAACAATGAATATAGTGATGAATAATGGAAATAATTCAAGCGTTGAGAAGCTAAAAGTAAAGCACAAAAAATACTAAACAATGCTGTGTGACAATTGCATGATGAGAAATACATAAAAGGGCAAAACAGGGCAACAGCAATGAATTAATAGCTGCATTTGAGGGAAAAGGTTTACATGGTGACAGGATAAGGTGGGGATGTGAGATGAATGTGAGTGAGATTATTGGGAAATTAAATTGTTGAAGAAAAATCAACAATAATGACGTAAAATGCAAACATTGTGGAGGAGGAAGGTAAAGGTTTGTGTGAATACAAGTATCAAGGATAACGAAATGAATGTAAAAGGTTTACAGGTTATCATCTCACAGAAATTGGAGCGTTAATTGGCAATTGTTTTTATCTCATACTTTTTCAGCTAATCAATCTAAATACAATGCAATTTAGGTGTTGATAGAAATGTGCTAATTGTGATTAATGCAGGGAAAGGCAGCGATCAACAATAAAAATAATAATAGGAATAATAATCTGCACAAAAAAAGCACATGAAAGGAGACAAAAAAGGAAACGGATTTCATCTCAAATTGTGAGAAAGCTCACCCTCTTGAATCAGTAACCAACATCATGGGTGTTAGTTCATCACTTCTAATCTTTCCGTTATTAGAACTTATGGATAGAAACAAGAAATAATTGTTAGTTGATGATATAACAATAATATCAAAATAAAGTGAATAGATCATCATCAGAATCACTATTATCAAATTCAAATGAAATTATTAAAAAGGAGCAAAAATTACGTCAATGATTATGAGAATATAAAAGAAGGTCAAAAATTATAAATTAATGGTTGCATTTTGAAAGGGACATTAGTTTTACCCTAATTTGACCCTAAGACGCTATAAAACTCAAATTGTAAAGATGAATTAACAATTGTATAGCAATTAACTACTGATATTCAAAGTAGTCAAGTATTCCTGATAGCTAATGACAGCTTTACAAATTTGGCCTTTCCTTTCTTGACAATGTTCATCTATTTTCAAGTTTTCAATCGCCAATAATACACTTGATAGAGGTATTGAAATGTATAAAAGATGCTTACTCAAAAGCGGGATTATCAATTTCACTTCTTGATGATCGCTTGACTTCCGAAATTGATCCAAGGTTGCTGTTATAAATATTGAAAAAGTGGACAAAAAATGATGGAAATTAATAATGAGAAATAATAATGGGAAATGATGATAGAAAAGCAATAAAAGAGGATGATTTAGTTCTTTTTTGATATTACATTCTTTACAAGTGAGATACTTGAAATGAAAAGTTTGAAGATGCAGTACTATGATAATTATCATCCGTTTAATTTAATTTTTTCCTGTTAATATAACTGAAGAGACTGAACTTGAATTTGGTGATGTTTAAAGGAAGAGGAAAATGACGATAACTTACGCAGGATGGAAATCATTGGATTTTGCTTTTTTATGACTATTGACTGATGTCTCAGGCCAGATGAAGCTTTTGATGAAATATAATACACCAACTTTACAACGGATATAGAAGATTATGTCCATTAAAATGAGGATTATTATGAGTGATATGGCAACCGAGATGAGTGCTGTTCCCATGCTGTTGTAGGATTCATCATAGTCCAAGTCTTGACCCCAACCAGAAGGAGATGAAGCTAAAATAATAAACAATAAAGATAAATTAATAATTGAATAGTTTTCAACGATTTCAAGACTATTAAGACTTGTTTTCAAATGGTTTTATAATATGAAAATGATAGAAAAACAATTTTGATGGATTTTTTGAATAACCGATTTCGATAGTTTATACAGTAAATTTGATTCAAAGTAGTCATCATAAGATTATAAGATGATAATACTCATTACAATATTTGTTATTAACGTCGCTATTATCATCAATTTAGCTGGTTCAGAGTGGATTGAAGCTCAAAAAATTACAAAGGATTGGAAGATTAAATATTTACTAGAAATGCTAAGCTGCAGATACAAGTTTAGGTAACTGGATATGATGATTTGTTTGATAAACAGAAAGTCAGATTAAAGTGTAGATTAATTTTTCATTTCAACTTTCTATATTATGAACAACTAACTGTCCAATCAGATTTGATTAATTGTCTTTAACGACTATTTTAGAGGTTTCACAGTTTGTATTTCAATCAACAACAAGCAATTTGAAGCTAATTTAATTTGATTTATTGGGCTGGAAAACAATTCACATAATAATTTGAAATCAATGGCGGATCTGTCAAAAAGTCATATCTAGTTTCTGGGTTGTAACAATATTCAAAGATCTGAATAAAGGTTACGTTGAAATATTAATAATTGAGCCTTTTATTCTTGAACCGGGATTGTCAGAGTCGATTCCTTTCTAGATCTTGAATAATCATTATTTTACGAATTATATACAGAAAATGAATTTAATTAATTAGCTTGAATTGCCAAGCTTAGGTCATCAAATATTGTTTTAAACTACCATTCATCCACATTTTAAGGAGAGACGAGAGTTGTGTGATAACTAATTTTACCCAGAAATTAATTAAATGTTACTAAAAATAATGAAAATATACTTTAAAATAGAGTTGATGAACTAAAGATTGATAAAATCTATTTCATAACTAAAAACTAATAACAATCAGTCGACAGAGACAAACAGTAAAGTGCTAATCAACTAGAAAAATTGATACAAGAATTGCTGGCAAAATAAAGATACTAATGACAGTGAGTGTTGTGAAAATACAATAATTGATTGTAATCCAATTTTTGTCAAGTTTTTTTGTCGATAAATCGTGAGTTGAAATTGACAAATTAAAATGAAGAGAAAAAACTAGTCTTGATGGATAATGAACTTTTTAACCGATACGTTCCAGCAAATACCAATCAAATCATTTGTTACACGGTTGAAGAAATTGATGTTGAACCAATGCCAGATTATTTACCTCGAGAATAATCAAGTTTTCCCAGTTTAACATAGATTTTGTGTAACAATAATCAGAAAATAAATTGGATATGAATAATGATGATCATTAAAAAAAGTATTCAGCTGATTTGATTAAGATTGTACAACTTAAATGCAATTATCGAGGATAAGGATTGAATGGGTAATATTAAAAAGAAACATCTCAAGTAGTAGACTTGGTAGACAGAGGAGAAAGGAGACAAAATTAAGTCAATTTAGAGAAACCTAATCAATAAATCTTTTTAGGACATCAGGAATATATTATTGACAAGGGAAGGCCCCAAAATCGATACAGTATATTGTACAAGAGGAAAGGAAAAACGGTCCTAAGAGAGTGAAAGAAATCAAGTTTCTAGGAGATTGTTGTTGGCAAACAAATGAGTTTAGCTTGTCAACAAGTAAAGCTTTTAAAAATACTAGTTTGAAAAAAATATTTTAGCCTTTGAAGGTTTGAAGGCTCTTAAAATAATGACAATATGAGAAGTAATAATAATGATGTATCAATTTACAGAGATGTTGATCTAGTTAAGGTCAAGATAAATGTTTAGACAATTTCATAGCCCTTTAAGCTACTTTATGACTAAATATGACTAACCAAATTACATTTATTTGAAACATTGTTTATAAAACAAAGTTGAATAATTTATTACTTACCAGAGGTTGAAGTTTTAAAGATGAGTTCACTTGGGTCGCTAGTTCCTATTGAATTTACTGCATAGAGCTCAATTTTATACATAGTATTTGGAGATAAATATCGCAAAGTATATTCCAAAGAGTCATGAGCATTCACTTTAACTTCGGCATTATCTTCACCGTTGATTAAATAACCATCTTGAGTTTTATGAACTTTATAATATTTAATAAGGTAATGAGTAACTACTCGTCCATTATCTTCAGCTTGATTCCATCTAACATGATACCTATCACCGTAATTACTTTTCACATGTCCATCTATGGCCATTTGACGAGTTTCAAGATCACCGTCGAACAAGAAAATAGGTTTTTCGGGTCTACTTTCCCCTGGTGTAGATTCAACACGGAAAGGAGTAAAATCTCCAGTTCCAACATCATTTTCAGCAGCAAAAGTCATTCGGTAACGTGTTCTTGGGGTTAAATCTTCAATGCGATAAATTTTACCAGAAGCGGGCCAAATTTTTTGCTTTTCTGTGTCAGCTTCAGACTCACGCCAATATTTGACAACATAATTTTTTATTTGTAAGTCTGACTCAACATCAGATAGTTCCAGTTCAATGGAAGTTGGACGCGTTTTAATTATCTTCACATTTGGGGCTTTTGGACTAAAAGCTTCAGTTAACTTTATCTCTACTGTTTTGATTCCTTTTAAATTTTCAGCAACACATAAATAGGCTCCATAAACGTATTTCCCAGCATTTGGTTTAACCAGCAAATGGCTAATTCCATTACCTTCGTAAATAGCGAAACTATCTGAAAGTTGATAACGAATATCTTCATTGTTGAACCTCCAGGAAATGGTTGCATTAGGAATAGCTTCAGCAATGCATGTCAGGTTAACTGGGTTACTTGCCCAAGTTTTAACATTGGTATTGGTTAATGAAAGGTCAGGCGCGAATTCAACTTGAATGTGACCCACAACTTCCGTTACACCAGCCTTATTTTTAGCACGACAAAAATAAAGTCCATCATCCTTTCGTGTAACTGCGTTAACTTTCATACGGAATTCAATTTCATTTAAACCAATATTTTTGGTTTCAAAAGTGTAAGGAGAAGCAACAATAGGTAATCGATGTTTTTCCAATCCATCTTGAGAGCTGGTAACTTTTACAATTTCAACTTGAGGAATTGGGTTGCCACGAACTTTGCAACTCCACTCCTGTCGTGTTCCTTCACCATAAGTAACATTTTCAAATTGAAATACCACAGGTTTGGTGAAAACTTTGAGTTCCATTCTTTGGTTAGCCTCACCAGCTGTATTTGAGGCATGACACTCAATATATTGATTTTCAGTATCTTTTTTTACTGACTCAATAATTAGCCTTCCATTAACTGTATCAACAGTATAACCAGACTCAAATGTTAAGTTTCTTCGACGATTGTCAATGAATGAATAGAATGGTAAAGGTGTTCCAGTTGCTTTACAGTCAATTACCGCTCTTTCACCTTCAACAATTTCTCCAGATTTGGCAAATTCAACTATGGACGGTTTCACTAACACTTGAACTCTGATATTACGATCTCTAAGGATACCATGTTCTAAGATAGATGCTGTTATCTTATATAACCCAGAAGTTTCATTAGATACAGGCCCTTTTACCATAATCCCATCATTAGTAATGGAATATCTTTGCTTGTCCAATTCTTGACGGTCTTTTTCCCAACCGATTTTGGAAGTTGGTTTGGATGAAACTTTACACACAATCTTTTGGTTTTCTAAACCCATTATAAGAAATTGATCTTCTGGGCAATCATCCCAAGTAATACTTTTGAACACAATAATCTCGATAGAAGCATTAAGTGGCTTGGTATTTTGATAGATTGCAGTACAACGGTAGTTACCTCCGTCACCAATATCAGGATCATTTATTATTAAACTGAGGGAACCTGCAGATTGCTTTAATCGAATCCTTTGGTCTGAAAAGATGCGCTCATTATCTCGATTGAACCATTGAAAGTCCGAAAAGTATCTAGGCTCTACGTTAATACCTAGGCAAGTAAGTAAAAGCGTTTTGTGAGCCTCAAACCGAGCTCTTTCACCCTGCGGAAAAATGGTTAACCGTCCGTGGGCTTCATTGTTAGCAGACACAGTTATACCAATACAGGTAAGTATAAATAAACTTAGCACAAAAGATGTTAATATATTCCTCATGATTAAAGTTGTTCACATAAAACCAATCAAATCCAACGTTTACCAATTCACAATTTTACAAAGAAAATTCAAACTTTTTTGAAATAAAGTGAAACTACATAATGAGTAATCTCTCTAAAAGATGTAATATTACTCATCTTACCTATCACGTGACCTACCTTTAGTAACGCCTGAATAAAGATTTATCGCCATCTCTTGGATTTTATTACAACTGTATTTTTTATGTAAGTTTTAATAAAATTGAGCGATCAAAGTTAAACTTAACCTACAAAGGATTGATAATTAATCGAGCAATTCGATAGATTAAGATCACCAATTAGGAGCAATTATTTCAAGAATTTATTCAACGAATTCTGTTATACAATAGATTAATCAAAAAAGACTATTCAATAATTCGTAATTCGTTTATTCAAAAATTGGAAAATAAATGACAGATAGAATGATTAATATTTGATTTTTGTGGTATTTTACTAATCAATTGAAAAAATTGAAAACAATGATTGTTCTTGAAACAATTGATCTGCTTACATGTGAACTGGGAATTATCTGTTTCACAGCATTACAATAAACATTAAATTCAATCGGGAAAACTTCGCATTTACGGTTATAAAAATTGTTTAAAATAATGGATGTGCGATTAAAAATCATTTTTTACCATCAGACTGCAAATTATTTGACTCTGTACAGAATTTTTCTTGAAACTCGATAAGAAATTTCTCCTCGACGAATCATACAGTTCAATACTTTGTGAACAGTCTTTTCTGGAATATCTCTTTGAACCAAATCTTGAACAATCGACGTTTCTGTGAGTTGCGTTCCGACAGGGAAACGCTTTTTAATTTGTTTTTCAACCTTAACGAGTGCTTGATGGTCTTCTTCGCTGGTAAATCCTTCAGCACCAGCTAGATCACCGCTGGAAGCAGCTTTAAGTGTTGAAGCACTGAAAAGTCTTTTGGCCTCTTCAACATGACGATCTTCAACAAAAGGTTTGAGTTCCATTTTAGCTAAACTTTCAGATATTCGAACAACAGCTTCCAATTGACGAACAGTGATAGGAATAGTTGAGCGCCGACTGGCATCAGGATCATCACCACCATTTCTCATGTTAACATAACTTTCAATAAGCTTTCTGCCTGCATCAGCACTTAATCTAGGGCCACATTTAGATCTACAATAGCTTACATATTTTTTCAACGTATTTAAGCTAAGTTCACCTTCTATACTATCCTCAATAGTTGTTTGTGCGTTCATGTGTACATCCATAACGTGTCTGGCTAAAGTTGCATCCTTTCTTTCATTGTGCTCATCTTTGATGACAAAAATCATATCAAAACGAGCTAAAATAGTAGGCATGAATTCGATATTCTGGTCGGCTTTGGTGTCATCCCATCTACCGAAAACACTATTGGCAGCTGCCAAGACTGCACACCTAGAGTTGAGCGTAGTAGTAATACCAGCTTTAGCAATTGAAATTGTTTGTTGTTCCATAGCTTCGTGAATAGCAACTCTATCATCTTCTCTCATTTTATCGAACTCGTCTATACAAACACATCCTCCGTCAGCTAAGACCATAGCACCACCTTCCATGATGAAGTTTCTCTAAAATTTTAGAATAAAGAGCATTATTAATACTTGGAAGTCATATTTACATGTAATTTCTCTTTATGAGAAAATGAACTTACCGTAGCTGGGTCTCGCGTCACAGATGCAGTTAAACCAGCTGCAGAGCTTCCTTTTCCTGAAGTATAAACACCAATGGGAGCTACTTTTTCAACGAATTTCAAAAGTTGACTCTTTGCCGTACCAGGATCACCAAGGAAAAGTACGTTGATATCTCCTCTACGAGTTAAGCCATCAGGCAATCGTTTTCTTGATCCACTGAACAACAGGCACGCAATAGCTTTCTTCATATCTGTACATCCGTAAACTGATGGAGCAATACTTTTAACAATCCGATCATAGACATTCGGACTAGCAGCTAAGTTAATGAAATATTCTTCCTCCTCAGATGTATACGGAATGACCGCACGATGACCAAAGTTTTCACTTTGAATTTGAATTCCAATGACTCTTATGTAAGGATTTCTCACACCAGTATTAGCCTTCCTATCATGTTTCATGGCGGAAATCTTTTTAATTGAATAAATACCAACCACAGTCACTCGATTACCAGGAACAACTCGTTCACACAAATATCTATCGCAATACATTTGCAAGTGTCGTGGCATTTCTCCTTGGGGTACCGCTTCGGGAGCTTCTTGGAGCTTGAGAGTTTGAAAGTCGATACATTTACACTTATCTGGTATGATAAAATAAGGATCTAAAGGACACTTAGCAGTTCTTCCAGCCTGGTCACTATTACATTTACGTGGCATCAAAAAACCTTCTAAACCGGGTCGAACATGAAGACTACTGACTATCTCTCGACAACCTCGACACTGAATAGCTACTTCAGTTGCTTTAGCGCGCACTGATGAAGCGGCAATGACGATACCAGATACTCTGACCAACTTTGAGATGTAATCAGACTTAAGATCCCGCAATGAAACACAGTGCCCGTCTGATGAAATGAGAACTTGAAAGTCACGGGCTTCTTCTTCGCCTTCAGGTCTTGGTCGGGTCACTTCATCACCGACTTCTTTAGCAGCTTCTTCAAACAAAGGTAAACTCTCAATCGGATATTTGGTAATTTGAGTTGCAAGATCCTCATCATAACTGGATATGTCTTCTAGTGCTACTTCAATCCAAAATTGGCCAATGTTATATTGGCGTCGCAGCATGTCTCTACAAACAAAAATACCCCAAATCATGGTTAAATAAAAAATTTAAAAGAGAAGAGAACATTTTAATACCTGTATTTGTAAAGCAAATTCCCTTCATGGTACTGCTTGAGAAAATCTTTGAACTTTCTTTTGATTCCAGTTAAGTTGATTTGTCTTCCTTCTCCTTCATCTTGGAGGCTGGAAACATTGCTGAAATAGACACCAGGATCATCGAAACCATCCATTATTAAAAATAATCAATAAAGAAAAATTAAAATCACAAAAGGTCGAGGTTTAAAAAATTTTAATACACAGATTTAAAGTTAAAGCAATATTAAGTTAACATTTAAAGACTCCTCATCTTTGGCGGGAAACAGACAAAGCAAAGCTAGAGCCATCTGCTTTAAAAAATTGGTGGCTTTTATGAATGAGGAAATTCGACTTTTGCGACTAACTTTAATAAATCAAGTTATTTAAAGCTATCAATTTCAAGGCATTAATTTAAATTGAATCTTAGATTGTAATAATTATTTATTGGAAATCATTTTGATTGTTTGATATATTCGGATTCGGATTCGTAAACAAAAGATAAAATATGTTAGCCGGTAATTTTGACTGTAAGATTTTTCTTAAAATGTAATAATTTGTAAAAATCCAAGAATTTATACTTGATTTTACATAATTTGATAATAATAAGCTAAAAATATTAGGTCTCTAATTGGAGAAATATTTTGATGAATAATAAAAATGATGGGCTTTGAATTTCACTGAAATTAAACATAAATTCGTGTATAGCTTCTTGCACCTTTTACAGGCGGTACTTTCTTTATCCACTCTTCAGTTAGTGATTGACGCTCATCTCTAACTGGGCATTTTCTGACTAATGGACTGATTATTCTGGTTCTGGTTTTCTTGTTGGACCAACTTTGCTTGACATTCGACTTCTGTTTGAATTTGGGATTCTCTCGTTTTATTTCCTTCTTTGCGATAATTTGAGGATTTTCAATAAAAACATGGCGAATCCATTTGGGTTCATCAGTTTTCTCTGCACAAAGTTTATCGATAATATTAGCTTTTATGAAGTCCTGGCTTTCCTGGACAATATTTGCATCATTAGCCTTAAAAAGACTTTGGCCATGAGAATCAAGAGTAATTTTCTCGTTGATTTTCTATCGGAATAAAAGATAATAAAAGGGTTAATTTTAAAAAAAAAGTTAGCTAAATATATTTACCTTTTGAATGTAACTGTATATTTGATCCTTTTCAGCATTTTGGTTCTCATCTTTTTTGATATTTTTGACAGCTCTCTGTCCACCTCCCATGAAATTCATTTTCACTTGAGTTAAACACAATAATTATTAATTAAAAACAACAAAATCAAATAATAAAACTAATCGATGTTTAGTTGTAAGGAGATGCAGAAGAACTCTAAAGAATAGCTATAATTCTAGATAAACAATCGATTTAAAAATAAATAATCGATGTTAGCTTTTAAACGTCATTTTCGTAAACATGCCATTTTTCAGCGTATCAATAGATTGTTTTGAGTGATTAAACCATTTTTCGTCGTCTTATTTATTAAGTATTTGTAATTTATGCTAATAATTATTGAACAAGAAAATAACTAAAATATGCAAACAAAAGTGCAGTCTGAAAATGTGCCTGAAAATAAGTGACATGCGGTAAGATGACTTTTCATTCGCAACTTACAAGTTAGTATGACTTAATAATACTTTTGTTCTTGTTTACTGTTGAATTATATTCTCTTTTTTTTAATTTTACGAATACTTCCATGTACAAATGCTGCTAATGGACTTGATCTGAATACAGGGTACCCTGTACCAATATCCGTAATAATGTATTGATAGCTCAACTAGGTGATAATCTTACAAAGTTCAAGGAATAATTATAGTGATATTCTGTACCTACATGAAGTGGAAGGCGAGACAGTTTCTTACATGTTTAGTTTCTGTATCCTAGCCGTATTAGAGATCTCGAACTTTTGAACCAATTTTATATGATAATGAATGCATTCACCTTGTGTCATGTTTTCTCTGATTTAATTCGATCAAGTAACTTGCAAGGACAAAATGATGGAATAGGGTTACAATGATTGATTCAGAGCTTGAGAAGGAAAACAATAAGCTTTATCAGAGAATATGAAATTGTTTGTAGTTTTTAGGAACATTGACATCGATGAGGTTTTAAACCGTCTAAAAGGATGTGAACACGATGCGAAAAATAAATGGACAAAAGTTCAGACATTCTCAATTTTATGCAAACATATTTAGATAATAGCGTGAATTTTACTGAGTCGTTTGTCAAATGATATCACCTTGATACCCTTTGGTAAAATTTGCTCTAATAATTTCAAAGTTTATTCATGTTTAGTGATCCAAGGCGATGCAAATCTTTGAGTTCCAAGAAATATGGGGTATTATTACTGCTGTAGCGTGAATGAGCAATTCAAACATTTATCATTGTTATCAGTTGGACTTTCTGTTTTATTGTGGAGCTACGATTTTATATTCTGACATAGTTAGCTTATTAGTTCAAATAATACTTTGAAAATAAAAGCTAGATCGATTCAAAATTTTCATCATCATTTTCATTCTTAACATCGTCTCACCCATTCTCAACCGATTAATTTTTCACACTTGTTTTTACGACGAGTGGCCTATTCATTATTTTCACTGCCCTCTTCATCCTGTAAAGTTTTCTCCGTCAAAAGAAATTTCCTGTAAGAGCGAAAATTTATTGTGGACTGAGTTGGTATATTAACATAGATTGTTGATTTTTATTAAACGGGCAAAATATTCAATTGTCATGATATTTAGTCCTATCAGAGATTCAATCTTTGTGGATATTGGATTTAAAATCAAATGTCTGTCGAATGAACCTTATTTTATAATAAAACTTTTGTCTCTCAAACTTAATGAAAAATGGATTATCAATGGATTAAGTTACCAAAAAGTTTAATTTTTATTTTAATTGTATAAGCCTCTGTGAAGAGTTTTTGAAATTTTTTTTGCCGTTTTGTTATTTTTTTAGAAAGCTATGTAAACTCAACGAATGCTCGAAAATAGATTGAGAAGAGATTTAGGTTCTTTATGCGATCTCGTCTTGTTAAACACATTCCAAAATCTAAGTGTCTCGTCGCCTGCTCCTGTCACAATAGATTCACCGTCTGGAGACATTGCCTGTAAAACAAAATAGCAGTATTAAAATAGGTAGTTCACAGTTTAACTATAATATTCATAAATTATCTTCCATCACTTACCAAGTAAAGTACCCTGTAGGAATGTCCCGATAATTTGGCAACTTGCATTAATGTTGGGTACTTCCAAACAAGAATTTGGTTCTGTGAGTAGCCGTGGGTGCTAACTAGTTCTGATGAATGCTTTGACCAAGCTAAATTACAAACTTGGGATCCTGTATCAACATACTGCATTGGTTGTCCGGTAAGAGTGTTCCAAAATCGTATGTGTCGGTCAGCAGTTCCTCCACCACTAGCTAATAGTCCATGATGATGAGGTGACCATGCAATTGCTTTAACTGCGGCAATGTGTTCTGTGTAAGTCTGTACGGGTGATGTGTGGCTAAGATTCCACACGAAAAGTTTATTATCGTTACCACCTGAAGCTAGATGTTGATTATCTGGAGACCATTTGAGTCCGCAGACCTCTTGTCGATGGCCCTGTAGTCTTCTGTCAGGTACTACTTGAGGAGTTCGGACATCTCTTTGTAAAATATTTCTATCGCGACTTCCTGAAGATAAAACATCACCATTCCAAGCAAGTGCACCAACTCTGGCAGTGTGACCTTCTAGAACGTTTATTCTCTTATTAGCAACAACATCCCATATCTGTACCAAACCCTTGTGAGTTCCAACTGCAACCGAGTGGCCCTTGATAATAAAAAAAATAAAAACAATGAGTAAATGTTAAACTTTTGCTTACAAAAGATTAGTAATAGAATATGCGACAAAAGTTTACTTACTCGTTCGGCCCAAGATACTGATGTCACTGAATCATTGTCAGATGATAAATCACAAAGACGAGTAACCTGTGATGTACATGCACTCCAAAGGTAAACACAAGTTCCAAGCCCGACGCTAAGAATATTTGTCGAAGACCAATCAACTAAATTAAGATAAAAGTCGTCATGCAACTCAGGAGCATCGAGAACTTTATAAGGTATTTTAGAAATCTTTCGAGCAGTTTTTCTAGGAGATCTTAGAAGTTTCTGACTTTTACTGCTAACAGGGGAAAGTGAATAAGGAGAGGATGGTTCCACCAAACTATGACTGTCTCGTACTCGATACTATGTGAAAAGAAAACAAGTATTAGAATATCTCTATAAAAATTTAAGAGTGAATGCATACCGTAAATAAATTTTTAGTAGTCAATTGGGCAAAAACTCGTCTCTCTTCAACTTGCTCTTTGATGTCTTCAATACCAGCTCCAAGTAATTCATTTTTAAGCAAGCATTGATAGGCTATTGTGTCTTTACAATTGTCAGTTGAAGTTTCTTTAGCTTTCCTAGGTTGTGGAGTCTTGACACTTTCTTGCTGCTATAATTTCAACGGAAAAAAGAATGCAAAATTAGAAAATGGAAACAAGCACTTATGGAGACTAAAAGCAGTTTTAAAACTCAATATCACTTTCGAATTACCTTACCTGTATCATAGTAAATCTAATGTTCCAATTGGGTGATTCTCTAATAGGTGTATATCGATCACTGATGTACCTTTCATTGGCCATCGATGATCCCGGAGATGGCTGTGAATAAAAGATTGCAAAGAGTTAGATAGAGCAATAAATACGAAAAAACTACAGTACAATATAAATTTTCGTGAAGCAAGGTGATCAGGTTTGATTAAAAACACAACAAACAAAAGGAGATAGAAACAACGCAACAAAGCACATGAGACTGATAACAATATCCAAATGGCACAATATTCACTGATCAAGGTTTTCTTTAACCCACAAAAAATCACTTTACGAAATACTCACCGTATTCTGACCATCGTTCGTAACTTCATTGGTGTTTTTACAGTTTAGAGTCCGTAAAAGACGTCTCTCATATTCTCGGTTCATTTACAGTAGACAAAAAATAAAGAAAAAAAACTACATGTACAAAGAGAATGAAACAAGAAGACTTAAATTGTTTGAAGGTAGATAAACAAAACAGACCTATAGACAGGTCGCTCAAATTGAAGTTATTCCACAAACAAGATGTTAATATTTAAGCTGGTGAAAAAATTGGTCGATAAATAAAATTAATTAACTGTCAAGATCAGCTCAATTAAGAACATAAAACAAGTAAATGATACAATATCACAAAAATTAAGTAATCTCAAAAAAAGGTGAGAAAAATAAATACTTTTCAACCAATAGGACAACAGAGGGCGTTGGATTTGAAAGCTGCAGCGCGACATTCATATTCATTTTAACGGTTATTTTCAACTTTCCTTTAGATATGGCAACCAAATTAGTAAACATTAATCATATTGACCTTTGTCGCCAACCTAATAATTAAATTTTTATATTCCGTATCACCTCCTGAATCAATAAAAATATTATTTATTGTCTTCTTTCTCTAATCATTAATATAAACACTAAGCAGATCAAACAACTTTAGGTTTCTCTAGACAAGTTATTTACAAGAGGCAGTCGTTATTTTTGAAAAAAGCACTGGCTTTTGGTATTGGACCTTCCAGTGAACCGGCTGATTTTTAAAAATAGCAAAGCTTAAATGGACATCTTTAACAAAGATGATACAGCTTTTTCCAACGGACTTTTGGCCTCACCATTTTTAGTTTTCTAGACGATGTTTAAGTTCGCATTGTTTTAGTTTCAACTAGCCAATGCTATTGGTGTTGATTTGGATTTATCGCAAGGACTTGAAGACTTTCCATTTCATCTGTTTTTCTGTTTTTTGTGAATCGCTTTATTCAATTTTAATTTTTATTGGTATCATCCTATTTATAATATTAGTTTCAACTTAATAGTTATTGGTAATATGGACTGATTGTAAATTTGGATATGGTTAATCTGGATACTCAACCAAATGGAGTCCTTTTTAATTATAGTGTCTTCAATTTTGAATTAGGATAAGATTATTGAAACAATTATAATTAAAGTTTTGAGATATTTCAGCTTTGAAATATGCTTAAGTATGTCAAGAGAGTGTAAATCAATTTAAATACGGTCAAGTTCGAAATGAATATTTAAATATTACTTTTCAAGGGAAAACTGGACTTTTATTTCTTATTATTTCCATACTCTTTAGCTGATGCTCAACGGAAAAACAGAGGTTTTGACTTGTGGTTAGTTCATTGACTTGTAAGGTTAAGTACCATGCATGCTTCCGCGTTTTGAGGAGAAAAATACAAAAAAAAAACTTTATTTTTTTCATTAATTGCATTAATCTTATATTTCTATCTCCATTTTATCACATACTCATTCAATGCATTCCACTAAATATATCAAAAAAGATAAATTGAAGCTTTTATCCCCAGATTATTGTTATTTATTTGTGATTTTTTTATGATAAATAAGAGGGAATTCAAATATAACTTTATGATGTAATGGTGAGTATATTTGACAGGATGAGAAAATAATTTTGATGAATATTTACATTAGGGATGAAAAAGATAGTCCATGAAAGAATGAACAGAGAGTAATTATTTAGCTCATTAAATGCTTTATTTTTAAATATCTGCACCTTATTAAACCGTCTTGAAAGACTATACATCTGTATCATGGACGCCGATTTCAAATGGAATGTTCTAATTCAATAAATGATCGATTTAAAATAAAAACTTCTGAGGCTTTAGTCCATAATTACACCCATTTCTCTAGAAGTCCAGACAATCTTTCGATATTTTAGTTGTCTCAAGCTTTTTCCTTCATACAATATTGTTTTTTAATGATCTCAGTTATGAATTTAGATTAATGGTACTTTCTAATTAAATCTGATATTAATCTTCTTTACAAGTTAACTTTATACTTGTAATGACAGACATTTGAACTTTGCGCTCTCTGCCTGACAACTTTGTTTCTTGTTTTTACCTTTCATCTGTTTATCAGATAAACGGTTACCTGTTGAATAATTTTATTGTTCATTTTAAGTGGTGACATTTAACTTAATTATTGTTTGTTTGGTTGTTATTAAACGTGATGCTCATTGTCTTTTATTAATATAACAGCAAGTGATTACTTAAGTTTAAGATGATTCATTTTATGTTGCTGTTTAGTCGCCAAGGTAAACTCCGTCTACAAAAATGGTTTGTTCCTCACTCGGAAAAAATGAAGAAGAAGATTACTCGAGAATTGATGACCAATACATTATCAAGAAAAGCTAAACACTGTAATTTCATTGAATGGAGAGATTTAAAGATCGTTTACAAGCGTTATGCCAGTCTTTATTTCCTTTGCGGAGTTGAGCAGAAAGATAATGAACTCATCTGCTTGGAGTTAATCCATCGTTATGTTGAATTACTGGATAAATATTTTGGTTCTGTTTGCGAGCTAGATATTATATTTAATTTCGAGAAAGCTTATTTCATTCTCGACGAGTTTTTGATTGGTGGTGAAGTTCATGAAACGAGTAAAAAATTGGTTCTTAAAGCTATAAGTAGTCAAGATATACTTCAGGTAAGATTACATCAAAATATAACTTTAAAACGCAGATTCATCTAAAAGCAAATTATTTTTATTTTTTATAGGAAGAAGAGATTCCGCAGGGCTTTTTTGAAGACCAAGGCCTAGGATGATTTGACCGGCACGAGCTAAGAGTATTAATCTAATACTTGCAATTCCAAAATCAGACCAAATTCAATCAACAAAACTTGTTTATGTGTCAAGAAATATGACATGAAAACAATTGCTTTGATCTTCTATTTCTTCAATTTTCAACACAGCTGTTTAAAGAGGTATTCCAGCAAAAATTTTGTATTATTTTAATGCTGTTTCTGAAAGCCCAAAAAGATAGGATTAATATTCAAAATCTTTGAGATACACTTAAAGATCACTCATCTAAAGATATCACTAAAGACTAATCAATTCCAGTAAAAAAGGGCAGATGCTGATGCATGGTGAATTAAAAGACTTGAATCAAGATTTCGTGGATTGTCTATGAATATCATTCATTGCGTGGTAATTGGTAAATTCAAGAAAAATTAACAAATAAAAACAACATTGTAATTAACCCAAAATTCCTATGGCATCTTTATTTAATGATGAAAATATTTTACACCAATAATAATTTGAAAGAAGTGTTTATGAATTGTTTCAACTGGCTGATGAAAAGGATGTACCAATTGAAAGAATCGAAATGAGAAGAAGAAAGATTAAAGTAAACATTGAATCAATTCTTACAATTAATCCGTAATATATTATTCAACCAGGCGATTATCAATAGCAAGTCTTATAAGGAAAAGATTTGATTAACTGGCTGAGATTCACACGATAAGATTCATCTAAATTTGTAAGTTTGTATTTAACATCGTGATATTAGATTGGCAGTTCGTTGAAACAATTAATAAGGTAGCAGAGGATGGTAATTGAATATTTTCTCTCACTTTCAAATGCACACTTTTTAAACAGTAATTCTGTAATGATGATGGAATGAAGACGAAGATGGCGACAATGATAATGAGGATGAAAATAATGATGGCAATGATGATGAAGATATAGTTTTTAAAAAATGAGAAAAAAAGGAATTAAAAGGCTATCATTTCCTCTATTATTTTAAGTTGATTGGCGATGAATAAATTGTTCTCGAGCCTATTGAACTTATTTTTATCTGACTACATCTTGATATACGATTTGATCCCAAAAATTATTCAAGCTTGCTAAATCCAAGACCACAAAATCCAATTTTTGTAATTGTTTCCCTAAACTTTAAATGTCAAGACTATCCTTAAGATACTCTTTAATTTTGGGCTCGGTATCGGGTTGTTCGTCGTCGAGCATAGCTTCGGTTTCTTAATTGTGATCTATTATTTGCTCTACCTCGAGAAACTCGGGCTACTCGGTTCACTCTTCGAGCGGATCGTTGAGAGTTTGATCCTCTTTGAGATGCAGCTCGTTGTCGAGATGATGATCTAGATGCTGGTCGAGATCGAGATCGTGTTGATGCTCTTGTTGATGTCCTAGATCCTCGAGTTCGAGAGATTCTAGCTGGAGATGATCGTCGATTGGCAAGTCGATATCTAGAGGCAGCAGAAGGTGAGACACCCTTGACTGATCCATAACCAGCAACATTGGTACCAGTGGCAGGTGCAGTTTCATCAATTGGCCCTGGTCCTACTCCAGCTCCTGCAGCGGCTCCAGCTGCTGTTGCTCCTCCTTCACCAGATCCTGAGTCAGAGGTTACACCAGATTCACCATCAGAACCCATTGTATTATCGATTCCTGAAGATGAGACGGATGTAGGAGTTGATGGAGATAAAGGTCCTTTAGTTGAACCTGGAAGTCCTCCCATGCCAGATTGATCTACAGCTCCACCATCAGCGGAGTATGGACCGACATTGTCAGTAGCAGTTTCGGGTTGACCATCAACATCAACATTTTCTTCAACACCATCTTCCTTGTTTTGAATTGAACTGTCGGTAACACCTTCATCTGAGCTTCCAGGTAATCTTGCCGAGTCGTCAGGGTTTCCCATGCTTCCTTCTGATCTTCCAGCATCATCTTGACCCATGTCAGAGATAATTCCGTCATCAGTCATAGGTCCAGCTGATGGACCAGCAATTTGTCCACCATCAGAGCCTGTCATTGGTCCAACTCCATCCATGGGACTCATTCCAGGTTCAGCAGAGTCAATGTCAGCTTCACCATTCACGTTACTAGAATCATCAGCTCCTCCACTTTGAGATGGTTTATCGATTGAGCCTCCGGAAACTGAGGTTCCTGGAGTTCGTTGTCCAAAGTCTGTATTTAATCCTGATCCTGAGTTAGGAGCAGGTGATGAACTGGGTCCAGCGATACCATTATCTGCTCCTGAACCAACGGTTTGTCCATCATCGAGTGATCTGCCAGCGGGATTCATGACTGGACCAGTTCCTGAACTAGCTCCAGATCCAGTTATAGGAACTCCTTCGGCATCTAAATTATTAAAATAAATATATGTAATTAGTGATTCAAAATTCACTTAAGTATAATTTCCAAACTAACCTTTGTAAAGTTTTTCATTGAGATTATATAAAGCTGGAGCTTCATTGCAGTCAAAATCATACCACCAAACACAGACAAAATTACGTTGACTGAAAACGGTTCCGTTTGGACATAAAAATGAGTCTTTTCTACCATCCATTTGACAAATATGGAAAACTTGACATTGTGCATCAACATCAGCATAATAACCAGGATAACCAACATCATTACACTTGAATGGAGTATTTGGAACTGAATAAAGAATTGGATAATCTCGTCCAGGTTCCCCGCGAATAGCATCTCGTAGCCAGTCGATTGGATTACCACTTCGATGGTGACCAGAGTCATGAGAATAAGAACCATCATCACCATGTCCGCCTGAGTTTGATCCATCAGATGGACCACCACTGTAACCAGAAACACCAGATCCTTCACCGCCGCTAGTAGGTTTAGGTGCTACGCCAGAGTCACCATTAATACCACTTCCAGTTGAGTCTACAACATTTGTCATACCAGGTAATCCTGAATCAGCTCCGTTTGAGACTCCGTTTCCAGAATAACCATTTGTAGTAGTAGTTGGGAAGCCTGTACCGCTGGCAACACCATTTGTTCCAGGGTAATTGTTTCCATTTCTGTTTCCATTTGTTAATCCTATGAATTAGAAATAAAGCGATTAAAATTAAATTCATTCAAATTAATAAAACCATTTTGATGTTATTTATTCTACCTTGACCATTAACTCTTGAGCCTCCATTACCATTCATTGAGATTCCATTACCATTTAATGGGCCACGACCCATTCGGTTACCACTTGTAGCTCCAGGAGAACCTCCATTTGAATAAGTAACGCTACTTCCACCATTCATTCCATTGTTAACTCCATTGCTGTAACCAACACCGTTGCCTGATAAAATTTACAAAAATATAACCAAAAGTTAATTATCAATGAATAAGCTCAGTTGAAATTATTTACCATTTGTTCCAACTCCTGGTGCGCGAGAACCGTTTCCGTTCACGGGTCTTTTAACACCTCCATTACCATTTGAGCCAGAATAGCCACTAGGTGTAGTACCAGTTGGATAACCAGAGCTAGTTGAACCTGGAATATTTTGTTGATTAACTCCATTGTTTAAACCTGGTCTAAGATTATTTGACCCAAAGGATCCTGAAGATGGACCTTGTGAGTTGCCTTCATTATCAATTGGTCCTTGCTCACCGATTCCTGATTGAACATTAGGAGTAACATCATTAGGCTCGGCATCATCAACTAAACCGGTGGATGTTGGTGTTGAAATTGGTGAACCATCGCCAGCATAAGATCCTCCTGAGGGTTCATCTGAATTACTGGAAACTCCAGGAGAAAGAGATGATGATGGAGAAAATGATGATGAACCATCACCGAGACCAGTTGAAACGGTTGTTGTATCCAAGTCACCTTCCCCTTTAGGTCAATGAAAACATTAAAACAAGAGTAACATTAGAATGAGAGCAATTAATGAAGAAGAAAGAAAAAGTGGTAATTAATTTATCTCACGATCGTTAAAAGCTTATGTGAGAGAAATTTTTTTCACATCATCATTTCATCATTATACTACAATGATACTCACTTAATTGTTGATCTGGTCGAACACCATTTCCGTTAACTCCACCTCCAACGGTATTTGATCCACCATTGATTCCGTTAACAGAATTAGGTGAATCGGTCAACTGTTGTACTTGACCATCATCTTCTCGAGGTGCCTAAATAACAATTAAAAAATAACAATTTGTCAACATAATGATAATAATAATGTACAGAATAAATTTAAGGTTAAAAACAAGTTCAATAACTATGATTGAAACAAAATGAATTGACAAGTCTCACTCTTTGCTCACAGGTTTATACACTTTGTGATTATTGAACTAACCCTTCAACCCTTAATACCGCAACTTTTAATTAAACACAATAAAACCTACGCTTTAATCTTAACCAAATTTAATATTATGTTTTCATTTTCATTTAAATTATCTTCTGATTTTATCATTCTTTCTTACTCAAATTAACTTGATTATCATGTTCAACTGCGTACTTCTGGATTTATCTCTCTATTTACATGTTAACTTGATTTCATCTAAAGATAGTTATGTTGATTTGACCGCGCTTAACTACTATTACTTTTAATCATACATTAATAGTATTTTGGATAAGATTTACTTTGTTTAATCGAGATTAAATTGTAACCTCACGGCGTAACTAATCAGGCAACATCACTCCTACAAGCAACATAATTACCCGTTAAATCTACCCTGGTAATTTGTTATTTTTTTGCCTAAATTTACCTCTTTTAATCCATTTCTATCTTTTTTACTTCCCTTCATCTTTTCCATCTTCTTCATCTGCATCTCATGTAAGTTGTTGGACTTCTTTTTCCTTTTTTACATCATTCATTCTCATGTAACTATTATTTTACCCTTTACCTTCCAAGTATTCAATTGATATTGATGAATTTTCCGTCAACACAAAAATCAATTGAAACACATAAACACATTGAAAGGTAAAGAATTGCATTTCATTACAAAAGTCAATTCAATTTTGAGGATGAAAAAGCCATCTTTTGCCTTTTTACAAGCCTTCTGAAAAACCATTAACTGTAATCATCAATATTTTAAGTTTTCACATTTAACTCTTTTCTGCATTATTTCACTTCTCTTTATCAAAATTATTGCCAAATATTCTTTTAAGTTGATCTATTTATTATCAATGATTTGTTCAATTTCAAAAGGCTATCCAAAGATCCAAGTATTCCAGGAAATGAATTTAATTTCATCTTCTCTTTCTTAATTCAATTATATTAGTCAATTACTTACTGATTGGAAGCGGACACCTCTTCGATAACCATACTGTGGCCTGGATCGAGATCTTTGCGATAAATTATTTGATCTTCGACCTGGTGAAGGCGGATAACGATTATCAAAATAAGCTCCTTGAGCATGGAGTTCACTGATTACAAATCCTGCCAATAAACAAGAAAAGATATATTAACAATAATTTTGACATCAACACAACAAAGCGAAACGTTTTCAACTGTTAAATTGCAATCCTAATTCTTAAGAATATCAACTCAACAAATGCTTTTGTTCCGAATCCACTGTCAAGATGAATTAGTAAGGTTTCAAAATATCTAATCACTTTGTTTGAAACACTCAATTCTTTTTACTAATCTCCATTCAATCTTTCAACAGATTCACATCAACTTGGAATTCAAAGATCGGAAATCAAAATAGCTAGTAATCCAATGAATATTATTGGACAGCAATTTGTTGAAAAGGCTTTGTTCAAGTTGCACTTTACGGCAATGATAGACTTACCTAAGATGAATAGGAATCCGAATGTAATTATCCTCATGATTTACCAAATAAGCTCGATTTGTTGAACAATATGATGAACTTGGGAGAATCGATGAACACTGATATTATTCCTTAATATGCGTCGATTTGTACCCGCTGTGTACAGATGAATGAACAAAGTTAAAATTTACTTGCAACAGAAGACTTGGATTTTTGCTTTGCTGTTGATTTCACTGGTGAAACTGGCAAATAACTAACTTTGATATTGTTACAAGATGAAGATGATTCGAACTGATGTACAATTTAAATTATGTACCGTCTTTATATACTAATTTTACAATTTAAGGTGTTGGTTAAAGACGATAGAGACACAGTGAGAGTAGGCTGTCTCTCGAACTATCTCAAGCACAGTTCGAGTTGTTGCTGAGTACAAGTGGATACCAAGAAAAGAAAGAAGTTTGTGGGACTGGACCGATAGTGACCAGTTTTTTTTCATGCAGACGAAAGTGAAAGCCTTTAATTCACTTTCATTCAACAAAAGAAAGTCGAATCTTCTGGCCTCCTTTCTTACTCTCTTCATCTTCCCTCTTCATCAACATGTAAACCATCTTCACTCTCAACTGAAACAATAAGCTCCACCAAATAGAACGTTATTTCCATTCATTTCAACATTGATTTTATTTTTAAACAATTCTTCATCTTTTTCTCCTTGATTTAAATCGTCATTGGATAATGATAAATCATCATCACCATCATAATGAACAACAACAGCCAGACCAACATACTTAACGAAATAGTTTAAAATGAAACACACAATTGAAGGTCCATTTGGTAGCGATCTGATTAATCTAATTAACGAATACAATGTTTTCTCGATGATCTCACAAGTTTCCTCAGATTTTATTCAAATTACTACCTATCATCATCAACATCATCATCTTATTTCACTCAATAATCATTATTGAACACTACAATAATCATGGCCATTAATTTATTTTCATTTAACATCTTTATCGATAATCATTACTGAAATATTTCAATATCCCGATGACCGTGAGATATATTTTGTTAGCCACCAATTAATATTGTAAGCGCTTTAAATAATGTAAAGTACAAGTTGAAAATTGTTAATTTGATTAACTTTTTTACTAATTTCACAATCTATTCTTGTTGCTGAACAGCTTGATTTAGTTAACTTTAGATTGGGCTGCAATCATTGAGTCTAAATTCATTTGAAAGTGTATTTCATCGATGTCGCCAATTAACTCAATTATTTTAGCTGGTAACATCTTTTTAATAGCAACTGATTGCAACTGTTGAATACACTTGAATATTTCCGTTCACTTGACAATCTGATGATTACAATTGATGAAACTCAATTATCTTTCCTCTATTATTTGAAAAGCCTGAAATTTGCTGTTGAATTGAAACATTAATTTATGATGAATAATAATTAACAAGATAATGTATTAATGTTTGAATTTTTCATTGTTAAATTTTGTTTTTGCGTGATGTTGATTAGTTATTGCTGTTATTACATTCAGTTTTACACTATTCCTTGACTCGTGTTTGTCTAATTTAAAAAAGAGCCAAATGCTGTCCATTTAGATGTTGATGATGAAAAGGAGAAGATTTTTGATGAAATTGCTCGAAAAATTTGACTGTTGAAGTTGAATTAAAAGTTGATTATTTCACTTCACTTCATTTCATTTTCAATTGTTGCTCTTTCATTTTCACTTTTCAACGTGTTAATCTTGATCAACCTTTTGTTGCCATTAAAACAACAAGAATAGATTACATTGCGTGTTTCATGATCAAGTTTACTTCACAAACTCGCATTCTAACAATCTTTAAGTAAATATATTGGATTAAATTTGATGAAATTTGATGATTAATTTAAATTAACAATAGATATTTTCAATTTTACATTCACCATTCTATGTGACTAACAACAGGCCTATTCATTCATTGTTAACGAAGCAACCAGTTATTGTATTCATCAACAGTTGTCTCTTCCTGATTAATCTAATATTTAACCAACGTTCATCTAAATTTGAATATTTAATTTAAATTTAATCCTACAATTGAAATTAAATTATCTAACTTGATGCTTTGTAATTGCAGTTATTGAGCAAACCGCTATTCAATTGTAAATTATGCGACTTGCCCGTTAACCAGCTTTCACTTGTCTTGTTTACATTCCCATTGTTTCAAATTCAGTGATAAATTGCCTTGTTAAATAATTTCATCAAATTAATTGCAACATTTTTGATTTTTATTAAATTCCTCAAATTTTTATCCACTTAAATGTATTTAATTATTAAATTCACTTTCTTCTGTGCTTTATCGCCATTATAAACACCTTCATCTATAATATCAGATGTTTTCCAAATGGAGCCGTTAGCTTTGGTAACTGGGATCATTAAACTCTTGGTTAATTTTGAAAAATTAATTCATGTAAATCTATTTATGATTAAACCTGTTGTTTCAATTTGATCACATTACAAGTCCTTGCATTTATTTTCAAATCAATGCAGTTTTTTGCTTGTGGTTTGGTTATTGACTAATTCAAAGGGAAACCTTTGTTTTCGTGAAACTATCTTTTCAGGGTAATCCTTTAAATTTTAATTTAATTTCATCATTCAATCATGATTACTAACATTTTTTATTCTTCCTTTTCCCTAGAGCGAAGGTTGATTCAAGTTAGCTGCAACTGATAACGGATTGATGCATTAGAAACAATTGATTTATATTTTTAATGGTCATATTAATATGACAATGAACAAGCCATTGCCATTGGAACTGGACTCTGATTTGATCATCAATATTTTTCAAAATGGAATCAATAGATTTTCATTACCGTCTCGCCTCAGTTTATTCATCATGTTGAAATATTCACAGAGCAAGGTAAGATCGTAAACAAATATCTTGATGTTGATTTGACTTTCACTTTTTCAATCAACAGTTGTCTCGCTATTGTCAACAAAGTATCCGAATCTGAATGTCAAACAAACTTGAGTTGATGGATTCTTAAGGCAACAAACAAGAATAATGAAGAAGACGAAAGAAGAGGAGATTTAGAAGTGTTAAAGGCTAAAAGAAGGAGTCCAAAAGAAGAGAATCAAAGAAATATTAAAGCAATAATAAGTATTGAAAATTACATTTAGCTGTGTAATTTGAAAAGGCTTAACCAAAATCACCAAACTCTTCACTTTATCCTTCTAATGCTATCCTTTTCTAAAATTGTTGGTATTGTGGTATCGATGAAGTCTCTTGTTTTCCAGTTACAGATAATAAATACAAACAAATTTGGTGGTTTATTGGGAGTCATTCAGATCTACCTACCACTTGATGTACCCATACTATACTTTTGATAGTCTCTTGATTAACCTTGACTGTGACAAGATTCATCAACTTCACTTTCTGTTTTATTTGTCAAAGCGATTATCAACATCATCTCCATCAACAGTCAAAACTATTGTCTAACTTCACAACAATCACGATTATTTTTAATTTACCCTTGATTATTGAAGTCAATCTTAATCCTTTATTCAACACGAATTATCCTTCTTGTTTCTCTTCAATATTATTCTGAACAATCAATCTCAAGCAGACCTGTTTGACTAACTTCAAGCAATAGACTGAACTTTGAAAATTGATGATGGATCATTGTTATTCAAAGCTGAGATGATACAATGTATTCCGAACAATGTGACAATATTTCACACAGGAATGATGGACAATCTATCAAAGAAGCGACAATTTCTTGGTGGTTTGGTTTCAAGTGTCAAGTACAATTCACAGATTTCAGAAGTAAAATATTGCCCTAAAAGGTAGAAATTATTTCCAAATATTTCCATCAATTTCAATGTTTTGTCTAAATGCATCAATTGTGAGGACACATTTTACCGGAAACAATCAGCCGAAGAAAACTTTGATTGTGAGATTGATCATTGAAATTGAAAGTCAAGTTGAACTTATTTAAGCTTAAATGAATCATAATGATGTCCAATTAACCAGTTATACTATGCTATGGTCATATCAATCAGACCGGTTAATAGATGATATAGTTTAAGACAAAAAGGTACAATTGTAACCCCAATTAACCCTTCTCATCTCTACCTTTTTTCATTGCCGATTCAGTTTAAAAGGAAATGTACAGCCAATGATCACGATTTGTGGAACATATTATCATTATCATTTCTGGAATTTATTGTTATAATCTATTACATTATCAAGTTTCATCATATTAAGTATTGCAATCATGAAAAAGATTGATATTGATTAAATCAAAGTAAGTAGTAAACTGGCAACTTCAGGTGTAACACTTGATTCCGTTAATCATCTTATTGATACCTTTCTTTTTCTCTCTCTTTTTCAGATTTTACTTTCCAATTTCCTGTCAATTACCTTAATATCCTCATCAGTCCCGTTTGATTCCTCATCAGTCCCGTTTGATTATTGATTTTACCTTGAAAATGTAACCAACCTTTCCAGTTGGCCAACACTTTGGTGAACAATGTCAATAGTTTAACAAAAGCACCATCAACCGTGTATTGTTATGCTGTTACAATCAAATGGTCCCAAGCAAATCGTTCTGATTCATCCCAAGCAAATCGTTCTGATTCATATGAGTATTTCCCAAACCTGATATTATCAATTTACGAATCACAATTCAGATGCAGACAAGAAAAGCGTCAAACTCAATGTTTACATGGAATTACATTAAAATCTTTGGTATTCTGGATCGATCCTTGATTAACCAAATTTGAATTGTGAATGGAATGAATTAATCCAGTTTCTTGATGTTCAGTTGAACCATGATTTGACACAGTCTGCAACCACAATTGTATCATTTGTTGAGTTTATTTCCTAATATTTATTTTATTCATTGTACTGAATAATTTTATTTGCTTTACCTTTCGTTAGCAAATCTTTGTGATGAATCCATTCAAAGATTGGTATAATTATCATCAGAAGAGAATGAAAAATGATTAATTATTTTAATATTTCACTTTTGTGTGAAACATTAATCAAACAGAATCATTATTATGTTGATTGAGATGTTAACCTTTGGATTGAAAGAAAGGCTAAAAAATCAAATGAAAAATTTAACAATAAAAAACAAAAAACGCGTTAAATTATTGAAAAAATATGTGCATCAGAAATTACATGTTTATTATTATGATTATTTTAATATTATGATTTCAACTTTCTTTTTTCATTGATAATATAATTACATTTGATAGTTCATGTTTACAAAACTTGTTGATGGATGCAAGAGATTCGGTGCATATGATTAGTGTAGATTGTAAATTGAAACGTTAATTAACATTAAAATTGTTTGCTTTTTCTTTTATTTAATGAGAATTAGATTTCAATGTTGATTATGATTTTACTGGTGTTTGATTGACGTGGTCATGAATCCATAATCAATCACGTAATCGGATATATATTAACCAAACTCTCGTTCACTTCATCAAATGACCAATTATGAACGGGGAAAAGAAGACTGTTCATGATCAAAATCAATTTACTCAATAAACCACAAAATTAAATTAATAATCTCAATTACATCGTGTAATTCATCAATTGAATTAATAAACATTGATGCTTCTCGATGATTGCTGACCCTTAATTGGTGGTTTTCAATTCATTGACTGGTCAATCAAGTGTTGATGAAAGTTGCCAAGTTGGTCATTCTTCCAGTTTCTGTTGGAAGAGAGAGAAAAATATTCACATTAATATCAATATCTTTTGCAATTTAATTCATCATTTTGTTAATTCAGTTGTCTTGGAAAGTATTTAATTGTTGTTGTTTTTTGGTACAAAAACTGCTTAATTTTTTGAGGCCAAATTGGTCAAGGTTGAGTAAAACAAGGAAGGATTCACATTTGTATATTTTGTTCACTTGATTATATTGTATGATATAGATAATTAAAAAAAAGATTCAACTGCAAACCCTAATACAATTACAATAACAATAACAATCAAATGCTGATATTAACAATAATGATAATCATATTGGACGTGAAAGAAAAAAATGAAATGATTTAGCCATAAATTTTGAGCTTCTCTTACCTCTCCAGCTTATAGCCAATTCATCAGCAGTCAGGCCAAAAACAATTGTTTAATTTAATTAACTTGATTGGTTAGATAGCCATATATTGAATTGTTTATACTAGGTGGTTAGTATTGAATGAGAAGGGAGAGAGAAATGGAAATAAATTAGAGAATTAATGATTAAGAAAATAAAATATAATGAAGTAAAGATTAAATGAAAGATTACCTGTAAACATGAAGAGATGATCACCATTTACTTTCCAAATATTTCAACTTGATTATAGTGTGTGTTGGGTATGTGGTTAATTGTGTTGATTTGGTTAAAAAGATGAAGAAGTTAATCATTGAGTTAAATTTATTATTACTAATAAATCATTTGAGCAATTACTTGAAATTGAAAGTTTAATGTTACCATTTAAGTAAACAAAGCAAATTTCAAATTTGACCCTAACAAGAGGGGTTGATACAAAATTGCAATCAGCTTCGGACTTTTATTATTATAACTTTATTAATCCATATTAGTCTGATTAATTGATGAATTTTAAATTTTGCAATTACATATGAAAAAAATAAAAATTAATCAATAATCAATAGAGCTACAATGAGTAATAACCACAATAATAAGCAATTGGTAAGCAACATTCCGAGTTGCATGATAAAATTGAGGTTCGTAATATTTCAATCTATTGAGATTAAGATTCAAAATATTGACCTTAATGTGATTCATTTTTCAGTCCAGAGTTTAGTACAATTAATTTTAATATAAAATACAAGCTGAAGGATAAAAAATGTCACAAAAATGAAAATTAGATGTATTTTCAATTTGAATTGGTCGCCGTTTGATTTGGCGGTTTACTTGCATGCTGTTGCTTGTGACTCACGCTCAACCTTTTCTATTAAACGCTACAGTTTCCAGTTTTTGCTTCACTTTGATGAGAATCCTGTGACCATTTAATTAGCGACTACAATTATAATTGATATTTTTGTGTGTTCACTGTTAATTGACAGCCAAGTTAACACCGCCTTCATCATTTTGTCACAATTGTATGCCTTTAATTGTAATGTAAGTAAAAAAAAGCCAAATTGAAACACTCAACTGAATCCAATAGGAAAGTGTATGTTAAGTAAAAAAGGATTGTTTACCTCTGCCTTTATATTCACCTTTACCTTTGCCTTTTCGTTTATGAATACACGTTAATGTCTTGTTTTTATTTATTGCCACTTATTAACATTCCAAATTCAATTAATCTGGGAATATTTTTTATTTCATTGCATAACTTAACTCGCTTTTTTGTCCGACTAACTCTCATGTTAACTTGTCTGTCTCCTTAATAATTGTCAACTTGTAGGCCATTTATTAATATAAATGTATCATTATATTACAAACCAACTCCACCTTTTCTCAGGTTACCTGTGACCTTAGCTCAATCCTGTAATCTTGGTAACAATTGATGTTTCTCTGGTTAAAAAGTAACCGTCATCTTCTCTCTTTTTTCCGCTTAATTTTCCCATTAGAAGGCATCAATAATGGTTAGACATGTTATACTGAAGTAATCAGTCTTACATTGCCAGGATAACCTGATGATAAACTTAATGATTGGACAACAAGCCAAATGTAATGGATAAATGTTTTACCGAATCATCAACCACCGATGGAAACCTGTTATCATCAAATGTAAACAGTGAAATCATCCGATAGTTTCACTTGTTAATCATGCTAATCAGTTTGATTTGCTGTTATGATACAATTCAATTTCCAGACTCCAAATTGACAAAAATTGGTATAATAAGCTGCAGTTGAAGCTAGAAGGTCAGGTAATGTAACAATAAGATGCTCTGATCAATAGATGATGAATAACAATCATCTTTTTCTTTTTATTGTCATATTTTTAATTCCATCATCTTACAGTTGTTTACTTAAATCTCACAAAGTATCTTGATCATTATTGATTTTAAAATTTAAATTGTTTGGTCAAAAAACTTTGAAGGAGAAAGTAAATAACCCAATAGTTAACATTACTACTAAACTTGACATTAACAAGTTGTTTTTTTACTTTTCATTGATTCATTTCAGACAGTTTGGTATTGAATTTTGGTCGAGGAAAACAAGAAAACCAATCAGGATCCCAATCGACGATAACCGTGATTAAATCCATGACATTTGATCATCTGTAATGGTGCTTGATCAAGAAATCATCAAATGTCACTTAGGAAAAAAAGCAAAGGCAAAAAGGTTAATCTTGGTCCGTTAAACCGCTAATCAACCAACAATACGTAGTCTCTCATCATTTGCTGATTGTAATTTTATATGATTCACATAAACTAAAGAGACGGATCAATATTCATTACAAGATTAATCAATTAATGGTAAAGGAAGGCAAAGAAGCGCATAATGAAACAATGAAAGCAAGCAAGAAGGCAATTAAAATTAATGGCTATCCAAATAAAGGGAACACCTTGAGGTGAACACAAAACGATGATGATTTACATTGTTTAAGCAAATAGGAACAATAAATCTAAATTGTCAAATAATGTAAATTACAATAGTGTAACATATGTAAATTGTGTACCGTGCAATAGCAATTAATTGTTAATTGATCAGCTGAGACACAATGTACACATATGCATGTAATACCGATTGTATTGAATATTGAAGGATGAAACATGAAGAAATGAAAAAAAATATATAATACTGACTGATAATGTTCATTACTTTTGACCCTGACATGAAACAAAATCTTTCCTCATCAAATTCTTCTTCTTCTTACCTTTTTCCTTCATCCCAATTCTCATAAGGTTAACCATAAGAGGCTAACTTTTTCCCTTGACCAATTATATCAAGAGCATAGGTCATTCATGATGATATTGTTGACGATCATGATCATTGTAACATTCATTGTAACCACAAGAGTCAATCTTGAGCCTGAAAAAAAACATTCATTTTCAAATGTGAATTACATTGTTTCACTTGCTTTTACCTTTAATGGAAACAATATAATCAAGGACAATTAAAGACAATTCCTGAGAAAAGTTAATTTGATCGGACAAAATTAATATTCAGAAAAAGAAACAACAATAAAATTAAACAAGTTAATGTACATAATTCAAATTTACTGCCAATTTGTTTTACTCTGCATTAACCAATCTCACCTCTTAACGAAACCTCAAAATGTATTGATTGTGTTCCCATATTTTTATTGTTTTTACACTTAATTTGATTGTAATGTTAATTATGATTGATTTAATTGTATCTCTCATGAGTATCCAAAGCCATGAGTTACAATTCATCTTCGTGATCAACTGGATAAACACACTTTCAGAATAATTCCTGGTTAACACTTACCTTGCCCCAATCATTGGATGGCCTGCAGGCTACATTAAATTTAATTATCCTTTATACTTTCAAGTATTATTGTAATTACTAGTTAACGATTGACGATTATATTAGATTATGATCTTAATCTCTATAATTGTTTAATTGTTAATGTTATTAAGTAAAAATTGAAAAGATTTGAAGCCATGATTGCAAGTCTTTTAAAGGTAACATTTTGCATATTCCTCATGTAAAAATGTGAATCTTAGCCTTGAGTGAATTTATATTTCAATCACAGTTAACATTGTGATTTAATTGTGAGCAACTTTGATGATGCATTTGATGCAACAATCAATTAAAGACATGATCAACAAATAATTAATCATCGTCAGTCTCCCTGACCCTTTTTTTGGTTAATAACAATTGTTATCCTTTTATATTGCAACAAAAACTTGTGTCAACATTGATCAATCTCATTTAAAAATTTACTATTTTATCCTTTTTAATAACTCATAACTATTTATAAATTTACTATTATTAGGCTTTATTAATTGTCTGTTTAATTGTAAAGTTGGAGGCTCAATCAAGCCTACACTTTAATCAACAGGAGATTTTATAAATCACTTTCAATTCTTGTGTAGTTACCAGAATAAGTCTTGTAACTTACTTGATAAAATAATAAGATTACCGGTAAATTTATCCTCTTTTAATGTATTAATTGTTGTTAATAGATTGCAACTTTACGGAAGTTGAAATCATTTGAATCTTCACAAATTACATTTTGATCATTCAATCAGCTAAATGACAATCAAATCGTGTAAGGAAATGCAAATGCATTGAAATCAATGATATCGATGATAATGATATTATGATGTATCCTTTACAGTTAAACCATTCAAAAATATTAATATGATTCTGTGATTTGATAACAATTAATAAACTTAATAGTCTAATAGCTCGTGAAATTGTATTTCAATGGAAACCAATCAACACTTATTTCCTTGAACCTTTCCAGGTTAATTATAAAAGATTATGAATGTTAAATTAAATGAAAAAATGATAGTTTTAGGCATAAATAGGGGTTTTAATTTGTGAAAATAAAGGTTAACAAATTCAAATTAACCTCCAATGATCCAAGCTTGTCCAATCAGCTCTGAGAGCGGCAAAAGAAAGAGTCATCCATGTTTACCATTGACATTGTGAGACATCAAGTTGCTTGTTTTTTTTGCTTTATTGTCGTGTTAACTAATTTTAATTAATTTGTGTCGTTTTTAAATTAATTTTTCTTTTTCTGATTGTGAATAGATTCAATTGTGATTATTTCCCAAGACGACTTTTGATGATTTATGAGGAGAAAAGCCTGAAATGTAATAGACTATAATTTTATCTTCAAAGTGAAATGGTTCACTTCTTCTCACATTAAGGATCTGGTTAGGAGGAAGATTTTCAAGGGTAGAGATTATCATTTTGAGATTGTTTCAAGTCATCAGCCACTTTCTGACCTGAGGATATGCAGCACTATTAGAGCAACAAAGACTGGTTTTCATGTTACACTTCTTCTAATTCTTTTGGTGTGGTCGTAACAATTAGTTTCTTGATGGAGACAATTAAGCAAGCCAACAAACAAAAATTGTTTTAACAACATGACAACAACTTCAGAAAATACAGTTTAATTAGTGAGATTCAGTTGGAACAGTAACAGATGATTGTCAAGAGTGTCAAAATTTCTACTTCTATACCAAGTTAACATTACAATTTGAACATTTCAAGTTTTTACAGTTGATATAAACCATTTCATGAAGTCTTAATGCTATGAGAAATTTTGTTAATTATGATTGATTGATAATAAATTTATCAACATAAATGTAAACCTGTCTAGTTACGCTTTTTGTACATATTTTTACAGTCTTTGACCTTAATTATTGATGTAACCGATTTCAGGTTGTTTAATTGTCGGGGTAAAAGGTTAAATATGCATCTCAAATCAAGTCGTTTAACTTTGACGTCAAAAGTATGAAAGTTGTTGTTTCAATTAAACTATAACAGAAATTGTAAAAATGTTTAACCAATTTTCACCATTAAGCTACTGTAATCGGTACAAATCTTGATTGATTTTTCAAGTTAAATTGTGTTTGATGATCAAAATGTCTGTTCTCTGATCTTTAATCAATCTAACAAACGCAACAACAGAATCTAAAGCTTACTGATTAATGTTAACTTTGATAATCCTCGTTAAATTGGTGATCAATCAGTTTTATTGAACCTTAAATGAGCTTAAATTATAACACTTTCATCTTCAATCAGCTGTTGAAATACAGCAATTCCCTCGTCAAACTTGATTAATAAACTGTTGATCCAATCGTGAGTATAATGAGGCTGGTTGATTAGTTTTTTGCTCATTTGTTACACTGGTAACAAACAAGATCATATCATGATCTAAAGATGAAAATTAACGCTTCAATTTCGCACATGAGTTGTTAATTGCTATACTATTTGATTGTTGTCGACTGTTAATTAATACTAAAAATTCATTTGTTATTCATTTTGTTGCAAAAGTCTGTCCAAATATCTGTTGAAAAGAGTCAAATTTGATTGATGATTATCACGTTTAGTTAACTAGTTGAATTATTTCAAGGTGATGGCCATTATTTATGTAGTATTAATGAAGATAATTGATAAAATAATAATCAACACAACCATCATCATCATCATTATTAGATTTAATAATCACAATGATGAATAACGATCTAATTTGATTGCAAATTAAATTTGTAACTTGTCTTACTTGACAATACGCTTAACGAATCAAATTTTAAAGGAAACACCAGAATTATATTTAATAATAATTTACAGTTTTCCCATGAAAATGTTATTTAATTATCCTTGTAATCGTAAAATTTTTGCACCTTTTCCTTCATAATTCATTTTAAATGTTATCGATATATTTAACTTCAATTTAATTCATTTTTACAGATGAAAGCAACACTTGAAATACCAACAAAAATCAACAGGACTCAACAATAAGCTTTGGTGAACGGATTGGTTGTAAATCGTCTTCCATTCAATCTGATTTCTATTAATTGTTTCCAAAGATATTTGTGACCTGAATTAAGTTGATTAACAATCATTTGACCTTGAATATCATCTGTAATTGGTTGAACTGACATTGAAAATCTGGAAACAAATGCAAATAGTACAATAGATTGAGACCATTTTAGTGATAAATGAATTGGTGAACACATGAAAACACATGTGTTAACATCCATTATAAAACCTTTTTCTGATCAATTGTAATAAGCATTTCATGTTTACTTATAAAATTGCTGTTAACAACTAACTATTTCAACACTATCATCACCCATTCAGCTGATATTGGTCAACACAAATTGATTAGCTAATATTGAATAACATTGAATAGGATGGTTAGTTAATCATATGGACTGTTATAAAGTACAAAGGTTCACACAATTCAAGATTGGTAGTCGATATAATGGCATGTTTCCACTCACCATCAACAATAATGGAATTAGTAAACCACAATTATAACGTAACCCTTAAAATCGTTATTATATTTGGATATTCAATTATCATGAAAGCATAGCCAATCGCCAATTAAACCATTGATTCAACCATTTTCCATTCGTTTTTTATATCTATTGATAAAAAAGAGATGATTTTGATTTAGTGTTCAACAGCATGAAATGATGGAGTTGTGAAGTTGTTAATATTAATAAAGTGTCCAGTATCAAAATGACAACAATTTAACCAAATTGTGAGACAGGGTCAACCTTGATTCAACAATAATTACGCTGATGATGATGGTATTATTTAACGTTTCACCCAAAGTATCTGAAACGAGAGGAAGGAAAAGAAGAGATAGATTAAATTGAAATTTTTTTATTAGACATGGTGATAATGTTGATAAAACAATTAGTTTCATATATAATAATTTAAGTGTAAACTGAATAGGGACAAAGGCATAAAGAATGATAGAGATCATGAATGCCATTTTTTGGTAGGTAATTATTAATACAAGAGCAAGGAAGAGAGTTGGTTAGTTAAATTGAATTACAAGTTGAATTAAAATCTAAAAGGTTGTCAGGTTACTGATTTTTTAGTGTACATCGTGTTTGTATCACCATTTCACCTATTATAATGATAATTAAGTTAGTTAAATTAATGATATACATATAACTTACATCTATTACGTAGCATATTTCCAACAGCAACTTGAAAGGCTTACAAATTTTGGACTAAATTGTGACCTGGAACCAATTGAGGTCTTGCTCATCATCTTTAATAACAGTCAACATTCAAAATATCAATTAATGTACTTATCAACAATTAAAAGATCAATTTTTAAAGCAAAATTAGTGCTAAATTAACAGTTGTGAGATCGATTGGTTAACATGAGTTTACTGGTCATTGCCATATGTTTTAACATGTGACTTGATACATTGGATTCCCCTTTCAGGCGCTCTTTATGAATTGTTAAATAATTATAATTATGAGCATGAAAAACTGATACAAATGAAAAATTGTTTGATCAGAATTGTTTAATTATTAAATTTAATCGCCAATTTAAATAATTTGATTGTAAATTAGCAAATATAAGCAAAAGATCTAATGAGTTTAATGAGCTGTTTGTTGATTTTTACATTTGTACAAATTCACGTTAAATTGGTGAAACCAGTTTCTTTTTCATGTTTCAAGCTTCAAATCAGCAAGATTAATGAGTCTCATGAATTTAATTAAACTTGATCCTTATTCAATGAATTAAAATAACGATGCTTAGCATCAAACTGATCAACTTCAACACCTTTACCCACCTGATAACCAAAGATAATAATTCAAGTCAATTATTTACGTGTCACCTACCAATCCCATTCCCAATAAAAATCACGTCTTCACCAGTAAAAAACAGAAAAGACAACTTTACTTTTCTTCACTTTTTTAAAACGATTTCTCCATCTTTTCAATTTCATCACTTAAAAGTGATTCAGTTGAATAAAGTTAGTTATCAATTGAATATTAATGATGATTTAAAAAAATCAAGAAATGAATATTACGATTCAATTTTGTTTACTTGCCTCTTCTTCGCCTTTCCGACCAGAAAACCTTCCCCATTGTATCGTTTGACAAACCAATAGCTATTGATACCGAGAACAGCAATTGGATAAATCAATAACAATTAAATACACTAATGGTCATGGTAAAGTTAACTATTATAAAAAGGATCACACTTAGGTTCATTTTTAGGTATCGCCGCCTCGAACATATTAAACTAGAGATACGAAAACAAATTTTAACAGCGAATCAGTTTATTCTTATACAATTTATATTGAAAACAGCAAAAGCAAATCACTCATGATTCAATTTTTTCATTATAACAGCTGTGATTCATTTTCAGCGTTAAAACTAATGATCGGACATTTTTTCGATGAACATCCGATGGAAATACTTAGTATATATTTATCTGAACTTTGTTTCTTAAAGAAACCGCCATGAAAGTGAAATGCGTGTTAATTAGATCATAGTGAAGTTTGGTAATGTAGCTCTAGGATCGCTAGCGACAGGTAATGGTTTAATTGAGCGATATTTTTGTTGATCGGATAAACGGCGCAATTGAAAGCAATATGATGAATATCGTAAAGGAATATACAAAAATTTTGACAAATTGTTAAACCAGAAAAAGCGTTGAACCATTTCCATTGCGTTCACCTGAATTCAAGTTAATATAGATAATTGATCGCTGAGAGAACGATAATTGTAATCAACAGAAGAGTTGTCATTGATGAGGAAAAACTTGGACCAATCAAAGCTAGTTTCCAGAAAGTAAATCCAATATCTTTCCTATCAACTCGGTAAAGAAACGTGGCAACCTGAAAATAGTTGAATATTTTGTTGACATTTCAAAAAATCATATATTGTTTTAAATTTACCTGATATTTAATGTCATCTGGTAACGATCGATGTGTTAAATAGTAAAGATGATTTGAACAATTGTATGAAAATTGATGTACTGCACTCAATGATAATGTAATGAAGATTATGAAAATTGGTGGATTGACGAATTTAATAACTGAAAGTAAATTTAAATTGATAGCTATTGTTGAGATCGGCTGAAACATAAAACTGTAAATGATCGTTGTAACCCTAAACAAAGAGGCTGGGTAAAGGTAAATGATGAAATTGGTGAACATTGAATTGACTCGATGAGTTAATTGTATGGTTTTTGTGTGCATTTGGTGTAAATTGGTCAATTGTTGAGATGACCCAAGTCCACCAATGAAACGGTTAATGTGATTGAAAGAAGCTGATATAAGAATTGTCATCTCAACTAATAGACTACTATGAATAGTAAATGTCATTACAGTGGCATAATAATTGATCAATATGGAAATTAAATTGTGAATAAATGTGCACTTCGGATAATTCGGATAACGTTCCATGTTGATGGTTGCAGCATCACAACAAAATACAAGTCCAATTATTAACATAAACACTTTTGATGCTTTCGATCTTCTCGATGAGATGAAATTTTGATTGTAATAATTTACTGGTAAATCAATTGAATGCCACAATTTGTTGATCTTTTCAATATCAACTGAATTGTATAGCCAGTCATGAGTTGATAACATGTAAAAATACCACAAATCACCCAACAAAATATTGATCGAGTAAATTTGGTTAGTTCGGTCAAATTTGATTAAATTTTGTTGATACGAAAAATATCGATCCATCAATCGATTAACTACGAAAATGATGATTGCAATATTCCAGGTAAATTTGATCAACTTGCTTGATTTATAAACATGTTGAAGGTAAAAGTTTGTTATCACAATTTTTGACTTTTCAAGTTGAACATTTTTATTTTCAATTTTAAAATTGATTGGATTGTTATTGGAAATGTAGCGAATCATTTTGATCTTAAGGTCTATTCAATTGTAACAATTAAAACAATTTTTTTTGTCGCATTTTCAACGTTTGAATTGAAAACAGATTTACTAGGTTTTGTCGCAATTTCATTGATTCACTGATTGTCAATTATCAACTTTGTAAATGCGCAATTGCTGCTTTTTGATTTATTATTTCCGTATTTACGTGTACCTTTGATGGATAATTAATCGTTTTCTTTATGTAATGATCTATTTTTATCCTTGATTTTAGTACGACAAACACTTTGATTAATTTTACCCAGCAGTTATTGATTTAAAGTTACACTTGTATTTCACTTACACCTGATTAAATTAAATAATTTAACCTTAGTGATTTTATTGATTGAATCATTTTAAATATTATGAGTCTCGTTCAACACATTATTGTTGAAAATTCACCAAGAGCTGAAGAAGCAAAAGCAAAGATAACAAAGTGAGTCGCGTTCATTTCATAGTTTTTGCACAATATTAGGGACCAAATGTTTTATAATGAACATTGTCGATTAACTGATGCGTATGTGTTCAATATCAACACCTTTTATGCTCTATTTCATCAGTTTATCAAATAATATAATCTAAATATCGAAATATTACAAAATCTTAGATAAAACACAAAGTTCTATAAAAATTACTACGAATTACTGATGCCATAAGTTATAACACTTTTAAAACAATGAATAATGAATTCAAGGTGAAAGATAAGTTTATTTGTGAATTTCATGAGAATGAGTGAAGATAATATTAACAATCATGCGATATTATATGAGAAATCCGATTATTTACTCGGAAATAAATCTATCACATTATTAACTAATAATTAACAATAAAGTTTCTGGTTAAAAAGTTTAATTGGAATCAAGAAATTCTGGTTAATTTAGGGTTTTAGGTAAGAGAATGGAGATTATTCATTTATTAATACAAAATATCATTACCTGATTATGTTGGTTTCACGGAAATAATATTGATTGTTACATTATTAACACGAAAAGTTTGGTCATAATTTGAAAGGTTAATTAAAATCTTTCATCAAAAATCAATTGACTAACATTGTAAGTTAAGGGAAAAAATTATGTTACAAATATTTCGGGTTTTAATTTCTAGGAAATTCTAGGGTAAGAAGGCTGAAATTCTCAGGAATTGAGGTTCGAGCTTTGGTCAATACGTGTACTTTATTTAAATCTGGGATAAATTTACACTTTGGGTCAAAAGTTATTCAGCAAGTTATTGGCAAACTTTCAAAGAGTTGAGACTTTTCGAGATTGCCTTCGACTCAGATTTTTAACAGCAAAAGATTTCTGGTGATTCTTATACAATTTAGGTTGAAAACAGCAAAAGCAAATCACCAATTTATTAATAATTCACACTCATTACTCTATGTTTCTATTATAATAGCTGAGATTCATTTTCACCGCAAAAATCAATGATTGAGCATTTTTTGGATGAATGTCCGATGAAATATCTAATTGTTATTTATTTATGTAAATTTTGTTGCTAGAAGTTATCGAACGTTACACTGAAAATCTTTTTTATTCAAGTTTGAATATCATTACTGTGGGACTGGCCAGTATTTACAGTCTTTTTGGGTTATGGGTCCAACTACATCACTAGAAACGCCAATTTTATTAACCAGCAAATCGGTTAGTTCGGCATACTTTTCAGCATCCATGGTGTTAGTCCTTGATAAAATCAAACCGGACACTGTAGTAGAAAGTAAAGTTGAATTATTAATACAAATTCATACGAAATTAATACGATTCATATGAAGAAAAATCAGTCAGCACTAGAGATACTTACGAATATCTGAACGCCAAGGAACAACAACACAAGTGTAAGCAGCCAGATAATTATCGTAGTCAGTATCGGCTATGTAGAAGGTAATTGGATATGGAGTCCCTGGAAATAGAAAGATGATTATGAAAATAATTATTAATTGTAATCAGAAATAGTGAAAAAATGATTCTTATATTGATCAATTGTTAAATAGTCAAATTAATAAGACACTTTATTCGATATAAAGCAAGCAAAAATACTTACTGTGTGACATAGCGTAGAGATTGAGTAAATTTTGGTCATCAGCACGTTCGGCTAACATATATTCAGCATCCTTTGAACCACTAGACGAAAGATGAATTATTTGCATTACAAACAATTTAAATCAATAAGTTATGCTTACTTACTCAGGTAAAGTCGAAAGAGTTGTACTATTGAAGTTTCCATCCTCTCGAGGAGTGTAATCCCAAGTCATACAGGTGAAATTTCTAGTTGGTCCAGCGATTTCATACCATCGACCGGCAATCTAAGTCAATCAAACATTAAATTAATGGTTAAAGTCAAACGTTAATGTTAGATGAGCACATAAAACAATTATACACTTACTTTGCCAATATCAGCACCAGGAACAGTTGGAGGAACTGGACATTCACCAAGAGCTGAAGAAGCAATAGCAAATACAACGAAGAGAGTGGCGAACATTTTCATAGTTTTTTGCACAAAAGAGGAAATTAGATGATTTTTAATGCAACTTGTTGATTAACTGATGCTAATGTGTTTAATAACATTACTTTTTATACTTCATTTCATCAGTTTATCAATAATAGAATCTAAATATCGAAATACAAAATCTTATATTTACTACGAATTACTGATGCCATAAGTTATAACACTTTTAAAACAATGAATAATGAAATCAAGGTAAAAAGATAAGTTTGTTATTTGTGAATTTCATGAGAAGGGAATCAAGATTATATTCACTACCATGCAATAATTACTGAGAAATTTGATCATTATTCCGAAGTGGTTCCATTTAAATTAATAATTCTTGGTAAAACAGTTATAATTCAACAAAAAAATTCTGGTTAATTTTGCGTTTTTAGGTAAGATGATAGAGATTATGTTAAGTTTCAATTGTAAATCCAATTTCATAGAAACTGCCAACCAGAGAAATCTTTTGATTGTGAAAGTTGACTCAATTTTACGTGCTTGCAATCAGCAAAGGATTGAACGGAAATTTAAACGTCTGTTCAAGAAAGGTTCTTCATCTCAAAATGATTTTGATATGGGTTTCCATCAAGAATTCAGTTCTTTTCGATATTGATTGATTCTACAATATCGAAAATTGATTGATGTATATTGCTCTGTAAAAAAACTTCATGATCGATCTTATTTTCCGTCAGATAGTTCTAAAAGGAATTACACGACTTATCAAATTATTAGCAAGCGATCAATTCTAAGGATAGATATTACTCTGATGATCAATTAAGATTTCATTGTGGAGCTTATGATAAAAAAATTCAAGGTGGTGCAATCAACTAAATTTGATACAAATACATCTAACCGATGGACTACTACTACAATTAGGGCCGCTCGATGGACAATTTCACAATTTTCAAAATAATTGCTGTGATTTCCAATTTCATCGCATAAATTTCAAGTTTTTCAGTTGAATTAAGTTAGTCAATTAAATATTAATGATGACTTAAAAAAATCAAGAAATGGATATTACGATTTAATTTTATTTATTTCCTTCTTCTTCATCTTTTGAACAAAAAAACCTTTCCGCATGGTTTGACAAAGCAATAACTATTACTTGATATCAGATGAGCAATTGAATAAATCAATAACAATTGATGAATATATATTTATTTATTAATATAATGTTGTTTAAAGTTATCAACCATTACAGTGGAATTCAATTTTATTCGAGATTGAATATCATGACTAGAAAAATGGTCAATATTTAGTCTTAATAGATTACTGGCGGAACTCAGTCGCGAGAAACGCCAATTTTATTAACCAAATCGGTCAGTTGGGCTAACTTGTCAGCATTCATAGTTTCAGTCCTTGATAAAACATAACGCGCATCTGTGATTATTAAGAAAGTTGAATTATAATATTATTAACCAAGATCAATTTACAAGAAGAAACGTCTAGTTTGTTAGCTTGAGAAGTACTTACGGATAGCGGAGTGATGAGGGAAAATAAAACAATCATAAGCAGCCAGATAGTTATCGTAATCAGTATCGACAATATTAATGGTAGTTTGGTATCGAGACTCTGAAAATTATGATAGAGAATTGTTAATTGTGATGAAAAATGATAGAAAAAATAATTCTTATATTGATCAATTGTTAAAATGCTAAATGAATAAGACACATCATGTTATACAAAGTAGATAAATTACTTACTGTGGTACGGATCGGTGACATTGAGTACGTTTTGATATTCAGTACGTTTGGCTAACGCATATTCAGCAGGCAGTGAATCACTAGACGAAAGATGAATAATTTGCATTACGAACAATTTAAATCAATCATGTCTACTTACTCAGCTATACGGGCTGTAAAATTAAAGTCTCCATCCTCTCGAAGAGTGAAATCCAATGTAAAAGTTGTTGCATTTTCTGGCCAAGATTCTACAGTTTGATACCATCGTCCGACAATCTAAATCAATAAAACACCAAATTAATAGATAAGTCAAGCTTATTGGCTAAACACTTCGAATTGTTGTGAACTTACTTTGCCAATATCAAAACCAGGAATAGTTGGAGGAACTGGACATTCACCGAGAGCTGAAGAAACAACAGCAAAGACAACGAAGAGAGTCGCGATCATTTTCATAGTTTTGCACAAGAGGAAATTAAATGTTTTTTAATGCAACTTGTTGATTAACTGATGCTAATGTGTTTAATAACATTACTTTTTATACTTCATTTCATCAGTTTATCAATAATATCATCTAAATATCGAAATACAAAATCTTATATTTTATAATTACTGATCAAATAAGTTATAACACTTTTAAAACAATGAATAATGAAATCAAGGTAAAAAGATAAGTTTGTTTTTTGTGAATTTCATGAGAAGGGAATCAAGATTATTTTCACTATCAAGCCATATTTAACGAGAAATTTCATCATTATTTACTCAGAACATAATAAGCATGACAATTCCTGGTTAAACGACAAGTAAATTCTGGTTGATTTTGTGTTTCTAGGTAAGAGAATTGAGATTTGTTCATTCGATACAGAGTATCATTCGTATCGTATAATAATATTAATTGTTACATTAGTATCGAGAATCGGTTCCATAACTATTTTAAAATGTTTGCTTTTTCAAGCAACACACTTTAATGAACCTCAATATTTTACTTTATTATTGTAACAAATGTACAAACCGTAACTGATTTGTGGTTTATGGTCCTCAAAAATTGTGATGATAAATCGATGATTCCAATGTTTATCATTCTAATTCCAAAATATGTTATTCACGAAAAAGCCCATTGAGTTATTACAATCGAGAAAAATGGCGAGTCAAAATAATTGAAATCGTCGATAATAGCAAGTTTTGAGAGTTACGAAAAAAACCACAAATCGCTAGATCTTTGACAGCACTTTGACCGCATTTTACTGTGGTTCGAAATTTGCAAGAGTGTTAACCGATAACAGCAAAAGCATGGTTAAGATGCTAAGGTCATTTGAGACCTCAAAAGTGTTTAAAATACTAGATCTAAAAAAAATGACTATTTCGTTTTCTATCGATGCTGAAATTTCCTTACTCATAATTTTGGACTGGTGCAACAACAAGTTCAGAAACTGCAGCTGAAAGGGCTTCCTCATCATTTCTGGTACATCGACAAAGGATACGATTGAAGCACCCTTGTTGGATTCATTGTATCGACATGTATACGATTCATTGTATTCTCATACTTGATCACCATACTTCATTTATGAGCAATCCAATACGTTCTGTTCTGAAATTTTCTTCGATAGCAGCACACACCACAATTCCTTTGTTCTTTGACTACACTAACGATTTCTTTGGTTCGGTCAACAAAGGCTTGAGCTTTGGCGGTGTAGTTCGCATTGTGAATGAGAGGTGCGGGTCGACGAACAGTTAGCGTGAATCCAATATGCTTTGCTTCCTCAGTAGTCTGCAAGCAATTTGATAATTTTAATTATTTTTTAATAATTCTTAGAGTTTAAAAGTTTTCAACTCACCAAATCAGAGAGCTTTTGACTCCTATTCTGTAGGTAACTTCACTATTGTCTTGTCTTTCATTGCAAGCCTTGATCTTTTTCGATTTCTTCGGAAACAAACTTCGTCTGTAGTGTTCTTCTGCTTTCGATTCGTAAGAATTGCCATATTTAGTCTGTAAAACAAAGATACACGGATAAAAATCGCCACACAACTTGCTTAGAGATTTAGTCAATTTTGATCATCAGTACGTTTGGCTAACAATATTCAGCATCCTTTCAACCACTAGACAAAGGACGAATAATTTGCATCACAAACAATTTAAACAATTAGTTATGCTTACTTCCTCAGGTTGTTTGGAATGAACAATTGCTCTTTATTATATCTTGAGATTGGTCCTTAGCCTCACAGCCAGGTTTTGTTGCACAGAAAAGCTTTCTCAGGTAAACTTGTAAGAATGGTAAGATCGAAGTCATTAGGCATGAAATCCTAAGTCGTACAGGTTAAATTTTGTGGGAAACCCATATCAGCACCAGAAACAGTTGGAGGAACTAGACATTCACCAAGAAGCAAAAAGCAAAGACAACGAAGAGACTCACGAGCATTTCAAAGTTTTTGCACAAAACAAGAAATTAAATGTTTTTGATGCTGTTTAACTGATGATAGTATGCTTAATCATCACGAGTTTCATTCATTATTGACATGCGATGGAATATTTTGTGCGCTTTATTAAATAATTTGGCTTTTCCTATTCTGGCTCTCTTATACACTAGGTGATGACTTACGATTGTTAGTTAACGTTTGTATTAGGCTGCCCGGAGCAAGAGGAACTGGTTTTGAACTATCCGCGTTTTGTTATTACTGATTTCTCAGGTCGCCACAAGGGCTTTTTTGTAGCTAAGGAAACGGAAGATCATTTTCCTTTGTTAATTGTAACAAAAAAGTATGGATTTCAAAAGTGCTCTAATAGAACAAATTAAAACCGAGCATCAACGCTCTTTTATCTTGTTTGGTGTCCTCGCATCCCATTCAAACTCCATTATCCACCAAAATCTCGTGAAGTTGATTGGAGATAAGGCGATAAGTCAATCGCAAGTAGCCAAATATGCAGCTGAATTCAGACAAGGCCAGCTCATTGACAAACGTGGTCACGGAGGTGACAGGTCAGATCCTTCAGCTTTAGAGAGCCAAGTAGACAAAATCAGAGGGCTCATGGATGAATCGAGACATTGGTCCCAGAGGTCTCTATCGATGGTATCAGGTGTCCCAAAAACCACCGTGGGCCACATCTGTAAGGATATATTGAAGTTGCGCAAACTACTGGGAAAATGGGTCCCTCATAATCTAAGCTCGGATCAGAAGGAACTGCGTGTTGTTAAGTGTAAAATCAACTTAATGCATTGGCAGAAAACCCAAACACTGTTAAAAAGAACCCTAACAGTTGATGAAACATGGGTGTCACTTTATATGGCTCCAGATCGAAGCCAAGCCAGATCATACGTTTATCCCGGTGAGGCAACTCCACAGATTGTTCGGCAAAACATTCATAGCCCTAAAAGGATGCTGATAATGGCAATGGATCATAAAGGAATTGCTTTTTGGGAGCTCATGCCTGAAAAAACCACTGTGAAGGCCGACAGCTATGTAGCCTTCTTGGACAGACATATTGAAAATTGGTTAGGCACAAGATCTAGTCGCTATCTGTGGCTACTCCATGACAATGCTAGGCCACATGTGGCTACAACAGTTAAGACATATCTTAAAGAAAAAGGAATCACCCTTTGGGACCATCCGCCCTATTCACCCGATATCAGCCCTTTGGATTTCTGCTGTTTTGGTCAGTTAAAAAGGGCCATGAGAGGAGTCCAATACCAAAATTGGGAAGAGTTTGAAGAACGTTTGACCGAGGTTGTGGCAAATCTCAACGCAGAAGATAAAATGGGCGGGGTCAATGATTTACCGCAAAGATGGAAGAGAGTTATCTATGGAAACGGAGAGTATATCATATAAGTAGTAAACTCTGAAAATTTTGACTTGATACGATGTCTAATAAAAAAGTTATTAAAAATTAAAATCAGTTCAGCTTGCTCCGGGCAGCCTAATATTAGATATAAGCTTAAATTGGATCAAATATACCTAATGTTATTTAAACTGTTCATCGCTTTAAACCCAATTAATTTACCTTTTAACTTCTCTTAACTTATATTTTAACATTAATACGATTATTGTTCTCTTATTGTTATTTCAACTTTCAGACCATTTTAATTGCAATAATTAATGGGTTAATTGTAAACATAAATGATTTAAGGTGCGATTAAGTTTTTCTTGTTGTTATTAAATCCTTTACTTTCATTTTATTGTTGATTTTTTCTGTCTGGTCACAATTAACCTATGAATTATTTAAGCAAACTTTTAATCATGATAGTCACATAGTTTAATGAAATATCGTTTATTTTAATCGCTAATTTGCCTTCCAATCTGAATTTGTTGACTTCACAATTGATGTTTACCTTTCATCGTCTTTTGCTTCTTTTTATTCAACTCGATTGTTGAAATTAATTATTACCATTTCCATTCCAAGATAGATGCAATCAATTATTCCTTTATATTAACCACATTCAGAACAATTGATTTCTGTCTTTTTTCATTAACAGAATCTCATTTTTCCTTGAATCTACTCTCGCTTTTGATTCCTACTTTTTTATGCTTCATTTTCAATTTACATTTTATTTTAGATCATCATTGATTGACACAATTTCATTATAATTGATCAAAATGATGTTAATCTTGTCTGGGAAATGAATAATTTAACCTTCAACTGATCAATCCTACTAATCATTTGTCCATTAATATTTCAGATGCTTTTTTGTTATTCATCGCTTCTACACATGATTCTCACGTTAAGATGCTAATATTGAACCTTTAATTTGCAAGGATTTGAAAATTAAAATTCTAGTCTTTAAATGTGCATTGAATTTATCGTACGCAGTGAAAAGAAATTCACGATCAATCATGATCGCTGCATTCGCTAATATATTTTAATATTCAATTGTTATTGTTATCTAGAACTTGCAAGTTCTTTAAAAAGGTATTGATTGAATTGTAATTTAGTAATTTAAATCATTATTTCATTTGAATGAATTTTATATCAAAATGAAGCCACATGTTTGGACACTCTGGTGTAAATTTCGTTGCTTAATGTTATCAACCATTACAATGGAAATTCAATTTTATTCAAGTTTGAATATCGTTACTGGAAAACTGGCCAATATTTAGTCTCAATGGATTATTGGACCAACGCTGTCTCTAAGTAATTTTTAATCAGATCGGTCAGTTCGGCTAGCTTGTCAGCACTCATGGTGTTAGACCTGGATAAAACCAAAGGGCCAACTGTAATAATAAAGAAAGTTGAATTATTATTAGTGAAAATCAATTTGCATGAAGTAACATCTAGTTAGTCAGCTCGAGAGTTACTTACTGGGGAATGAGCGAGTAGGAAGATAAAAACACATGTAACCAGCCATATAGTGAATGTAATCGACATCCAGTATATTCAATGACATTAGGTATGGATACTCTGGGAATAGAAAAAATAATTATAAACATTTTTAGTTAAAAAGTGTGTTATAAGAAAAATCATGTTATATAAAGTAGGCAGAAATTACTTACTTTTCGACATGTCAGGATAGATATTGAGTAAATTTTCATTATCAGAACGTTCGCCTAACAAATTTAAATAAACCTTTTCACCGCTAGATCATAGATGAATAATTTGAATTACAAAAAATGCAAAACTAATCAGTTATGCTTACTTACTAACGTAAATCTTCGGGAATCGTAACATTGAAGTTTCCATCCTTTCGAGGCATGAAATAAAACGTAGACGGTGGATCTGACGTTGGTGGAGAAATTACATGCCAAAGACCGGCAATCTAAATTAATCAACAAATTAATGGATAAAGTAAATGTTGAGGGAAAACATCACATTAACCTTAACTAAGCTGTTGTGAACCTACTTTATCAATATCAGCACCAGGAGTAGTTGGAGGAACTGGACATAAATTTTGAGTTGGAAGAGCGCCAAGAGCCGAAGAAGCAAAAGCAAAGACAACGAAGAGAGTCGCGATCATTTTAAGGTTTTTGCACAAAAGAAGAAATTAAATGTTTTTAATGAAACTTGTTAATAAACTTATGCTAATGTGTTCAATATTAACACCTTTTATACTCTATTCCATCAGTTTATCAGATAATATCATCTAAATATCGAAATACAAAATCTAAGATAAATTGCTATGAATTACTCAATCAAGAATAACACTTTTCAAACAATGAATAATGAAATCAATCTGAGAAGATAAGTTTGTTATTTGTGAATTTCATGAGAAGAGAAGAAAGGTGAAATTCACTATCATGCCATATTTAACGAGAATTTGATCATTTACTTCGAAAATTTTGTCTTTCACATTAATTAGCAATACAATTTCTGGTTATACAGTTGAATGGAACAAAGGAATTCTGGTTAATTTAGGTAAGAGAGTGAAGATTGTGTTCATTGGAAACAAATTATTCACTGATCATGTTGATCCCACAGAAATAATATTGATTGTTACATTAATAGCAAAAGTTCATATGTGTATATGCTAATGTGATACCTATTGATTTTAAATATAATATGTCTCATCAAAATCTAACTCAATGAAATTGCATCGAATGTTATTTTTTGAAACACTTACACTTCACTAATGAAGATACTTGAGCACTTTGAAAGTGATTTTAGAAGTCCACAGAGAGTTAGAGAAATCTTTTAATTATGCGAATGGTTCCAGTTCTTATGTCGCTAAAGGAGCATCAGGTCGCAACTCTTAACTCGAAAGTCAAAGTTTTAGCACTTATAAATCATGCAACAATAAAACATAACGTCATTAAACTAAAAAATAATTTGCTTCCCTCCACAATTATTTTGAATATGGATTGTATTTCCAACCACCCTGAAAATGATTTTGTCAAGAATCTGAGTTGCTGAAAAGCTCAAGTATCGTTTGTTGCTCTAGTCCAATTATGTCATCATTCGGTAGTAAGTTTCTTTGCCCCCATTTTGACGTAAAAATGACCAGGAAAGTTTTTTCACTGTTACAATCAATCGACATCTTAATAAAAACCCATCGCAAGAATAAGAAATACAGATTTTGATATTTTTTGCTTTTGTAACATTTGTAATATTTATTTTGCCATGGAAAAAGCCTTTCTTTAAGAACACTTAAGAAATTTCCCTTCGAGTTGTGAGTTGAAACTTTGATCTTTCTTGATTGTACTTTTAGTAGTACTTTTAGTACATTAAGAGGCACCAGATTTTTCACCACACTCTTTACTCTTTACTCTTGAATCTTCCCTCAAAAGACAAAGTTTACATAAAATCCTGGTCCAACAAGAAAAATAATGAACCATCAACCTTAATAACAAAAAAGTTTTCCCTCTCTGAATGTTATTGAATACGGATTCTGCATTTTGCCCCCAGTCCCTATGCTCATTAATTTCTCAGAGACCTGAATTCTGAGGTTAGATTTCCTATTTTTCGTCGTTGTATAAGTTAGAGCTTACATGCTGTGCAGAATTAAATAAATCAATAACAGACGATGAATTCATATTTATAAATATTTATATATTATAAAATGGGTTGTTTAGGATTATCAGCTAATACAGTGAAATTCAATTTTATTCGAGATTGAATATCATGACTAGAAAAATGGTCAATATTTAGTCTTAATGGATTACTGGTGGAACTCAGTCGGGAGAAACGCCAATTTTATTAACCAAATCGGTCAGTTGGGCTAACTTGTCAGCATTCATAGTTTCAGTCCTTGATAAAACATAACGCGCATCTGTGATTATTAAGAAAGTTGAAATATTATTAATGCAAATCAATTTACAAGAAGAAACATTTAGTTAGTCAGCTTGAGAGATACTTACGGACGGCGGAGTGGTGAGGAAAAATAAAACAATTATAAGCAACCAGATAGCTATCGTAATCAGTATCGGCTATATTGAAAGTATTTTGGAATCGAATCTCTGTAAATTGTAATAATTGTATTTTTATTGGTTGTAGTGAAAAATAATAGAAAATAATCTATACAATATATAAAGTCAAACTATGAAATTTTTGCGGGAAGATTGTGACCAAACTAAACGGGTTCTAAAAAAAATTTTTACATAGAATGAAAGCCCTGATTGAACTTCAATTACGAAAAATAGTCAGAGCTTTCTCGGAATTTAGGTTGCTGAGAAATTAGCGTTTAAACAGGGTGGGGGAAAAAACGCAGAATCCGTATCTTTTACTATTGACTTTGGGGGAAAAACTTTTTTTGTATTCAGATTGATGGTTTATTGTTGGGTTAGGAGTATATGTAAAACTGTCTTTCGACCAAAGAGTAAGTTAAATATCTGCTGCTTCAACTGTACAACTCTCAAAATGAACGAAATTTTTTTTTTAGTTTTTCTCATAGACAATGATTTTTCATCAACCATTCGAGTCTTTAAATGTGGATTGAATTTATTGTATTCAGTGAAAAGAAATTTACGATCAGCCATGATCGGGGGCTCAGCTTGTTGTTATAAATTGACTAATGCATCAGACACATCATGTAATAGAGTAGACAAAAATTACTTACTGTGGTCCGGATCGGTAAAATTGAGTACATTTTGATTATCAGTACGTTTGGCTAATATATATTCATCATGCTTTGAACTAATAGACGAAAGATGAATAATTTGCATTAAAAACCATTTAAAACAATCAATTATGTCTACTTACAAAGGTGCATGAGTTGTAAGATTGAAGTCTCCATCATCACGAGGAGTGAAATCCAACGTAAGGGTTGTTGTTAGATTAGGTAAAATTTCAATGGTTTCATACCATCGACCGGCAATCTAAGTCAATCAAATTATTTGAATTATTGGATAAAGTCAAACTTATTGGATGAAAACATTAAAACATTATAAACTTACTTTGCCAATATCAGCACCAGGAGTAGTTGGAGGAACTGGACATTCACCAAGAGCCGAAGAAGCAAAAGCAAAGACAACGAAGAGAGACGCGATCATTTTCATGGTTTTTGCAGAAAAAGAGGAAAATAAATGTTTTATAATGAAACTTGTTAATAAACTTATGCTAATGTGTTCAATATTAACACCTTTTATACTCTATTCCATCAGTTTATCAGATAATATCATCTAAATATCGAAATACAAAATCTAAGATAAATTGCTATGAATTACTCAATCAAGAATAACACTTTTCAAACAATGAATAATGAAATCAAAGTACAAAGATAAGTTTGTTATTTGTGAATTTCATGAGAAAATATGTAGATTATATTCACCATCATGCCCCATTTACTGAGGAACTTGACCCTTTACTAAGAAATAATTTCATTTAAAGCATCAATAAGTGATACAATTCCTGGTTAAAACAGTTATAATGAAACAAATAGATTCTGGTTAATTTTGGGTTTTTAGGTAAGAGAATGAACATTAAGTTGACTTCGCAGAAATATTGCTTGTTACATTAATAACAATAAATGTTTGGTCTCAATCCGGAAGCTTATTTCACATCTTTAATCAAAAATCAATTAACTATGTTATTGTTTCACTTTGATGCTGGTCTTTACCATCGTGAGTTTGGTTTTTTTCAATCGGAATCGCCTGGAATGGTCTATATATTTATTATATTTATGTGAATTTGGTTGCTTTTAGGTCATCAACCACTACATCTCAATCAAAATTTTTGTCACCAAATCAAAATCATGTTTTCTAATGAAACTTATTGATCAATTGATCTAATACCGTATGTTTAATCATCACGGGTTTATGCATCATTGACATGCGATGCATCATTTTATGCAATTATCAAATAATTTGACTCTTGTTAATCTGACCCTCTTATACACTAGGTGATGACTTACGATTGTTAGTTAACGTTTGTATTAGATATAAGCTTAAATTGGATCAAAATATGCCTAATGTTACTTAAATTGTTCATCTCTACAATCCCAATTAATTTACCTTCTTCAATCAACTTGTATTACAATTTAGATACGATTATTGTTCTCTTATTGTTGTTTCAACTCCCAAACCATTTTAATTGCAATAATTAATGGGTTAATTGTAAACATAAAGGATTTAAGGTGTGATTAAGTTTTTTTTTGTTGTTTTTCATTCCGTTACTTTCATTTTACTGTTGATTGTTTCTGTCTGGTCACAATTAACCTATGAATTATTTAACCAAACTTTTAATCATGATAGTCTAATAGTTTAATGAAATATCGTTTATTTTAATCGCTAATTTGCCTTCCAATCTGAATTTGTTGACTTCCCAATTGATATTTACCTTTCATCGTCTTTTGCTTCTTTTTATTCAACTCGATTGTTGAAATTAATTATTACCATTTCCATTCCAAGATAGATTCAATTATTCCTTTATATTAACCACATTCAGAACAATTGATTTATGTCTTTTTTCATTAACAGAATCTCATTCTTCCTTGAATCTTCTGTCGCTTTTGATTCCTACTTTTTTATGCTTCATTTTCAATTTACATTTTATTTTAGATCATCATTGATTGACACAATTTCATTATAATTGATCAAAATGATGTTAATCTTGTCTGGGAAATGAATAACTTTAACCTTCAACTGATCAATCCTACTAATCATTTGTCCATTTATATTTCGGATATTTTTTTCATTCATCGCTTCTACATATGATTCTCACGTTAAGATGCTAATATTGAGCCTTTAATTTGCAAGGAAACGCCAAATAAAAATAAAACACTTTTATTTTCTCCTTAACTTGCATTTAGTAGACATTTCTTCCGTCTCAATAAAAGAAACCGATATTGGTATCAAGGTATCATTATGTTTTTATTTGGGTTGAAAAACATAAATTAAAATGTAACCTCTCATTGGGAATAAAATGGCCGCAACATTTTACTCTTAAGCAATGAGCTCTTTATGAAGATTGGGATTCTGCTGGCTGTGCTGAAAGGTTGAATCAATTGGATGGTTTAGTTGAAAATGGCTCCTTGATTGGAAAACAATTTACTCATAAAATAATCAAGACTAATCATACAGTTGACGGAAGCATTACAAAACCAAGAAATCAGAATTATTTTCCCTGGTGTGTCACGTATTCAGGTACATCAACTCAGGGATTACAGTTTTGCGTTACGTCGATGGTTATACTAATCAAGAATCTTTTTTAACTCAATCAGCTGCAATTATTTACTTGACTAATTTACCGACTATTTACTGACCCACAATAAACTAGTTTCAGAATAATTGACTATTGATATAAGTCAATTGATAAATATTTCACGTATAACACACATTTAGGTGATTTTGTGGGTAAAGGGGCAAAGTACCTAATTCAAAACAATTAGGGCAAAACAACTCGTCTAAGAGTCTTTAGACTAGAAATATACGATGAGCACAAATTTGAATTGATTAGCTTCAATTTTGACTGCTTAAGAATTATCTAAAAAGCTATTTTGACACTGAACCGATTTTGATTATTTTTGTGTCTTTTAAATCCTTTCCTGACAAGCTGTCCATTTATTTTTAAATCTTGGCGCTTTAAATTTTGTAAACATCAAGCACATGGTTGCTTGGAAACGTGTTGTTGCTATTTTATGCAAAAGTCACGTTTTTTTAAATGTTTACTGATTGATCTTTAATTTTGTGAGCTAATTAGGTTTGTCATGATGGTGAAAACAAATTTCGAAGTTATCGTTGGTACATATCAAAAATATCTAGTTGGAATTTCGCTTGGTAAAGATAAATCTAAAGAATCTTTTAATTTTGTGCAATCATTTGCTGAGGAAGCTCATATTGGAGGAATCAAGTGTGTTGCTGCATCCGGCAATTATGTTGTTTCTGGTGGTACCGATGAATTTATCCGAGTTTTTGATATGAACTCACGACGAGATGCTGCTTCACTTCTGCAGCAAGAAGGAACGATAAATTGTTTAAAATTTATAGACGATTCACATTTGATTAGTGGCAGTGAAGATTCCACCTTATGTGTTTGGACCACTTCTAATTGGAAGTGTATTAAAACTTTAAAGGGACATAAGGGCGCTGTTAATGGTGTTTCTATTCATCCTAAAGGTAGTTTAGCTTTATCAGTTGGTAAAGACCAGAAAATAATTACATGGGACTTGGTCAAAGGTAGAAACGCCTTTGTCACCAATATTAAGGAAATTGCTAACAATATTATTTGGTCGCCTAGTGAAAAACATTTCATTGTTTTATTCGACCAGCGAATTGATTTTTATGATGTCAATGTTGCTGCACCTGTTCAAAAAGTTACCTTTGCAAAAGATGTTAACTGTGCTAGTTTTTTAAATGTAAGTATAAATATTTGTCTACACTACCCTTTGTTATCTTGACAAATTTTTAACTATCTCATTTTTATTTTGACAGGATTCGATTCTTTTGGTTGGATTGGAAAATGGTTGCCTTGAAATGGTCGATGTCTCACACAACAAGTCGCTTAAAAATCAAAAAATTCATGATTCCCGAATCAAAGACATTTGTGTAACAAATAAGGGAATATTAACAGCATCATCAGATGGAATTGTGAAACTCATTCGAAAGGCCAATTTTGGTGATAGAGGATCTACCAATTTAGACTGTCGCATAACTTGTATGACAATTTTCAACCCTGAAAGTGATTAAACCAATTAAAGATTCTTGCATCACAAAACTGGAACATGTATTTAAAAAAATAGAAAAAGTTATAAGGGTAATGAGTTCAGACCATTATGTCAGTTGCTAGTTACTTATCACAAACCTAACGGCATCATTTCGTGTTTTTCATCTATTATTATTTTTATACTGCTATATTTTATGTGAATATTTCAAGAAATGCGATAAATTATTCAATAGACAATTCAATAGTTAATGAAATACTGAAGTGTTAAATTAATGCTTCCGTCAACTGGATCTTTATATTTAAAATTATCATTCTGGGTTATTTAATGAGTAAATTGTTTTCCAATCAAGGAACCATTTTCAACTAAACCTTCTAATTGCATTAGCATTTTAAATATAACGAAATTCTCAATAATTCATTGACAATGGTTTCGGTTATACCCACGAATAGTGTCATTTGATTTGCGAAGGAAAAATTCAAAGGAAAATCTAAAGGGCAATTCTCAAGTTACCAAACAATAAGTGTTGATAATATTGTGCTATAATACCACTCATTCTGAGAAAGTAAAACAATCCATATTAACCAGTCTCATCCAATTGATATTTTCATCTAATCAATGCTTTGATCAGGATCATTCGAATAAATTGTATACAGTAACCTGCCAGATACTGAATTGGACTAAATGGGACTAAATTTATCAACAATCCCTAATTAAGGAGGAGTTAATCAAATTTGAATCTTAACAACTTTCATTTTGATTTCTTTAATAATCAATTAGCTTTTTTAAATTTTCTTTCGTAAAATATTAATCAAAAAACTCGAAAAATCATCTTCAAATAATATTTACAGTTAAATTTGATCTATTAAAGAAGGTTGAAAATTATGAAATGCGGGTCCGATAAATAGTGGAAAAAAGCTATTTTCAGTTTGTCCCATTATCTGGCAGGTTACAGTATTTAAAGCCAACGAATAAATAATTTTTAATAGACACTTTCTGTCTATTAAAAGCTAATGTTGATTGACTACTGAGTTTCATTCGAATCCAAATTTATGACCAATTTCGGGTTATGATGGCGATTTAAAATACATTTGTTAAATGGTGTAAAAGTGTATTGTGAACTATCTGAAATGTCATATTATCACTATAAACTGCTTTTTCGAGCTCCGTAAACGCTTTTGTGTCACATCTGAATACCCTGTCTTTTAACCAATTTCAAATTCCTGATAAAGCCTATTAATATACAATAAAAATGAACGAGATTTGGAGCCTATTTCTCGAGATATAAAACCAAAAAAGTTTAACCTATCTGTTTGAACACCTCGTATAAACACAAAAAGAAGGAGAGATTTCATCACAATCCAATATCACTGAATGATATTTGAAGCTGAAAAAGCTCAATTGCAATCGGGGATAGCAACAGACCAACGTGAAAACAGTAAACATGAATCGATATGATCTTAAAAGATCAGCAGATGAATGGCGCTAATTATTATTAAAATTTTTCTTTTATTTTTTGTTTTTTCCATTTAATTTAAAGCAATGATTTTGCCAGGTTGATTACCTTATCGAATCAATCGCCTATTCCAGAGAACTAACGAGGTGGTAACTTTCAAACAAATGAATATCTAAGATTTAACTAGAAATGAACAAAGAGAAGAATAAAATTTTATAAAAATGCTGATCAATATTTCCATTTTTAATGTTCTTACCTGGAAAAAGGGATTGATCTCTAATAAGCAAAAGAAACACAATAAAATCAACTGATTCAGTTAAGTCGAGCTATTGGCAACAGCTTTCAGGCGATAATCATTAATAATGATCAGATCGAAGATTTCAAATAGTTTTAAGAATAAATAAAGGAGGCGGACGGAATTCGCCTAAGGAATAGATTTTTTTCAAACTAAATTTTTTAAATGTAAAATGGCATGAAAAATATCACAGTGTTAGCCATTTTTTTATATTCGAAGCCGTTTTCGAGATAATGGCCTTAAAATTTTTTTTCCATAAAACAAATCATTTTTGATAGAGCTTGACATGCTGATCATTAATATAAATTATACATATACATTAATAACATTAAGATTCATTTTGAATGTATTTAGCAGGATGAAAACCAATCCATATCAACATCATCAGATACAGAATTAAAAACTACATAGGAAAAATGGGTTTTGATCGTGGTTCACGAATATCGAGTGTACTTTGAAATAAAATAGCTTTTCTCTCTACTTTTTGTCACTTTTTTCGAATTTATTCAGCAACTGCACGTCGCAGCCAAAAACCGATTTTATATTAATGATCAGCATGTCAAGCTCTATCAAAAATGATTTGTTTTATAGAAAAAAATTTTTAAGGCCATTATCTCGAAAACGACTTCCAATATAAAAAAATGGCTAACACTATGATATTTTTCATGCCATTTTACATTTAAAAAATTTAGTTTGAAAAAAATCTATTTCCAGGCATTTTTCCCTATTCTTTCTGTCCTCCTCCTTATCTTCAAACTGTTTTGTTTTTTAAATCACAAGAATGGCCCAGACAAATATTATTGTATTTATACAAGGCCATTTTAGGACATTTCGAAAATCATTTTCATCTTTCATGTCAAGTGATTAAAAGAAAATTTCTGAGAAAAATGAAGATAATTGAATGATTTTAGCAAACTGATTATGGTGAATGCTTTATTAGGCATTTAATTAAATAATATCTGGAATGGTTTCAATTCAATGTTTAATGTGGATGATATAAGATTACTGAGAATTTAATACAATTAATAATGTTACGGTCAAATAATGGTATCAATGAATCTCTTGAAGAGGTGACGAAGTTGAATAGTTAATGAAGGAAAGTCACTCATATTGGTAGAAGATGGTTTATGCCATTTACAGAGAATTTTTATGTTGTCTACTTGTTTGGATTCATAACTCAATATATGGTTATATCAATGTTTTTCAATTATACAAAAATATTATCTTCATAAACAATTCTTGGAATCCAAATTGTAATACATGATTATTCGAATTTTGTGGAGGAGAATCTCTTAGATTATTGATAATTTGGCACTATTTAAAGTATTTCATTTCGATCATCATTATTTTTATTATACTATTATTATATTGTACTACTCTGTAATTGAAGTAACAGTAAATCGACTCAACATGAATTCAAAAATGTTATTTGCTTTTGTTTTAGCTGCTAACATCTGTGCCATCACTGTAACTGCTGAAGGTAAAGTTATCGTCCAAGTCTCATTGTTTTCTGAGTCTCAAGAACTAATTGACTAATTAAAAATTGTGTTCTTCTTTTTAGTTTACAGCTATAAAGTGAATGTTAGAATGGCTGATAAAGAATTCGATAGCCATGAAGGTAAACTCAAGATTTCAGTTACGAGTAAAAATGCTCAAAATACTACCCAAGAAGATTTTGAATTGACTCCAAAGTAAGTTTATTTAATTTAATATCTTAATTCATTGCTAACAAATTATGTATCATTTTTCCTTTAGTGATGTTGAAATGAAAAAAGACAAAAATTATACTGCAATAATTTCATCAACCGCTCCTTTAGACACAATCACATCGGTTTACCTTCAATGGACTCGGGAAGCCCCAAACGATACCGACTCTGCATCCAATAAACCAACGCTCTATTTCGAGTCAGTTAGTTTGACCTCATTCAAGTTTAGGCCCCATCCAGAGTGAGTATCATCTGTCCAATTGCTTCACGAATAATATGATTGTTTCGATAGTGCAAGTTGTTAATCAAAATTTTTTTCACTCTTTCAGTTTCTGTATATGTGTAAGTCGCTATTTTTGTCCAGAAACTACTCCAATCGGAATCGAACATGCTGGTGGAGCTACTTTCAATTTCTGCAACAGCAGAAAGGTATTTTCTCTTTACAGATATTACGAAGTTCGCTCTGTAAAAGATCTAAAAGAGGCTGAATGTTCCATGTGAATGGCTCGCTGTATCTGAAAGTCACAAGTTTTGTCAAGCATCTATTCCAATTGAAATTAAACATGCGGATTGAGCTATTTTCAACTCTTGTATCCAAACAAAAAACTATGAAAATGATTAAATAAATTGCAAAACAAACCTGATTTTTTGTTTGATTATTGAGATGAATGTTGATATTGATTTCATTTATTGGTTAATTCAACGATCCTTCGATGATGTGGGAAAATATTACATTTTTAATTTCACCAAATACATACAGCTGCGAAAATGGAGTTAGACCTCGATATCATATCTTTGGCGCATTGTTTGGTATCCAAGCATATCGATAGTCAATTTTTTCATATAAATTAAGCACAATCAACATCCATTCAATGCCTTAACCAATAAGTCTTGATTTATCGTTACATTTATTCAACAAAATTCTTGGACCACCAAAGAAAAATTTTCTTTGTGGTTAGATATTTGGCATATTTCCCTTTTGGAGGATAATAAAAAAGTTGTCTTATTTTTGGACAATTTCATTATTGGCTATTGAGAAGAATATTTTTCAATATTGTTTCTACCTTTCAGAAACAGTAACTTTTCGGGTCTTTTCGTCTTTTTAACGATACAAGTAGGAATAAATTTATGAAATTTTCGCACATTTTTTAGATCGTAGATCTTATAAACTTCTCATAATTAATCAGTCTATTAGGCATTCTATCACCTAGGAACTTGTCAATTCATTTTATCAATGTTATACATTTTAAAACTTTCATTATGATTATTAATTCTAATTACTTACTGACAGCAGGTCCAGCATCGATAGTTATATTGGCAACATTTAAGAGGTTCTCTCGGAATGTCCCATCAACTCGCCAGTCTAATTAATGATAAGCAATCATTTTTATGATTATAAGAAAATCGTGAAATGTGTTTGTAAAATTTACATTAAACTTACGTGGATTGAAACTGACTATAAATTCGACGAATCCAACGACAAAATCGTGATCAAATTTAGGACAAACATCTAGAGCAAAAGAAAGGTTTTAATATCATTTATTATCAATGCTTTTCATGGATAAATATTGTTATACAGGGTGTTTTTTAATCAACTTTAGACGTTTGAATGACTATAACTTTTTTATTCTTCGGTATATGAACATAATTTTTTTTCTTAATAAACAAGAAGGACTAGAAGGAAGATTATAATACATTTTCGAAGTGAGCACCTTCGCCTTGCTGTGTGAGAATCAGACGATGGAGAAAATTGTCAATGACAGAATTCAAAGTTTCTTGATTTACATTTTCTATGAAATTTCCAATTAATTCTTGCAAATGTGAGATAGATCTAGGTTTATTTTGAAAGACGTAGTCTTTCATAGAGCCCCACAAGTAAAAATCGCATGGATTAAGGTCGGGGCTGTAAGGTGGCCATGAAATTTCGTCACCATCCTCTGATTCGAATCCAAGTCCGATAACTCGGTCTGAAAAAGCAGAGCGAATGGTTTCTTTAACATCTCGTGTTCTATGGGATGTAGCCCCGTCTTGTTGCCACCAAAATCCATCAATTTGATTACGCTGAGAAAGTTCGGGTAGCACTTTTCTTGTCAACATTTCATTGTATGCTGCGCCAGTGACTGTCGAGTCGAAGAAAAAGGGTCCTATTTTTCCTTGCGCACTTATGCCCATCCATACAGTAACATATTTAGGATGAAGTGGCTTTTCCACTTTTTCGTGAGGGTTTTGCGTGCCCCATATTCTGTGATTTTGTTTGTTAACCACGCCATGGAGGTAAACATGGCTTTCATCTGTAAACCAGATTTTCTTGGGATCTATCAAGTTCGCATCGATGTGACTGGTTATTTTGACTGCAAATTGGACTCGCTTCTCCATATCTATCTCACGAAGAAGATGAACCATCATTATCTTATAAGCTTTAAAGCCAATTTCCTCATGAAGAATTGTCCAAATAGTGGTTGCACTAATGCTCATTTCAGCTGCACATCGTCGAATTGTAGCATTTTTTCGCCTTCTGAAGTAATCTTTGACCTTTTTGATATTTTCTGGAGTTCTTACAGATACTGGTCGGCCAACATTACCAGCAAGATCGTCCAATACAGATCCAGTCCTGAGCAATTTTTCATAAGTTGATTTAACAGTTGGTATTGTAGGTGGCCTCACATCAGGAAACTTCTTTGAAAATCTGCGTATGACCTCACTAGCATTCTCACACACCCCATAATGGCACGCAACAAACACTCGATGTTCAATCGAAATTCGTTCACTCATGGTTTTGGGTTGTTTTCAGGTAATTGCTGATAATTATTGAACGAAATGTTGGATCAATGTAGAGTTAATTGCCTCGAAAAGAGCACAAAATAAACCTAGGAAAACTTTCTTAACAGTCAAGAAAAAACGCGCAAAGGATTTGTAAAAAGAATTCGAAAAAAAGTCGCCAAAATTTGGTTTTTATTCGATCACGTCACTTCCGGTGTGAATAAAAATAAATCCTTTCAAATTTATTCAATCTACTCTTTGACCTATTAGATCATTAGGTTTTAATGTCCGATCATAATCTAATATGCGAGAAAGTTCAAATCAAACGTCTAAAGTTGATTAAAAAACACAAAGTACTTACTATCGGAAATTGGGGCCGAATTGATTGTTGAGACAAAGAGAAGAGCAATCAAAGCAATTGTAAACTTCATTTTGTAGTTCAAATTTAATGGTGTCGAATTACATATTTCGATGATAAGATGATCTCAATAAATGTTATAAAAAGTTAAATTGAAAGCTTTTCAGTTCAGACCTATTCTATGCTTCGATATAATCTCATATTTCTGTCTAATCATTATTGCATCCAATTATCCGATATTGCATTCATTTTGGAAACTGATTAATTTCCATGTAAATCTGATAATTTAATGCTGAAAAATTTAGCTTTTTCATGAAAGTTTTAAATGCTTTAATTTTAACGTGATTCAGATTGGGATTGCAATTGCATAAAATAATCCATTTTAATTGATTTATGATAAGGATATATGGATGCAGAAATTGACGATGGTCTTCATTAAGAATTCGAGTCTTAATTGTGAATTCAATTCATCGTAGCAAGTGGAAAAAAATTTGAAATCAGTCATGATTGCTTGATCTAGTTTGTAATAGTTGCAAGGAATAAAATTTTATAAAATTCAATTTTTACTTGTTTAATAGTGAAACAAATGTACAAATCGAGATTGTTTTGTAGTTTATGGTTCTCAATCATTGTGATGGTGAATAGATGATTCCAATGATTATCAATCTAATTCCAAAAATATACTGACCACAAAAAGAAAAGCACATTGAGTTATTAAAATCGAGAAAAATGGGGTTCAAAATAATTGAAATAATCGATTTATCAGCAAGTTTCGCAGAGACCACAAATCAGCTAAATCTTTGACAAAATTTCGACCGCAATTTTCACTGTGGTTCGTGATTTACAAGAGTGTTGAATAAGTTGTTGCAACAACTATTCAACATTTATTCTATCAATAAGTTCAGATTCATACAAAAGTTATTGACGATTTAAACAATTGGATAAGAAGCTTTATTAGCAATACCACACATGTTGCTACCTCTGTACAATCTGAAGTAACCTGATTCACCGAACAATGTACCCCAAGTGTTTCTGACGATCCAAAATGGAATACCGTTTTCAGAACCATATCCGACAACGGCTACAGCATGATTAATACCCTCAGGGTCGCTTGAGCACTCATCCGTATAAAAAATACCAGATCTAAAAAAAAGACGAAAAATCAGAAATTACATTTTCTTCAGATGCTCAATTCACTTACTGATAATCATGAACTGGTCCAGCATCAATTGCGACTGCAACAACATGTTCAGCAACTGCATGTAGAAGGGCTTCTTCATCACCTTCTGGTATATCGACAAAGGATGCGATTGAAGCACCCTTGTTGGATTCATTGTATCGACATGTGTGGTAATCTTGTCCGTCACCAGAAATGTATGGATAAGATTTTTCAGTATCAATACCCTTGTTGTCTTTAACATATAAGAAAGCATCATCCATCCAACCCCCAGCGCATCCTTCTGTACTATAGTTCCATGAGCAATCCAAAACGTTTTGTACTGAAAGTTCAACAAGTTTACCAGTTTTTTGAGCATTGGCTGCTTCCATAGCAGTGATGGCAGAGAAAGCCCAGCACGCACCACATTCCTGTTGTTCTTTAACTTTACTAACGACTCCTTTAGTTCGCCAATCAACAAAGGCTGGAGCTTTGACCGTGTAGTTCGCATTGTGAATGAGAGGTGCGGATCGACGAACAATCGACCTGGATCCATGATGTTTTGCTTTTAGTCCCAGATGTTTTGCTTTGAATTCCTCGGTGGTCTACATGCAATTTGATAAATTAAATTATTTGTTATTTGACAGTAGTTTGACAAATAAGTCTTAGAACTTGAGAGTTTTCAACTCACCAAATCAGAGAACTTGTTTATTCCTTTTCTGTATGTAACTTCACCGTTGACTGCTCTTCCATTGTGAGCCTTGATCGCTTCCATTTTCTTGGCGAAAATACTTCGTCTGTAAGTTTCTTCTTCAACCGATTCATAAGATTTGCCATATTTAGTCTGTAAAACAAAAAAACATGAATAAGAGTCGCCTCACAACTCGCTTTAATCGAGTCGATTTGCCAAACGATGAACTTATAATACCTTGAATGATTCCCATTGGGAGTCAAGTGAAAGGCTAGCTGCAGTGGCCACGGCAAATAAAGAAATGAATAAAGCAGCTCGAATCATCTTGATTGATAGTTGTTGAGTGAACAATAATTAATTATTAGACTTATGATTTCCATGGATTTCAGCTTCTCATTTTATATACTGTTTAATCGGTGATTAAACATTGGAGGGAATTACGATGAAATTAAAAACAATAAGTATAAAGTTCATTTTGTTTTAATTCAACCAAATCAGCATAAATCATGAGTTTTCATTAAACAATCGCGAAGATGAAACTTTGATTACAAAATTAATCGGAACTATTTCTCTTTTAAATGATAATTCCATTGATTCGCATAAAATTTTCTCAGAAATGATGAACTGTTATATCATTAAGATTTTATCTGACATAATCTGATTTAACTGCAATACCACGTGCTTTCACGTTCTTAACCTTAACCTGTAACAAATTTATTCGCTGAAACAATGATCAAAAATATACAGTAATTTTCGATTTTTTACCAATGCAACAATCGATATTTCTTGCGGTAACAGCATAATTAGAAAATGATATTTTTTTCAAATGAACAAAATCTCTTTTCTGTTATCTTAAAACCTAAAATTAACCAGAATTTGCATTTCATTTAAACTATCAAGATTTAACCAGAAATTGCATTGATGTTTACGCTTTAAATGGAATTATTTCCGAGTAATATTCAGTAAATATGGCACAATAATAAATCTGATTTTCTTCTCATAAAATGCACAAAAAACAAACTATCTTTTTCGAATTCATTTTTCATTGTTTGAAAAGTGTTATTCTTGATAGAGTAAATATCAGATTATCTGTTTTGATATTTAAATGACATTATTCGATAAACTGATGAAATAATTAATAAAAATTGATGATAGTTATCACATTAGCGTCAGTTAATCAACAAGTTTCATTAAAAGACATTCAATTTCTTCTTTTGTGCCAAAACTGTAAAAATGATTGCGACCCTTTTCGTTGTCTTTGCTGTTGCTTCTTCAGCTCTTGGTTTTTGTCCATTTACTCCATTTATTCCTTCGGCTGATATTGGTGCAGTAGGTTTATAATAATTCAATTTGTTTTGCCAATATGTTTGACATATCCATTAATTTGGTGTTTATTGCTTTAGATTTCAGGTCGATGGTATGTTACTCAACCAAATCTTGGTGATTCAACACAAAATTTAACACATATTTCAATGGATTTCACTCCTCGAGTGGATGGGAACTTCAATCTTACAATTAGTGGAACTAATCCTGAGTAAGTTAGCATAATTAATCGATTCAAATTGTTTTTAATGTGATTATTCATTCACCGTCTAGTGGCTCAAAGAAAAGGGAATATTGGTTAGCTGAACGTTCTGAATATCAGCGACAACTCAATATCTACGATTTTTCAAAAAGTAAGTAATTATTGCTCATGTGCCTCATTCATTTCACAATTTAACAATTGATCAATACTGGATTATTTCCCATTGCAATTTATAATTACAATGATAATTATTTTCATTTTCCAGAAAATCCATACAAAGTTAACTTCAATGTAATGGTAACTGATAATTACGTTGGCTATCTGAATGGCTATTTTTGTTTGATCCTTCCTACTCGCTCTTTCCCCAGTAAGTATCTTTCAAGCTGACTCACTAGATGTTTCTTGATGTAAATTGATTTGCATTAATAATAATTCAATTTTCACAATTATTATAGTTTACGGTGGAAATTTCTCTAGGACTGACCCCATGAATGGTTACAAGAATGTCGAGCTAACTGATTTGATTGATTAAGTTGGTGCTTCTAGTGATAGAGTTGGACAATTATCCATTGAGACTAAATATTGACCAGTTTCCCAGTTATAATGTTGAAACTTGAATAAAATTATGGGATAATCAAGACACTCCATTTCAAAAATTTGGTCCACGAGTTTGCTTCAAAAATTATACTAAAAATTTGAGATAATTCAAATATTTTTTTACTGAATCATAGTCTTATTTATTTCAAAACTAATTTTAACCATTAAAACCATCTTGGATGATTCTGTCGATTAATGTTGAATACGTGACTTGTATACTTTTAAAATTTCAATATCATAGTCGATGGAGCTCAAATCACTGAATTCTCGAGAAAAACCATAATTGAAAAGTTGGTGCAAGAATAACTTCTGTTTTTTTCGATCGATTTCTATGCGGCTATCAATGGAGATAAAATGCTATTTCGTAGATTTAACCTTGGTTGATTCTTGAACCAAGGTTGCATTTCAGCTCTTCGAGATGATAATTTCGATACAAATTGCCCTTATAACAAATTCAACAAAAACAGAAGACAAACCTTTAGTTTGTCAAAAACAAGACTCGATTAACTGGTTTGACTGATGAGATGAGCCAGAAAAGGGATTAAGAATAACCCTTCTACATTTGCTATTAGTTGTTGCTTTACAGATCATTTATGAATACAATTATTATAATAAATAGTTAACCTGTTAGTAGTCAAAAATGAAACAATTTTGTCATTGCCTTTTCATTTGCTCGAGTCTTTGATGCTGCAGGTTTATTCCAACATGATCCGATCAAGACAAGTATTAAACCTGCAGATTACCCTGAACCTGAACTTTCACAGCCATTTTTGGCTGTACTGATTTTAAGCAAAGTTTTTTGTTTTATTTCGATGCTGGTTTTTCTCTTTGTGAACTTGAGTCTCTTCAATTGGAATTGACTGAAATATCATATTTAATTGATTTTTAATTGAAGATGCTAAATTAAATTTCAAATTGTGACCAAATATTTTCTTGTTATTAATGTAACAATCAATATCACATTTATTTCTGCGAAATCAACATAATTAGTCAATGATATTTTTTCAAATGAACAAATCTCTCTTCTCTTACCTAAAAACACAAAAGAAAACCAGAATTGTATTGCTTATTTATGCTTTAAATGAAATTATTTCCGAGTAATAATCGAATTTCTCGTTAAATATGGCATGATAGTTAATATAATCTTGATTCTATTCTCATGAAATGCACAAATAATAAACTTATCTTTTTACCTTGAATTCATCATTCATTGTTTGAAAAGTTTTATCCTTGATCAGTAATTCATAGTAAATATAAGATTTTGTATTTCGATATTAGATCATTATTATTTGATAAACTGCTGAAATATAAAGTATAAAAAGTGATGACGTTAAACACATAAGCATCAGTTGATTAATAAGTTTCATCAAAAAACATTTAATTTCTTCTCTTGTACAAAAACTATGAAAATGATCGCCACTCTCTTCTTTGTCTTTGCTGTTGCTTCTTCAGCTCTTGGTCAATGTCCAATTTCTCCCACTACACCTGGTTCTGATATTGGCAAAGTAAGTTTATAATAATTTAATTTAAAATGTTTAGCCAATACGTTTGACTTGCATTAATTTGGTGGTTGATTGACTTACAAAAGGGAAGTGTCTCAGGTGTCTCAGCCATTTCCGGTCGAGACTATATGCATTCGATAGAGCATGAAAAACTAACATAAGGGTTTGTCGGATTTAGATAGAAAACTCTCGAGTCTCGAAATAATTGAGATCAAAAAACCGTTTTCTTATGAAAAAATATAAAGTTTTCAAATTTTTTCTTTGATTTTATTTCATTTACTGGGGGTTTTAGACCTACGAAAATCATTGAAAATATTTAAAAAGCAATATAATGTCTAATTTTTTAATCTTCACTGGATTTTTATTTTAATTGAAATAATTCCTCTCTCTTATTTTTAACTTCCTCATTGTAAAATGGCAAAATAACATGTAAATCTGAATGTGATAATCTAATTATCTCCAAACTAATGAACGATTAAAGCTGTAAAAACAGTCAACATTTTGCTGAATTTTAAGTTGTGAGTCATTTGCATTGTGACAAATTTTCTATGACTAACATTTATTATCTAGCACGAATTTTGTTACTTTTATGTTTGAATATGTAGATAGAATGACTATTATAACAAATATGTTATCGAAACTGTGACTGTACAAATAGTACATAATTTGACTAATTGTGCTCTGGTTAAGATTTTGATCCAATATATAAACGTTACATTTATGGATTTTTAAAAACAGATAAAATGGCTATTTATTTGCAACGAATAATACGAATATAATGATGACTAACGCGAAGGATAATCAATAAGTCGCTTAAATAGATTTAAAATAATTCTGTGCTTTTTTTGTTGTAATCGAGTACTGAAAAATTCTTATTCATTCGTCTGATAATAAAGCTCGTGTAACTACGTCAAATTATTCTTGTTTTTTGTTTGATTTGCCATAATAAATTTGATACATTGATGTTTGCACAAGTGTACACAAATGATAATTTTCCTCTATTTAAATAGGCAGTTGTCCAAATATACAGTAGTATAAATACTCGACATCCAAAGAAACTTCATCAGTTAACGCTTGCAATTAACAGTCGATCATTTAAGAGTCAGTGCCTTTCTAGTTTTACCTATGTTACAGTGCAATGGATTTCAATCCAGTATCCTCTATTAAGGTTCTACTCTCAATGGCTGTAGCCAAGTTTGGTAGATGTGACGATGAGAACCCGTCTGTTGAAGATAATGTTTTTGCGCGACATATCTTCGATCAATATATAGCAAAAACGGAAATGAGATTAGAGGTGGACGAAGAGATTGGTTTGGTTTACGACGAGGATTACGACAGTGATGTTGAAGATGAAGAAACCGCAGAAGATGAGCAATCTCGGTCGATGGAAGATGCCAATGATAGTGATGATGCATCGGAAGCCGCAACTGCAGAAGAATCGCCTGAGCGAATGGAGCAAAGTGAAACTTCGCCAGAAAGTTCACCGAGACATTTCACTCCAGCAGATTTATCGTTTTCTGCTACTACGATAGAAAAAATCAACGATTTTATTGCTTCGGGTAACTCTTATTCACAAGCAGCTAAATTCTTCCGAAGACCCATTCATAAAATCAGAAAGCTTGTTGAACTCACCGATAAAGGCGGTTCAAATGCTTCGCAGCTACGTCAAATCAATGATTATTGTAAAATTAAATTTGATGAATTTCGCTCTAATGGAGCGATCATCCACTATTGGACAATTCAGGCTTGGGCTCGGGATAAAGCTGTCGCCTTGGATTATCCCAATTTCAAAGCCTCTTTGAGTTTTATCGCGCGGTTCAAAAGAAGTAATAGAATTGTCGGGAGAAAAATTACTCGTTTTGTCACGAGAGCAGAAATAGAAGGCGAGGATGCTATTCTCGAATCAGCCAGGCAATTCGTTAATAGTGTAAATCTTTTTGAACAATCATCTGGAATAGACGAAGATTTTATATTCAATACAGACCAATCGAAGGTCGAATATGAGATGGTCTCTAATCGGAGTCTCTCAAGTAAAGGGGAAAAAATAACAATGGCTCGAGTCCAAAGTTTATCAGCCATGACTCACTAATACACGATACAACTATTGATAACAAAGTCTGGTTTGGTGGGCCCTAAAATCTATATCTGCTTCCAAGAGCCAAACGGTAGATTCGGGCCAAGAGTGAAGCAAGCTATCGATACGGCAATGAGAGCTTATCCATCAGTATATGCTGATGCAAGCAAGAACGGAAAGATGGAAAGAAAAAATTTGATAAATTTTGCTAAATTTGTTTTAAATCCAACTATTGGAGAAAATAATATTCTTTTACAAGATTCTTTCACAGGACAAAGGGATCAAAGCATTTTTATTGACAATTGCGGTGGTAAAAACATACAAATTATGACAATCCCACCAAAAACGACGAAATATATTCAGCCACTTGATGTGTACTTTTTTAGACAGATGAAAATTTTGTTGCGCAGGATTACTGACTATGCTAGATCAGCTCTCCAACAAGATCAGCTGGAGGTCGCACTGCGATCCAGAGATTTCATCGTAAAAGTCATCGCAATCACCCACAATCAGTTATCTGCACCTGCATTCAGACCAATGATTAAATACGCTTGGCAGAAATCAGGGTATGAAGTAGAGGAAGAAATTGAAGCATTTCAAAATGTCAATCAAATCTGCTTCGCCAATTACGACGAAACATGCGAAGCTCCTGATTGTGAAGCGATCAATTTCATTTTTTGTGCTCACTGCACATATCCGTTTTGCTTTACACATTTCATACTAAATCCTCACTATCATCAAAGAACAGAATAAAATAGACTGATACCCCAAAATAAGAGCAAATTGATGATTATTTCAATTAAAATAAAAATCCAGTGAAGATTAAAAAATTAGACATTATATTGCTTTTTAAATATTTTCAATGATTTTCGTAGGTCTAAAACCCCCAGTAAATGAAATAAAATCAAAGAAAAAATTTGAAAACTTTATATTTTTTCATAAGAAAACGGTTTTTTGACCTCAATTATTTCGAGACTCGAGAGTTTTCTATCTAAATCCGACAAACCCTTATGTTAGTTTTTCATGCTCTATCGAATGCATATAGTCTCGACCGGAAATGGCTGAGACACCTGAGACACTTCCCTTGTTAGATTGCCGGTCGATGGTACGCAATTGCTGCACCAACTATTGATCGTTTCCAAGAAACTGTAACATGTGTTACCGAAGATTTCATTTTTCGAGAGGATGGAAACTTCGATTATACAGTTCTCGGAACTTCACTTGAGTAAGTTAGCTGACTTGACGGATTTAAATTGTTTTTTTAATGCTATTAGTGATTCATCGTCTAGTGGCTCAAAGACTAGGCTACATTGGTTAGCTGAACGTACTGAAAGTCAAAACGCATTCAATCTCACCGATCGGTCCAGTAAGTAATGACTTACTTTTTATGCATCTTATTTATTCGACATTTCAACAATTGATCCATATAAGAATTGTTTTTCTATTATTTTCAATACAACTAATGATTATTATGATAATTTACAGAGTCTTACCAAGTAACCTACAATATAGTCGATACTGATTACGATAACTATCTAGCTATTTACAGTTGTTTTTACCTTCCTGGTTACACAACCATTCGTATGTATCTCTCGGTCTTCATGTAAATTACTTTGTAACAATAATAATAATAATTCAACTCTTGTCATTATCACAGAAACCGGTATGATTTTATCTAGGACTAACACCATGAATGCTGACAAGTATGCCGAACTGACCGATTTGTTGGTTAATGAAATTGGCGTTGCAAGCAATACTTTTGGACCCATAGTCCAAAAAGACTGTAAATACTGGCCAGTCTCCAGTCATGATTTTCAAACTTGAACAAAATTGAGTTCTCACTGTAATGTCTGTAATAAATTTGAACAAAAAAATTACATAATTAAATACACAGATATTGCATAGTCAAAGTACGTACAAGGCTTTTCAACCTCGATTTATTTTTGAAAGCTGAGTAACTTTTCAACTATATGGCGTACATAGGTCATTTTTAGATCGAATGTTAGCGTTTTTTTTCTCGGATTTCAATCAAATAAATTTTTGAATTGATAAATATCTATGGAGCTCGAATGACGTACGTTAATGCATCATTATACAATTACTGTTTTGTATTCCTAGCATCTTTTTGTTTGTGAAGGTGATGGCTTTTAAAATTTACATCAATCTATTGAAAGGTACAAAATAAAAATTACAGTCAGTGATAAAAAAATCAAAAATAATGGCATTTCGTGCTGTTCATATCTGTTTTCATGTTTCCAATGACAACAATAAGACTGGGGTAATTATTCGCATAAATAATAATTAAATTAAGTTCATATTGAGAGTTCAAAGCTGGTCAAGCTATCATTTTTTTGTCGATTAAATTTATTTGCATTTCATTGCGATTATTTTCATCTAAAAATCGTGGACTTTGCTTTCTTGCTGAATCGTTGGAATGTGTATGTGTTGACTGGGGTAATACATGTAAATGGTGCGTTTGACAAATGAAAACATGATCAGATAGTTTGAGATTTTTTCAATAGAAGCAAGTTCAAAATTAGAGCTTTGATCACTTTTTCAAAACAATCAAAAAATATCCGAACAACACTATGCATTTTGGGATAGAGATTGGTCATGAGGCTTCCAAAATATTGAGTAAGTGAGTGTAATTTTTTGGTGGTTTTTAGGTTTTTAGGTTTCAATGAAAGTCCTTTTTACAGTTACCGTTCACAAAACAGCAATGATAATAACATCGCGACTCAACCTCACCATCAACCTCAGCTTCAATAACTTTTGGTTGGTGATCGGATCTCAGATCGATCTGAACAATCGCGAGATACAAAAATTGCAAAATATCTTTAATCTTTGTTTCAGGTTGACTATGTTAGAAATTCTGTTCTAAGTGGAAAATGTCCAAAGTCTTTGGGTTAACATTAGCAACAAATAACTTTTTACAATTGTTAAAACTTGTGTTTCGAAATATCCAGACCGTGGTTTATTGTTTGTTGGTCTGCAAGAGATTGCCCGATCTGAATGTGACTTTAATTGATTCATTCGATTTCCAGTAGTAATCAGGATTATCTTTGTATTGCTTGGCCTAATCAAGTCGCTTCTGTTGATTCTTTATACTTATCATTTCTTCCTGGCAACATAGCCTTTTAATCCACTTTCATGAATTCTGTTTTTGATTGATTTTGAGCAAACAGAAAGGCTCAGCTTTTCTTTCAATTCAGTGACAGTGATTTTAGGGTTGATTTTGACCTCTCTTAAAATACCTCGATCTTGCCGTTTAGTTGTTTTTCTTCGTGCTCCTTTCTTGATTTGTTTTCTGGTGACCCTGTCTTTTCAATCTTGTCAGCTATTTTTTTTACTCCTTCAACTGAAATACCATAAACTTTGGATAATTTAGACAATTTTTGACCCTGGGCTCTTGCAAATGGATAAATAGCCTCTCAGCAATAATCAGCAATAGTATGTAATTGGTGAAATTAAAATGTAATATTCTCCCTCATCAGGAAGTATCGTTGAACTAACCAATAAATGAAATCAATATCAACATTAATCTCAATAATCCAACAAAAAATCAGTTTTGTTATGCAATTTATTTAATCATTTTCATAGTTTTGTTTGGATACAAGAGCTGAAAGTAGCTAAATCCGCATGTTTAATTTCAATTGGAATAGATGCTTGACAAAACTTGTGACTTTCAGATACAGCGAGCCATTCACATGGAACATTCAGCCTCTTTTAGATCTTTTACAGAGCGAACTTCGTAATATCTGTAAAGAGAAAATACCTTTCTGCTGTTGCAAAAATTGAAAGTAGCTCCACCAGCATGTTCGATTCCGATTGGAGTAGTTTCTGGACAAAAATAGCGACTTACACATATACAGAAACTGAAAGAGTGAAAAAATTTTTGATTAACAACTTGCACTATCGAAACAATCATATTATTCGTGAAGCAATTGGTTAGATGATACTCACTCTGGATGGGGCCTAAACTTGAATGAGGTCAAACTAACTGACTCGAAATAGAGCGTTGGTTTATTGGATGCAGAGTCGGTATCGTTTGGGGCTTCCCGAGTCCATTGAAGGTAAACCGATGTGATTGTGTCTAAAGGAGCGGTTGATGAAATTATTGCAGTATAATTTTTGTCTTTTTTCATTTCAACATCACTAAAGGAAAAATGATACATAATTTGTTAGCAATGAATTAAGATATTAAATTAAATAAACTTACTTTGGAGTCAATTCAAAGTCTTCTTGGGTAGTATTTTGAGCATTTTTACTCGTAACTGAAATCTTGAGTTTACCTTCATGGCTATCGAATTCTTTATCAGCCATTCTTACATTCACTTTATAGCTGTAAACTAAAAACACGAACATAATTTTTAATTATTCAATTAATTCTTGAGATTCAGAAAACAATGAGACTTGGGGTACAACTTTACCTTCAGCAGTTACAGTGATGACACAAATGTTAACAGCTAAAACAAAAGCAAATAATGCTTCATGTCAAGTCTCAACTAATGTAAGTTTTCACTTCAGAGATCAACTTTTTGAATATATAAATCTAATTCTGTTCCTTCGATTTTATACAGGCAATCCCTGAATTATGTACTTATAATTTCTGGGTTAGACCCTGGCTTGGACCTGAACAAATCATTCAAGCCTCTTGTGTACCTGCTAAATAATCTGACGAACAAGGAACCCACGTTGATGATGAAAAAACTGCTTTTGTAAGCACACCCATTGTTTATCCCATTCCTATTACTGCTAAAGATTGAAAGTAAAACAAATATATAATTTTATCATTGCAATAATTTCATGTTAAATTCATTTACAAAAATCGGTCAACACCTTGCCACTTTCGTGTTTTACTAGCTATTCAAGCAAAGTTTCTGTGCACATCAATATCTGAAAAGAGCGTTAATTTTTTGTTTAGATACGCAAATGAGAAATGAAAATCCAATATTAGAGAACATTTTTTGTCCAGGTCTTGGTCTATCGTATCGTACTGATGGTTTTACCAGCAGCTAGGTACCGAATATTACAAGCCATGGCTCCAAATACAGACGTGAAATTTCTTAAAGGCTGTCAAATCGAGTGGGCGATTGGTTCATCCTCCAATTCCTCGCAAACAACATAAAACCCTCAAACTTCCGTGATCTCATTGATGAAGTGATGTCAGCACATTTTGACCAGGCCGTCAAACCACTAAATAAGCGTAATAAGCTTACCAGGCTAATACAGAATGGCTCCTCTGTGACTCCCTCTCCGTAAACTGGTGAAAAGACAAAAAAGTTAGGAGATAAGAAGGGTGAACTTAGTTTAAACGCACCCATTGCTACGAACCCGGGGTTTGTTGTCCACTCTCTTTACATTCAGGCGACTCAGATAACTGCGTCTATCTGGGATGTGATGATTGGCCTTAATACTAATGCAAAGTTCAATGCCTAATCTAAGCAGTTTTTAAATTTTAATAATTGTTAAACATTCACTAAAAACAACCAAAATATATTAGATTAAAACTTCTTAATCATTTAAAAATACACCAATAAATGAAAATACCAAAGATTTTTGAGTCTGGGAATTCGGTTGAACATTTATAATTGAGAGGTTACGTTGTCTGCTATTGGATTGTTTATAAGAACAAGATCAGTCAAGATCCATAGATTATTTTTGCATCTAAATCTTCATATCAATCTGAATTAAGTTGAAATTCAATTTGTAATTGAAATTTTCATTATGATAATTAATTCTAATTGCTTAATAACAGCAAGTGCAGCATCGATAAATTTATCAGCAACATTCACCAGATTCTCTCGGAATGGTCCATCAACTCGCCAATCTAAATAATGGTAATCAATCATTTGAAGATCAAGAAGATAACTCAAAGCAATTGTAAACTATTCAAAAATTTATTATCGAATTGAAGAATCAAGTCGACGCTACAATTTACGTGTATGTCTGACTCCAATGCGTCTTAGCGTACAAGAATTTTGCTTGAAATTCTTTGCTCAAAATATCCCGCATCTAATCAGATGACCAACAATTAACCATAAATTTCCCTGAAAACTTGCTGATAGCTCTACTCAAGTGAATCAGTTGATTTTATTGTACAGGGTTGTCAATATTTATTTGAACAGTTCAAATTAGTTATAAATCAATAATTAATTCACATACAGACATCAGTATTATATCAAAATGAAGCCTGTGATCAGGAGATTAATTAGGTGCTCAGTCAAAATGCGAATCACCTTGCGCTAAGCAAGATTCAGCGCGTTTGTTCATTCTGTCCATAACTCTTCTCGACTCAGATGAACTGATAGTTCTAAAATATGGTTCAATGAAAGTGTTGAGTTCAGATATCCTGACACTGTCGACGGAATTTTTGCTTTTCGACGGTACATAATTTGTAAACACAACCACAATTTTCACCAGGTTCAAAAAAAAATTTGAATTATTAATTAACTCAATTTGACTGGTAGCGAAATTATGCAAAAATCTAACCTTACTTAATCAATGATTAATCAGCGAAAAAATGGAATTTTAGACTCAAATTCATGCTTATCTTAATCTCCATATTTCAATTCATAAGTGGGTAAAAAATTAAGCAACTTAACAAAATATTCGTTAAGATATTTAATTTTTAAACTGTTCAAATAAATATTGACAACCCTGTATTTCTCTCTCTGTGTCAGAGATAAATCACTTTTTCCAGGTGCTAAGTAAGAAATGGAAACATGGATCAGCATTTTTGACACTTTTATTCTTCTCTCATCTTTTATTCATTTCTAGTTAATACACAATTAGTCATTCATTTGTTGAAAATTTAACACCTCGTCACTTCCCTGCAAAAACAGGTGATTGTTTTCGATATGACAATCAATCTGGAGTGAAATCGGCTCATGATCGACGGCTGAATGGGCTTCATTTGTGTATATAACATTGACTCTTTTCCATTTTAAACTCACATCTATTCAAACACTGAACCAGTTAATCTTAGCCTTTTACAATCGTTCAAGTGAATCCCTGCAAAATGAAATTCCTCATGATAGCAGTTTGTCTTTTCGGAGCTGCTTGGAGCGCCGTGACAATTGACGGAGCATGGAGCTCAAATTCTGTTGACGACCCACTTGTTGTTGAGTTGGCTGCTAAAGGTCTTGATTATGAAAACCGTTACGGCAACAGTTTTAATTACAAGAAACTGATTACCATTAAAGAAGCTAGAGCTCAAGCTGACAAGGTATCGGGAATAAATCATGAAGTTAAACTCTTGATTGGCCAGACTGACTGTGCTAAATGGAATGCCAATGCTACTTCGTGTGAAGTGTCTCCTAATGTAAGTTTTAACTTCAGAGATCACCTCTTTGAAAATTATAGATTAATCTGATTCCTTGTGTCTTTCATTTTATACAGGCAACCCCTGAATTATGTACCTATGTTATCTGGGTATCACCAGATTTACATTGGAGATCGCTCATGCAAGCCTCTTGTGAATCTGCTGAATAATCTGACAACCAAATGAACTCTTCAACCGTTTCTTGATTAAAAAATAAATTTCCCAGAAATTCAGGTCAATGAAGCTATCGACACTGAGTTTCTTTCTAATTATCTATTGTTTTTTCCCATTCTTCTTATTAAACAAGATTAAAAGTAAAATAAATATATAATTTTATTGCAATACTTTCAAGTTGAATTCATTTCAAATCGGTAAATAACTCGACACTTTAATGCTTTGCTAGTCATTCAGTCAAAATTTCTCAGTACATCAATATTTGAAATAGTGGAAAAGAGCACCAGTTCTTGTTGTAATAAGCAAAGGTGGAATGAAAACCCAATCCGAGTCCAATCAAAGGCAAAAGAACTCCGTTTAAGAAAAGAATTCTGATTAATTTGTCCAGAATAAGTCAAGAAAGGAAACTTGAGTTGCTTGTTACATTAAAAGTTAATCTATGCATACACAATATATGAATGTAAAGTAATTGTATCAAATTCCTGACAAATTCGTGTTCAGAGATGGGAAAAACCATCCGTATCAAAAATAATTGTGGAGGGAAGCAAATTATTTTTTTCAGTTTAATAAATTTATGGGTTTTTGAATGATTTATAAGTAATAAGACTTCGACTTTCGAGTTAAGAGTTGCGAGCTGATGAACATTTAGAACATAAGAACTGAACCATTCGTTTAGTTAAAAGATTTCACGAATCCTTTGAAGATTTTTGATAAAATTAATTTCAAAGTTTAAAATTTAATTTAATTTTGTTCTTCTGTCGAACCAAGTTTTATTTTATTTTTCAGTTTTTCATTGACGATGATTTTCTTCATCAAGAATTTGAGTCTTTCAAATAGGAATGAATTTATTATACGCAGTGAATCAACCATGATGAATCTTCATTAAAACCATGAACGGGCAACCAACAGTTAGACATACAATGGACAAATCGGAAAGAAATGAACATCTTATATTAGAGCTGATGAAACACCAATAAGCATACAGATGATACACAGTTTATCGTTGATGGATTTTGTGGACAACTGTAAAGTAGCAACTTCTAGAAAATGAAAAATCTGTTTCCAACTGTCTCAAGTCAATCATTCGTATTACTGAGCGAATCTTCAAGTGCATGAATTTTGATCCAAATCATTTGTCATGACTTCTGAAAGGTGAAAATAAAAGAAAGAAATTCTACCACTGAATTTGTCAATCAAATCATTATTGATTTACTTCCAGTAATTGTTCCTAAACAGTTGAGCCCTTTGAAGGTTGTGCGACATAACAATGATACGTACATCAGATAAGTTAAACAAGATCAATTACACCACTCAGTGCAGGTTACCTTAATGGTTATTTCTTATACACTGCACTGGTTACCTGCACTGGTTACCACCACAGTTTCTTATCAATTCCAATTCATAGATTAAATTATTGTTAAAACAAAGATAATAGGAAAATCTATTTTAAAAATTGAATTAAATTGAATCGGTATAACTTCCGTATCCAGCCTGCTGAATTTCTTGATAAAACTTTGTGTACTTATAGAACTCGACAAGCTGAGTCCAAATATATAGGTCATTTTATGCGGAAACGCCCCCTAGCGGAGATAATTTCACTTGTACGAAAACGCGTTTTAGGCCATTTTGAGCGTTGCGCATGCGCATAGAACCATTTTTTTGACCTCGACTGATTTTCGTGGGCTGACCGATGTGTATGCGAAGTTTCAAGACTCTAGCAATCATACTTGCAGAGATATGGGGCAATATACATAAAATACAAATGCGACAGCGAATGCATGCAAAAAGCCTCGAAATCAAAAAATGAAGTATTTGGAATGCATTACATGCATGTATAACAGTCTAATCAACAAATCTGCGTGCCCGAACCTAACCTAACCTAACCTAACCTAACCTAACCTAACCTAACCTAACCTAACCTAACCTAACCTAACCTAACCTAACCTAACCTAACCTAACCTAACCTAACCTAACCTAACCTAACCTAACCTAACCTAACCTAACCCAACCGTCACGTCACGTCAGTAACGTCACTTCACCTAAATTTAGCTCTTCATTCGAATCGTTTTATTTAGTGTTCAAAACCCGAATTTATTATAAAATTTGTGTATAACTATTGTGCGAACCTCTAGGCTACCTAAAAATACCTGGCTGGTTAAAAAATACCCACTAGTGCGTCGGCTACGGCCAACTGAAGTTTACCCATTAAAAAGGGTAAATTTACACGTGTATGGCTTTCAGGAAAAACGCGTCAAATCCCCTTTACGCATTTCACCCGAGAGACATAAGCCCAATAAGGATGTCCAACAACCCCAACGCGTCACTCACGTCATCAACGCCGATCATAAAGAGGACGGGATCGCAAAATAAGGACAAAGAGGAGATTCCGCTGTCCGTTCTATCCCCGCCTGTGGGTAACAGTTTCGAAAGGATCTATGCCTACTTGGAATATATCGATATAAGGCTAAACGAAAGTAGAAACATCAAGGGACAGATAAAGATCGACATCAAAACATATGCGGCCTGCATAAAAGAAGATGTGCAACTAATCGAGGAACAAAGGACTAATGCAGAGGAGACCACCGTGATAGCTAGAGGAGGACTAGGAGAGAACGCGATTGAGGAAAGGATCAATGAGGACAACATCCACATTCTATTTCAATGCAAGAAGTATAGTCACATCAGAATACAATTGATGGGGAAACAATCAATTGAGGAAAGCGAGATACAAGAGATGCTCCACACAAAGGATGAAAGGGAAAACCTCATAAAGCTCGCTGCGATAATATCAGACATACTATTAAAAGAAAGAGATTCGCAATAAAGTAAAACAAGTCACGTCAGGTCACACACGTCACGTCACTCACGCCAAGTCAGCAAAGTCAGTAAGAAAGAAAGAAAATTTTCTAAATTATTAACTAACATCACAATTTGAAAGAAATACATATGCTTAACATCGGAGACGAACAAAACAGAATCAAATGTAGCAGAAAACAATAGGTTGAACTGCTGTAAACAGAGGGCAGCACAATGAAACTAGATCTCCATGACAACCCAAACAAACATTAGGTTAACCGCCATTTCAGTATTTCATCATAACACAACCATGAGACATCGTTATCCCAAACTGCTATATTAAAACATTTAAAATCCTGGAATTTAATAAACACCAGCCCTACATTTACAACCCTAAAGTGAATAACCCTAAAAAACTCCCCAAACCCAAAAACCCTCAACCAAAATCTAAGTGCAAAAAGTTTTCCAAAAAAGAAAGATGAACCCAGCCGGGGATCAACCACCAAAAGTACCCAGTGATGGTGAAAAACCACCAGAAAAGAACTCCACTTCCAAGAACAATGAAAATGCTCCAACAACAGTGAACCAGGAGAAGGTTGAAAAAGGTGAAAACAAAGCCCCACCGTCATCAAGTGTCACTCACGTCACGTCGGGTCATGAAGATGGTCACGTCACGTCAGGTCAGGAAAAGAACCAAGAAGCTGAAAAGCTAAAAGAAGTTGAACCAGAGAAACGGCCAACAACGACTATAGTACCCTGCAGTCCTCCCAAAAAACCAGAACTTGCTGAAATAGCAGAAGGCGAAAGCAGACCCGTGGAGACACAACCGCAGGAGAATCAAGGGGAACAATTGTTCACAGTCACACCCGATGTTGCAGCCATTATTACCAACAACATCATGTCCCAGCTTATGGAGGCTAGAGGAAGTATTAACATGCTGGTCGAGCTCTACGAGTCTAACAGAGCCGAAAGAATTCATTTTGAAAGCTGGTCGGAGCTGACTGAGGAACAGCAGCTAGAAAGAATCTGTCAACCGTTTGATGATGAGGTTAAAGCGACGATCAAAGCTTGGTATGAAAATGGTAAAATCACTGATACAATTTTGGAATTCAAGGAGTCTCAGATTGATGACATCATGGATGAATATGAGGAGCGTACTAAAGATATGGCAGCGATGAGTCATGAGATGGGAACGACAAATAGAGAACAAGAAAAAAGAATGGATGAGAACAGCGAGTATACCAGGAAGCTAGAAGAACGCATAATGGCTCTCAACAGAAGAATGGATTCTCTCAATGTCCCACCTGAAAGGGATAGTGACTCCCCACGCCCAAGCACCTCAAAAGGGCTCCCACAAGAATCAACCAGCTCAAAGAGATCCGCTTCTCCCCAAGCAAGCAAAGTCCGAGAACAGCCATCACCAAGACCGGGTACCTCAAAAGATATTACCCCACCCAGAAGGTCATCTTACAGAGATGAAGTTTTTACGAGAGCAAGCACGTCAAGAGGTGACGGTGGTCACTCACGTCACGTCAGCCCACTCACGTCACGTCCGACTCTTAGTCCTCTAAGTCAACGACGAACGCGTGAGCACACACCTCCATCAAAAAAGAGGCAAAGGTCCCCTTCAGTATCCTCTGAAGCATCACTGGTTATTGATGAAGAAGCAGATAAGGCAAAAGGGATGAGAGGAAAAGGAAAACAGAGGAAAAGCGTGGACCGTCAGGGACGAGAACATCATCAAAGGCAAAGAGAAAGACTTGGTATGGGGGAGAAAAACCCGAAAAGAAAGAAAAAATCTGCCAACAAAAACTACACAATCAAAATACGCTCCTGCACGGTAGAAGGCTGCAAAAAGATTGAGAAGTTCGATGCTTGCAACATGGCAAGACACTACAGAACCTTCCATCCAGAGATATTATCACCTTTCCCTCCTGGAACTATCTCTTACATCAGAAGCACAACATATGAGGAAAGGTTGGAGGAATGGAAACAACAAGCAATTGAGAATCCACCACTTCCAAGATCAAGAAGGGAGAGAATTAGACAGGAAGCTCAGGCACGAGCCATGAGACAGAACAGAGATGTTATAGAGACGGAAAATGACGACTCAGATTACGACTCTAGAACAACACCAGATTCGGACTCAGATTAATAGACAGGAGCGCACGCTAGAGAAACCCTTGTCCCCATACCCACAAAACCCATAAAAACCTTCCCAACCCATCTCCTGAACACAAAAGTCACATTTAGTTTGACCATGACCACGTCAGGTCAGCCACGTCAGGTCACACACGTCAGGTCATACACGTCAGGAAATGACACGTCAAGTCATGGTCCTTATTCTTTTCTTCATTAAATTTAACAAATGACA